ATATATAACATAAGAAAAGTGTAGTTCTAGATTTTATAAAGTTTAATTAACCCTTATAAACAATTTAAATGAATTATAAAATGTTGAACCAAATTATCAAATATGGAGGAATGGCGAGACAATTCTTTGATAAAAAGGATGATATGCCCCTTATGCTGCAAACTCTCAATTTCGCAGAAGTATTCAAAAACTCTTTCCATAAAAATATAAACCTTTTTATCCCAAGAAGTCGTTCATAGAGAGGTATATTCAACATTATCATTATTATTATTATTTGAATTCTGACTGTTCAAGTATAAGTAAACCCATAAGTCTTTTTTGAATAAAATTAAATAAGTCTTTATTCCCTTCTTATTTGTTAATACTATTTTGGAACTTATATTTAAGAGTAGGCCAATTGGCTTAATCCATCTCGAAACAAAATGGTTTACTTTCCATTTAATTTATCATATATTCCTTTCTCCAACAGCTATTAACCTTTCTCAATATTAATATTACAAACGCTCTGTTTTATAATAACTGATTCTCCTTCTAAATCTTCTTTTTAGGATTTAATTTTTTAAGAATGAATATATATTTACATGTAACCATTTCATGTAGAATGAGAAACCATTTACCTAAAAACCAAAGTATTAGTTTGTAGCTGAAACCCACTCAATATCATGCACCTATTAAGAAAATAAAAATAAAAATGGTATTAAATTCCCATAAATCTATATAATACTTGTGTTGTTGTTTATTACAAATAAATTCAGAAGAAACATCTAGATTTTGTTTCACAAAGTTCAGACAATTCCTCAATTTTTATAATAAAGATTAATTTTATGAATCTTTATTAAATTATTTTAAATCTTTCCATCAAACATAAATTAAGACTGAAATCTCATAAAATTTCAATATTAAAATAGCATTTCACATTATTTCTACAATAAGGTGAGTTAGTAATATAATAAGGGATTACTAGATTAAAAAATCATTTGAAAGTTATTCCTTAAATTAATATGTTTATATTGAATGAGGATTGTATGAATCAGTATATTAATCAAAAGGTTAAGGTTTGAAACTTTTTCATAAATCGCTGTCTTATTGAATTCGTCTATTTAAAATTTTTCTCTACATTCATTAAATCATTATCTTTTTTCCAAGTTCAATTTATTTTTCTTACATGGCATTCTTCCCGCTGAAAAAATATATCTCCTTCAGTTTTCCTTAAATGAAGATAAAAACTAACTTTATTTAATTTATAAAATATACTTCAAATTAAATTATCCAATCTCTGTGTGATACTTAAAGGTAGCATGGTCTTGCTTGAGAGTGTAAAGAACTTTGACAATCCATTCATTTTTTGAAGTATGTTTTGGAGCAACACCCAAATCTTAACCTTTAATCTAGGGTTTAATATGAAAAATTATAAATGCAAAGTCAATTATTTTGTTTTAATAGTATGATAACAATTCTAATTCAAACCATTCCTGGGAGATCCTTTATTCCACAAATAGTAATCTTTGAAACATAACCAATAACTATTAGCATGGAAAAACTATAAACTTGACCTACAGAGATATCACTTTATTAATATTAACAAAAGAATTAATAGTATTGCGGAATTGGATGATCTTTAAGAGAACTTAGGGTTAGTCCAAAGAGGAGATTTTATGAAAAGAGGAAGAACTATTGTCTATATTTATTTTTAGAGATGCTAAAAGTTAAAAAAGAGAATTCTAGATTGTAAGCAAGATGGGATAAAAATTGTAAAATTATCAATACTAGATATTTGGTGCTGTGGCAGAAAGATTCCTTGATTAAGTTGATGTTTTGAAATATAGGAAATCTTGATAATCTGTTTAATCTACTTTCATTTGAAAACCTGTGAGATTGTTAATCAAATACAATAAGTCCAAGTTCACAATGATATGAAATCATAATATAATATCCATTCCTTATGTACCTAAAGAGGAGAATATTGGCAATTTAATTATTCCTTTACATCAAAATCTTCTTCCTCATTCTATCAAATATCACCCAACATTATCGCCTTTTGCAACCTTTCAAAGAAGTTCATTCCAACTATGCTTCAAAGTGGTTGTAAACAATTTCAATATGACCTGTAAGGCATATTTCTTCTTTAATGTTCAACATTTTAAAAGGATTAATTGCAAATCATTGAGATCACTCATCAGAATTATAAGTTACTAAGAAACACTAATGAATCTCACCTTATAGAATAATACTTTCCTTAACTAAGAATAGAGCCTAAGAATCGAGGTCAAGCATTAAAGATTTCTCTCACTATAGCAAATTTGTTACCTTAATTCCAGAATTTTGACCAGAAGACAGTGAAGCCACTCTTCGAATGAATCTGAATTTATTAAGACAAAAATTCTATTCCATACCAGTTTTATGAGGTTTATCCATCAGCAAATAGGTGCATTTACAAGAACTATTTTTAGAAAGTTTATTAGATAAGTGGATTATATTCCAGGGAGGATAAATGCATGTCTATTAGTTAATAAGATCTATAAAAGCGTAGATATGACAATGTTTTTGAAATCTCCTGAGCTAAAAGCCTGTGCAGTCCATCATCTTTTTGTTTACTACAGCTCTTCCTAAATACTCTTGCAATTCAATCTTTTTAAAACGTCGACCACTCAGGCATAACTTCAATGAATAAAAGTGGCGTTCCCTTTTTGATAAAGTCTATGAGAGATATTTTATCTGTCTACCTTCTCAAGACTTTTTCCATATATCTACAATCATAAGAAAATATTTTTTTATATAATTAATCTCCCATTAAATATAAAATCTCCTTAAATGAAATCCATATAGCATTGGATTAAAAAGAACGAATACATTTCCAATCATTAATAATTTAAATATTATGTCAACATTTCGCTTTTAAGAGGTTTCCACTTGCCTGTTCTTTAATTATTTTACTCTAATGGTTCCTTGGTTTACTTCATATAATTGAGTTCATGATTTGAAGTTTCAGTTGATTTAGAATTTATTTAATTAACTTTAAAAAGTAATTTGTTAATCTTAATTTTAATATAACAAATGAAGATTAACTTAATATTTATTATTTACATTTTCTTACTATAGATTACCAAGTAGTAATGCCTGAGATAAATTAAAGAATCATAATCAATATTGCAGATAAATACAAGAATGTGCTGTAATAATAAGCTGGAACATTGATTTCACAAGCAAGATAGAATTGGTTTGAAGATGGAAATTATGGTTCTTGCTTAAAGGATGATGTTTACTATGTGTCAATAATCAGGATAACATTTTTTTGATTAATTTGTTGAAGCATTTGAAGTATAAAAATCAGAAATTTCAAGATAAACAATTTTGAGTGTATTAAATGTGGGAGGTTGTACATACAATCTAGGCTCTAATACACATTTGCACATCATAAAAACTGATGCATACTATAAATTTTCATGATTATTTTAAATTATTGTTAATTTATCTTCTTTAACTTTGAATAAGAATTTCCTTTGAATTGATAAGATCAAGGAAGTCTCTTTTTGAATTCAATGGTTTACAACAAAATATATATGAGAATCCAACAACTTACAGGTATAAATCATAAAGTTTAAATATTACCAATAAATGAATACTACTCGTTTGAAGATGAAGAGTATTATTGATATTAAACCAAGACAAATAAGTTACATCACATCCCAAAATGAATTTGGCACTTAAAGCAAGAGATTTGAATTTTTATAATGTTATTATAAATACCATGTACTTTCACTCATGCTTTTTCAGTATAAAACATTTCAGTACTCAAAGCAATGTTATCAATCAGTATTTGGTTCAAAAATCTAGTAATCAAAATACATTCATTGTGCTTGAATTAATAATCAATATTGCAATCTAAACAAGAAAAAAAGAAAATTGAAGCATAATTAGGAAATAATAATTATTTTAGAAAAGAAATAAAGAAATTGATTTTCAACTTGTGTTTCATTTAATTATTCGATAGTTCTTGTATGAGATTTGATATGTATACAATATAGCGGGAAAGATTAATAATATAAATATGTAAAAGATTTCTTAGAGTTCTAATAATAATTATGGAAAATAGTGACTAAAATTCCTGCATCCTTTCATATTAATAATTTAAATCCTTCAATAAAAGTCTATATCTATTTATTAAAATAATACAATTAAGGCTTAAGATTTAAAGTTTAGTTTAAAATTTATTATTTATAACATTCCCCACTAGTATGAAAATTAAAATTATGTTGTTGTGCATATTCAATGTTTCAGTTGTATTTTCAAAATTCTTACCCAATTCATTCCAAATTCAGCATATATCCAATCTTAAATAAAGAAAATCATTTAATACACAATTTTATTTGTTGTTAAAAATATCTTTCACTTCATTTAAATCATTTTTGGTCTAGGCACATAACTTAATCTATAGCCTATTCTATTTCATTAGATTAATTAATATCTATGGAGAAGATTAGAAATATGTTTAAGTTACTTTCCCTTTCCACTAACTATTAGAAAATTGAAAATAGTATTCAAAAGAACTGAATAAAAAATTCAATGTAATTATTATTATTTTATAATTCAAGTCCATATAAATATATAATGTTCATCCTTGGAAGATTAATGAAAAAAGAATTAATACATAAAATATTTAAATATAATGATTATCCTTTTATTGTCTTACAAAGCATTTAAATTGTTCAAATTATGTATGAAAGTTTTTGTAACTCTTTCCCCAACAATATATTTATTCTTTAAAATATCCTAAATAGTGCTTAACCTTAATTACATAATAACAAAAAAGATTCAAAATATTACTTAAAAATAATTATTTAAGTGAATATATATATTATGTAAATAAAGAAAGCATATTTAAAAGACAATATATTTACTTTAAATCTCTCTTGCATAAAAGCTCTTTTTCAATTGATTTCAGAAAAAATTGTTAAATAAATTATATGTATAATGCATATATCATTTAGATGCAGATGTTGTGCTTGTATTCATGCTACTAGAACTATTTGATGCCAAAGACCCTTTAATTTAATCTGGAGTAATGAATTTTCCCTCATCCAATCCTAATGCTGATAATACAATTAAAACTATGATGGCTATAAAAATGAGAGCGATCAAACATATTAAAAATTTGTCAGTATAAACTTATCTATTCATAAATGTTAAAAAGAAACTTTGCAAAATATTTTATTTTATCAGCTGATCTTTTCAAAACAGATTAAGTTTCCTATACTTTGTCATACATGCTATCCAATTAGGCTATTTGTTAATCCAAACTTATTTTTGTTTAATCTGCCAAATCATTACCCAATTAAACTATTAGATTAGTATCTGTTATTATTTTTTATGCTAAATATTATTGATTCTATAAAATACCATCTTTCTACAATTAATCTCCCATTTCAATAACCTATTATGTTTTCATAAACTCCAAACTTTAAGGTTATTAATCTGACCTTCCTTTAAATAGATTTTCCTATTTCTAAGCTTCATTTTTTGTAAACTTTAATTCAGATTTCAATCGCAAAAATCTTTATTTGATTGATCCTAATTTGTCATTGTACCTAGAGTAGAACATTACAATACATAGTGATTTAGGCCTTATCTAGATTTTCAATCTCAATTTCATAACTTTCAATGTACACCGAAATTTTTTTAACTTGAGCTTCACAGTTCTTAATTGCATCTTACTTTTGATTGTATTCCTTTTTGCTTAAAGAATTTATTGCTTTTTATAACTTCTCTAAATCTTCATTGAGGATACAATCACGTTCGTCTAAATTGTTCATTATTAAATTTATTATTATTAATTTATCAGAATACTTTCGTTTAAATAGAAGAAATTTAAACCCATTTTGAGAATATATGATAATAATAGAATTCAAAATATTTAAATTATATATGAAGATCAATAATTATTAAAATGCGTCTACATATAAAAATTATATTTATTATTTAATACTAAATTTAGTCAAAACACTATGCAGCTTGTTAATTATGTAAATAACTATTTAAAACCTATTGAGTTAGTTAAACTATGGTTTATATATAGAAATATAAATAAACACCAGTTAATTAATACATCAAAAATTATTCAGTTACATAATAAATTTTGCAAATATTGCCTAAATGACAAGGAATATTTGAAAAATTTCCAATTTCAGAGCAAGGATTTTAATTATCAGTTCTAGTGAAAAGAAGAAAAAGACCCAAACTAAAGAGAATCTAATGTTAATCAAATCGAAGATGTCTTGTTAAGGATATCTTAAATATTGAATGCATAAGGTATTAGCAAAAATCCTCTAATTGATTTTAACCATAATCAATTCTATAGCAACACAACTATTATTAGAAGTAGGAAAAATCTCATATAAGGATTAGGTCGAGTATGTTTAAGCTCTTTAGTATAAAAAAAAGTAAAACCTAAAAACATTGAATGCCAATATATATAATATCATTAAAATCATAATGACATAATATTTCCAAAATAAATAAAAGTGAAAAAATTATTTAGAGAGTGTCGTTTGCAATTAGAAAAGTATTTTGACCAGTTATTTGATTACAAAAAGTAATGTATAACAGAGTTAATAAAGAAAAAAAGGAAATCAATTTCGAAAGAAATCTCAAAAGTTTGTTAAAATAAACCAGCTAGATTTCAAGACAATTGAAAAGGAAAGATATTTCTCATTATATCAGATTTCTAATGAATGAAAATAATAAACTAACTTCAGAAATAAAAATTCATCAAATATCATTATTTTAGGATAAATACTCTGCATTTCTAATTTATTTAGCATTTAAACAATATTTAAAATTTTCAATCAACTGATCAATATTCGACTTAGCTTTGCAATTCTATGTAATTTTGACATTAAAATCTGATCTTAATCATTCTATATTATTATAGGTTGGAAATTTAGATTGATTGANATAGTGATTTAGGCCTTATCTAGATTTTCAATCTCAATTTCATAACTTTCAATGTACACCGAAATTTTTTTAACTTGAGCTTCACAGTTCTTAATTGCATCTTACTTTTGATTGTATTCCTTTTTGCTTAAAGAATTTATTGCTTTTTATAACTTCTCTAAATCTTCATTGAGGATACAATCACGTTCGTCTAAATTGTTCATTATTAAATTTATTATTATTAATTTATCAGAATACTTTCGTTTAAATAGAAGAAATTTAAACCCATTTTGAGAATATATGATAATAATAGAATTCAAAATATTTAAATTATATATGAAGATCAATAATTATTAAAATGCGTCTACATATAAAAATTATATTTATTATTTAATACTAAATTTAGTCAAAACACTATGCAGCTTGTTAATTATGTAAATAACTATTTAAAACCTATTGAGTTAGTTAAACTATGGTTTATATATAGAAATATAAATAAACACCAGTTAATTAATACATCAAAAATTATTCAGTTACATAATAAATTTTGCAAATATTGCCTAAATGACAAGGAATATTTGAAAAATTTCCAATTTCAGAGCAAGGATTTTAATTATCAGTTCTAGTGAAAAGAAGAAAAAGACCCAAACTAAAGAGAATCTAATGTTAATCAAATCGAAGATGTCTTGTTAAGGATATCTTAAATATTGAATGCATAAGGTATTAGCAAAAATCCTCTAATTGATTTTAACCATAATCAATTCTATAGCAACACAACTATTATTAGAAGTAGGAAAAATCTCATATAAGGATTAGGTCGAGTATGTTTAAGCTCTTTAGTATAAAAAAAAGTAAAACCTAAAAACATTGAATGCCAATATATATAATATCATTAAAATCATAATGACATAATATTTCCAAAATAAATAAAAGTGAAAAAATTATTTAGAGAGTGTCGTTTGCAATTAGAAAAGTATTTTGACCAGTTATTTGATTACAAAAAGTAATGTATAACAGAGTTAATAAAGAAAAAAAGGAAATCAATTTCGAAAGAAATCTCAAAAGTTTGTTAAAATAAACCAGCTAGATTTCAAGACAATTGAAAAGGAAAGATATTTCTCATTATATCAGATTTCTAATGAATGAAAATAATAAACTAACTTCAGAAATAAAAATTCATCAAATATCATTATTTTAGGATAAATACTCTGCATTTCTAATTTATTTAGCATTTAAACAATATTTAAAATTTTCAATCAACTGATCAATATTCGACTTAGCTTTGCAATTCTATGTAATTTTGACATTAAAATCTGATCTTAATCATTCTATATTATTATAGGTTGGAAATTTAGATTGATTGATATAATCACTTCTTTTTTAAACATTTAAAGTTCATAGAACCGACTTTTCTATATACTGTAATTTTCAAATTAAAGTTTTCTGTAAGTTATGGAATATAATCCCTTTGTTGATTTTCAAGACAATCAGCTTATATGCTTATGTGAAATAATTTAATAAAATAAAATTACTAGACAAGGATCCTTTTGGGAGGATATTTCTGATGTTAAATAGGAGAGAACAGATGGAAATTGATAAAGGATTAATTGTAATAACATAGATCTGCAATATACAAATAATGAAAGTTGCTATTTCTAAGTTAGATTTAATTATTCAATTAGTGGTGATGGGTTTTATGATAACAAAGTCGAAGAAAAAAACTAGCTAATGGATTGATATTTGATAAGGATTTAATTTGTGATTATGAGAAACCTTTTGATTTTGACAATATTGATGTGTTTACTTTACTCCATATATATATTCTTATTATAGATCGTAGACAACTTATAAAGGAAAATATTTTAAAAAAAAAAGTTGATAGATGATATATTTGAAATTTTATAACTATAGAAATGAATGAAATCGAAAGATGTTACTCCAATTATTTTTAATGATTCGCAATGACAGATGATATTTGTAAGTGCTAACTTCGAAAATGGATTGAATTAGCAATGAATTATATTACAATACTAGAGTAACAGGGAATAAATAATAGGACAAAATTAAAAATCTAAGTAAATGAGTAAAAATTTGAGAGAAAGTATGATGATCTTTGAAGATAATCGTTAAATATCAAAATGCACAGATATTTGTGAAATTTACTAGTGATTTCAATAATGGGTAGATATATTTAATGAGATTTTGACTTTTATGAAATACGATTTTGAGATTATTTAAGAAATAAATAATCTGATATTCAGCGAAAGGTTAAAATCTAATTGAATAGATAATCTAATTATATGGAGATTCCCATTCAGATTTTTGCGGCATTCAAAACCTACTTGTTTTGAGATCAACATAAAGCAATGCATTTTAAATTTATACATATATTCAATTTAGTATAAACCTTATATGTCTAAATTAGGAGATTTCATTAATATCTAAATGGTGTTTGGTTTCCAATTTGTCATTTTTGTTTAGATGAATAAACCAAAATGAAATGAAATTATTGAAAAGAATTTTCAAAATCAAAATGTAATTTATAAAATATATTCAAAAAATTTTGATCATTTAGGTATTACTTGTAATAAAAAACAGTTCCTAAGAATTAATCATTCACTTCTTAAATCTTCATAGAAATAATTTGATAATAAATTTCTATTTCTACCTATTTAAACACTCAAAATGAAAATAAAAGTAGTAGCCGTTGCAATTAAAAAGACCCAGGTTAACTATTTGTTTACTTTTCAACTTCTTGCAATTGCAAATAAGGAAAGGAAAATGTTCATATATAAATGCTGAATTATTTGATTGAAACTTGACGATTAACTCATTCATTTTAATATTTGTTCTCCAATTCTTTTTTCTTTTCTGATTAATTAATATAGTTTAATTTGAAATGCAAAATTAATTTTTTTTAGGTCAACTTGAACATATTTTGCTACTTTAAAATTAAAATATTAATTTAATATATTAAATTTTGTGAATAATCTTACTAATAATATTTCAATTGTGCTTAAATTGGATTATAGGCGTTAATCAAAAATTTAAGCTTTTCACACCTTTTAACCCTATAAAATATAAATTAAAATGAATTTTAAAGAGAATTAATGTTCCAGCGTAATTACACTCACTATAAAAATTAACACATGGAATAGCAAGCCTTAAAATAAAATCTCTGAATCACCAAGATTCTAGAAATCATTCAATTGATACCGTCCAAAAGATCCTCGAACCAAGAATCAGTTTATAAGTTGTCTTATAACTTTATAGTTAAATCAGTTCCTGCAATTTACAACTTAAATGAAAGTGGCTACAATAAATCTTCCCATATTTCATTCTTCATATCATCATTCAATCACGAAGATTCAATTTTAAATTTTCTATTTAAACATCATTTGCATAAATCTCAAATCCTTTCTAATTTCCAAATACCAACCTGAAATTCAATTCAATTATTTGGGGGACATTTGTAAATGTCTTGGTCACCGTGGTTTAGTACCCATAAGGACCCATAAATATGTTTTAAGGTTGGGTTCCACACATCTTTCTAAAGTTGAAGAACTCAATCCAAAAATTTAAAAATCTTTATATCTACAATCACCTGCATTGTCTTTTATACATCATCCTGTTAATTTCATTAAATTAAAATTAAGATTAAAAGATGGATTTTCATCCAATGAGCCTTCCTTTAATGTTGAAATCAATTTAAGGAATTGTATTTTCTAATATACTTTTTTATAAAGTACATTATAAATATTGTGAATTAGATTTGAGATCTGGACAGGTCGCTTAAATTAACAATTACAAGTATCATTATTGAACTAGTTAATTGATAAATTTTTTCATGGATTATTATTTAGATTCATAAATTTAATTTTTTTCAAACAATTTGCAAATATCCTTATANATAATTTGATAATAAATTTCTATTTCTACCTATTTAAACACTCAAAATGAAAATAAAAGTAGTAGCCGTTGCAATTAAAAAGACCCAGGTTAACTATTTGTTTACTTTTCAACTTCTTGCAATTGCAAATAAGGAAAGGAAAATGTTCATATATAAATGCTGAATTATTTGATTGAAACTTGACGATTAACTCATTCATTTTAATATTTGTTCTCCAATTCTTTTTTCTTTTCTGATTAATTAATATAGTTTAATTTGAAATGCAAAATTAATTTTTTTTAGGTCAACTTGAACATATTTTGCTACTTTAAAATTAAAATATTAATTTAATATATTAAATTTTGTGAATAATCTTACTAATAATATTTCAATTGTGCTTAAATTGGATTATAGGCGTTAATCAAAAATTTAAGCTTTTCACACCTTTTAACCCTATAAAATATAAATTAAAATGAATTTTAAAGAGAATTAATGTTCCAGCGTAATTACACTCACTATAAAAATTAACACATGGAATAGCAAGCCTTAAAATAAAATCTCTGAATCACCAAGATTCTAGAAATCATTCAATTGATACCGTCCAAAAGATCCTCGAACCAAGAATCAGTTTATAAGTTGTCTTATAACTTTATAGTTAAATCAGTTCCTGCAATTTACAACTTAAATGAAAGTGGCTACAATAAATCTTCCCATATTTCATTCTTCATATCATCATTCAATCACGAAGATTCAATTTTAAATTTTCTATTTAAACATCATTTGCATAAATCTCAAATCCTTTCTAATTTCCAAATACCAACCTGAAATTCAATTCAATTATTTGGGGGACATTTGTAAATGTCTTGGTCACCGTGGTTTAGTACCCATAAGGACCCATAAATATGTTTTAAGGTTGGGTTCCACACATCTTTCTAAAGTTGAAGAACTCAATCCAAAAATTTAAAAATCTTTATATCTACAATCACCTGCATTGTCTTTTATACATCATCCTGTTAATTTCATTAAATTAAAATTAAGATTAAAAGATGGATTTTCATCCAATGAGCCTTCCTTTAATGTTGAAATCAATTTAAGGAATTGTATTTTCTAATATACTTTTTTATAAAGTACATTATAAATATTGTGAATTAGATTTGAGATCTGGACAGGTCGCTTAAATTAACAATTACAAGTATCATTATTGAACTAGTTAATTGATAAATTTTTTCATGGATTATTATTTAGATTCATAAATTTAATTTTTTTCAAACAATTTGCAAATATCCTTATACAGCTGTTATAGTATTATTTTCAAATATAATATATAATTTATCAGTTTAAAGAAAATAATATAATATCAAGTTTGTATTATATTTTCAAATAATACTGAAAACAGATATGTGCTTTCTGATCAATTAAATGGTGGTTAAATTTATCATAAGTTTAAATGAAGATAAAATTTAAATAACATTGTTGTAACTAAGCCAAAAATTTCTCCAAAAAAGAAATTTCAAACCTGATAATTTTATGACAATTATTTGTTAAATATGAATAGACTCATAAATAGCATTTAATATTAACTTTGATAATATATAATAAAATTAAAAATCATAAATTAAATTACAAAAAAAAAATTATGGATTCAAAATGTCCATTTCTCATAAATGGAAATGTTACTTTAAATTAGAGTATTTCAAATTTATGAGAGGATCTTTAATCAACACCTGATTCACACAATTCAGATAATTTTGTATAAATAAGATAGTTATAATTACTTCTAATCTGCTGGCTCTAATGGTTTCTTTGTATAAAATAATTCTTTACAAAATTTTCTCGATCGATTTGAAATAATTTAGATTATATAACTAATTCTGATTGTGATACAAAATCCCTAAATTTAATTAAATGAAAAATTCAAATAATGAATGGCTACTCAATCCTTTCACTCAATATCTAGCCATGCAGAATATTGTTTAAAATAAAATGCTAAAGAGAAGAGATTTGATGATTTCAAAAATTAGTTATTTACTATAACTTTATTGTCTAATTCTTGATAATGGTCAAAGTGATAAATTCTGTAGTAATTGATAAAATTAATGTCTTTATTGTTTTTAAGGTACTCCAATTTTGATCTCATCAATATGAGTAACATGATACTCATAATAAATATTCAGATGTTAGTATTGATGAATTTTGCTTTGCCAAAAAATTATTCCTAAGTCTCTAACTAAAGAATTAATTGATGCTATATGAATAGAAATTTTTTGTGAATTTTTCTATGAATTTTAGATCCCCAATTTTCAAGATTTTATGATTAAATAATTTATATATTTTTATAAAATTTACCACTGGACTTGCCTTCTTTTGATATGTCTATCATTACAAAGAAACTGAATGGAAATAGATCATTTTATCATTTGAAATTCTGTTAGAAAGTTTTGGATTAAAATAATGAATTTTCATTAAAAATTAATTTTTTGATCACATAATTTTCTTAATATCAATATATTATTTAGTATGATTTTTCTTTTATTTCATTTAATCAACCTCCTTTGTTTAATATCTCAAATCCTGATATTATTTGTAAATACAGACTCGTCTTATTATTCTCAAATTTTTGATTAAATGGTATTAATCCAATTAATCATGAATTCATAAAGATGTTTAAATAGTATAAGGAATTAATCTTAAATTTTAGAGTAAATTATATTGTAAAATTTTCAATGGCTTACTTGCTGTGCCTTTATTATTAGACATAGATTCTTTATAAACCCTATATTTAAATTATATTTATACTTGAAAGTGTGGGATTATCTGTATGCCATACCCCGAGAAATAATATCTATTTAGTTATGGCATTCTTTTAATAATACTACAGTTATCAAGAACAATAACAAAACTATCATTATAATGTCATCTTAACATTTTACTTAACCGATTAAAAATTTCTGAAAATATTTACTGCTCCAAGCATTAACTTTTTATTTTGGTAAATATAAATATAATCTTGGAACATTTTTTAGTTAAGCACTTGAATTTACCAGTTCTATGTCATCAATGAATATAAAATGCACATTTATTAATTTAAAATTATTTTAAATACTTTTCATATATTATTCATTATTTTGCAAGTCCTCTATTTCCATATTCGTCTATTCCTTTTTAATCCACTGAATTTGATACCCCGTAGTTTTCGTATTTATCTAAATAACCCTTATAATACAATCAAACCAAATATGGCTGCAATAAAACCTACCTTTATGTTTTATTTCTTTTATTTGTTATTTTCTTCTTACTGGTCATTTTTTATTTTAGGTTTAAGTTTATTATTTTATAAATCCAATTAATTCAGAAGAATCTGTAATTAATCTTATCTATTAATTGTTTTTTAATTAAGGATCTGTAATTTCTCTTTTGAAAAATATTTTTCAAAGAATTACATTGTTAATTGACATGTACTCAATTGAATTTCGGCCTATTTGTATGAGAATGTTTTTTCAAAGCCACTCTATGAATATCATCTTTTGTTCTACATAATAAATCAATCTGAGGGAACTAATACCCTTTAACGTAAATCCTATCGACTTTGATTTAAGCGAGCCAATGGTTCTATTGCTTTTTCAAAAGCTGATTTATAATCAAAAAATAACTATTCAAATAAAGGCTGTTCGTTATTTTGTTGTAAAATACATCACGTATAGCTATCTGAAATTCTGATGCCACCACATAAATATTTTTGCATTTTAAAATTTAGGACCTGCCAAGATGTATAACTAATTTTATTTTATTAAGTTTGAAGATAAAATTATACTTTTTAATCCAAATTTTTCAATGTGGAATAAATAAAGCATTTAAATACAACCTTAAAGCAGTAGAATATTTAAATTATTATAGTAATATATAATATCTATTTCTAATATATGTTCGTCATTTCACCATCAAGAACTCTAGAATCTAACAAACTTTAGAATTAACATGAAAATTTGTTTGGAGCTTTGCAATATTTACTTTAAAGCAAAGTTGAGATTGGATATTCTGATCGAAGTCCATTATTTAAACAATTAATATACCTAATAAAACTTGAATAATTAGAATTAAACTATTTAGAAATCTTAATAAAAAAAGATTTAATTCTAAAGTATTTTCTAACTTAAAATGAAAAAAACTCATTTATATATTCAATGATGAAGCAAGGCAAAAATTATTAAAGTTTTGGTACCCTAAAATATTAGATTATTGTTAACCTAAATCTACAATTTGAAGTTTATAAGCGATTAGTTAAGATGATTAATTAGCTTAAAGGTATTGATTGGGAAATTTAACTTGAAATATAAAAAAATGGATCTTCACTAGAATATTACCCATAGAAATAAAATTGTACAAAATGTTCTCAAACTGATTCACTGTAGATTTTATCTCCTTATAAACCATATGTGAATCCTTTTGAATTACCTATAATCCTATTTGAATAAATGCCATATATTATCGTCGTCACTAATACAGAAATTCACAAATTACTCGGTGAATTAAGTGAGAGAGTAGAATAATTTTTTTAGTATTATTGTTACAATAAGATAATCCTTATAAAGATGAGAGTTTTGATCTATTTATTAAAAAAATATTGAATTGTAAATTGAATCTATTTGATTTATCAACATTAGATTTGAATGGTATGAGAAGAAAAATAATGTTATATAATTGCTTTGGTAATTCTAAGAAAATTATAAATAAATACTAAAAATAAAGAATTTCTTTTTCACCAATTTAATTAATTTCTATTTAATTATTCTTATTTTAAAATAAAAATTTTATTGTAAAAAGATATCAAGCTTTAACACAAAAATATACCAAAACTAGATAAAATAGGAATGTTGTAATACTTGAAATTAAAATTTATAATATAGTGTATTGTCCCATCCAGAATGTTGAGTAATTTATTTGGAGTAAGAAATATATATAAAGTATTTAAAATATTAAAACATCCATCTTAAGTTTATAATTTGAGCATGGTTTAAAAAGTTTCAAGGAATTCAAATTTATATATTAACTGAATTTTGGTTTCAAAATAGAAATATTGATGAGAAAATAATCTAAAGCAATTCGAGAAGATTTAATGCGCATTAGACTACCTCATTCTATAAAATATTTTGCATACCAATCTATAAGCTATAATGGCACAACCACATTACAATAAAAATATTTTTTTCTTATTTTAAGTTTTGAGCCTATCATAGATGAGAGCGATATATTCAGAAACATTTCCAGATCCTCGAGTGAGATTACTCAAATTATTAAGATTGAATAGAGTAATGTGAGAAACTTTGAGTATTAGCTACTATGGAAGGAGTTTAGAATTAATAATTAGGGTCTCTACCCTTATTTATATGATTAAATAACAATGTTTTAAAAATGATTATTTAATAAATGCCATTTATCGATTTTAAATCATCCACATTATAAATGTTTTTGTTTTTTTTATTAGGCAGCATCATTCAGAATTCTAAGAAACCTAAGTTATCTAGACTCTAAAATAAGAGTCATTGAGTTGGCATACATTTATTTTTTTCCCTTGTAAAATGATAATAACAGTAATAGATTTAAATTAAATTAAAATTCTTGATAATTAAAATAAAGTTAAGGGAGTATGTACCAAAATGTAGGATGATGTAATTGTTAGGAACATATTGGAGATTAAATACCTTCTTATGCAAAAGGTAAGGTGGTACTGATAGGAATTTCACCAACTATAATACAAATTGAACTAGGCCCAATCTATGTTACTGCTGAGATTATTTCATGAGAGTAAGTGTATATAGCCAAGAGTGGAAGAATAGGAGAAGAACAAAAGAGTAGGAGGTAAACACAAAATGGGCCAGATGCGAGTTGATACATGGGATAACGAAAAGGGCTTTCAAAAGAATAAGTAAATCCATGGGAAGTAGTAGGGAACTCGATTGATAGTGATGGGATAGAAAGTAGAAACAGAAGAGTAATTCTATGATTTAAAAATAAAATATGTATAATGGTATAGCGATCTACTTAAATCTAACTAAATTTGTTATATTAAAATAGAACCAATTTTTTGAATTATTCTCCTACAACCATGGATGAACAGTTAGGGAAGGGTCAATTATGCTATCTCAATCAATAATTTAATTTTGCCTGATCCATTAAAGTGGGAATCACAATCTAGGGGTAATACAAACTGGTGAAAGGTATAGTTCCTGGACAGAAGTTGTTTTGAATTGGAGACGTAGTTATACAATAATAGGGTTAATCAGTAACATCGATGTCAAGAGGATTGCTGAAAAAAATAGTTTAAGTCTAATTCAAGTGCTGGAAAGGGACTTTACATGAGAGTAGTCGCGGTTGAAAAATTTAAATAGTTAAAGACGCTCCAAAAATTTATTTATTTAAGGAGGCTCCTACTGTATGCATCATAAATTATCAAACACGATGTTAACAGTATTCTGATTCCAGTATCCAAACATGGGTTCCTCATATTGATTTCTATTAGAGTAATAATAATAATATNAGTGTATTGTCCCATCCAGAATGTTGAGTAATTTATTTGGAGTAAGAAATATATATAAAGTATTTAAAATATTAAAACATCCATCTTAAGTTTATAATTTGAGCATGGTTTAAAAAGTTTCAAGGAATTCAAATTTATATATTAACTGAATTTTGGTTTCAAAATAGAAATATTGATGAGAAAATAATCTAAAGCAATTCGAGAAGATTTAATGCGCATTAGACTACCTCATTCTATAAAATATTTTGCATACCAATCTATAAGCTATAATGGCACAACCACATTACAATAAAAATATTTTTTTCTTATTTTAAGTTTTGAGCCTATCATAGATGAGAGCGATATATTCAGAAACATTTCCAGATCCTCGAGTGAGATTACTCAAATTATTAAGATTGAATAGAGTAATGTGAGAAACTTTGAGTATTAGCTACTATGGAAGGAGTTTAGAATTAATAATTAGGGTCTCTACCCTTATTTATATGATTAAATAACAATGTTTTAAAAATGATTATTTAATAAATGCCATTTATCGATTTTAAATCATCCACATTATAAATGTTTTTGTTTTTTTTATTAGGCAGCATCATTCAGAATTCTAAGAAACCTAAGTTATCTAGACTCTAAAATAAGAGTCATTGAGTTGGCATACATTTATTTTTTTCCCTTGTAAAATGATAATAACAGTAATAGATTTAAATTAAATTAAAATTCTTGATAATTAAAATAAAGTTAAGGGAGTATGTACCAAAATGTAGGATGATGTAATTGTTAGGAACATATTGGAGATTAAATACCTTCTTATGCAAAAGGTAAGGTGGTACTGATAGGAATTTCACCAACTATAATACAAATTGAACTAGGCCCAATCTATGTTACTGCTGAGATTATTTCATGAGAGTAAGTGTATATAGCCAAGAGTGGAAGAATAGGAGAAGAACAAAAGAGTAGGAGGTAAACACAAAATGGGCCAGATGCGAGTTGATACATGGGATAACGAAAAGGGCTTTCAAAAGAATAAGTAAATCCATGGGAAGTAGTAGGGAACTCGATTGATAGTGATGGGATAGAAAGTAGAAACAGAAGAGTAATTCTATGATTTAAAAATAAAATATGTATAATGGTATAGCGATCTACTTAAATCTAACTAAATTTGTTATATTAAAATAGAACCAATTTTTTGAATTATTCTCCTACAACCATGGATGAACAGTTAGGGAAGGGTCAATTATGCTATCTCAATCAATAATTTAATTTTGCCTGATCCATTAAAGTGGGAATCACAATCTAGGGGTAATACAAACTGGTGAAAGGTATAGTTCCTGGACAGAAGTTGTTTTGAATTGGAGACGTAGTTATACAATAATAGGGTTAATCAGTAACATCGATGTCAAGAGGATTGCTGAAAAAAATAGTTTAAGTCTAATTCAAGTGCTGGAAAGGGACTTTACATGAGAGTAGTCGCGGTTGAAAAATTTAAATAGTTAAAGACGCTCCAAAAATTTATTTATTTAAGGAGGCTCCTACTGTATGCATCATAAATTATCAAACACGATGTTAACAGTATTCTGATTCCAGTATCCAAACATGGGTTCCTCATATTGATTTCTATTAGAGTAATAATAATAATATTAATTGTTTTTGTAAAATTATTGATACAAAGTATGTGATTTATAATCTGTAAGTATTTAAAACAACATTTGTTTGTTATAAAAGAAATTTTAATCAACACACAATCGCTTATGAATATCAAGAAGTCAACCTAAGTGGTTTCTAATTTCTCTAGGTAGAGGCTTCTAATTCTTTCTCATCAACGAATCAGNTACTCAAATTATTAAGATTGAATAGAGTAATGTGAGAAACTTTGAGTATTAGCTACTATGGAAGGAGTTTAGAATTAATAATTAGGGTCTCTACCCTTATTTATATGATTAAATAACAATGTTTTAAAAATGATTATTTAATAAATGCCATTTATCGATTTTAAATCATCCACATTATAAATGTTTTTGTTTTTTTTATTAGGCAGCATCATTCAGAATTCTAAGAAACCTAAGTTATCTAGACTCTAAAATAAGAGTCATTGAGTTGGCATACATTTATTTTTTTCCCTTGTAAAATGATAATAACAGTAATAGATTTAAATTAAATTAAAATTCTTGATAATTAAAATAAAGTTAAGGGAGTATGTACCAAAATGTAGGATGATGTAATTGTTAGGAACATATTGGAGATTAAATACCTTCTTATGCAAAAGGTAAGGTGGTACTGATAGGAATTTCACCAACTATAATACAAATTGAACTAGGCCCAATCTATGTTACTGCTGAGATTATTTCATGAGAGTAAGTGTATATAGCCAAGAGTGGAAGAATAGGAGAAGAACAAAAGAGTAGGAGGTAAACACAAAATGGGCCAGATGCGAGTTGATACATGGGATAACGAAAAGGGCTTTCAAAAGAATAAGTAAATCCATGGGAAGTAGTAGGGAACTCGATTGATAGTGATGGGATAGAAAGTAGAAACAGAAGAGTAATTCTATGATTTAAAAATAAAATATGTATAATGGTATAGCGATCTACTTAAATCTAACTAAATTTGTTATATTAAAATAGAACCAATTTTTTGAATTATTCTCCTACAACCATGGATGAACAGTTAGGGAAGGGTCAATTATGCTATCTCAATCAATAATTTAATTTTGCCTGATCCATTAAAGTGGGAATCACAATCTAGGGGTAATACAAACTGGTGAAAGGTATAGTTCCTGGACAGAAGTTGTTTTGAATTGGAGACGTAGTTATACAATAATAGGGTTAATCAGTAACATCGATGTCAAGAGGATTGCTGAAAAAAATAGTTTAAGTCTAATTCAAGTGCTGGAAAGGGACTTTACATGAGAGTAGTCGCGGTTGAAAAATTTAAATAGTTAAAGACGCTCCAAAAATTTATTTATTTAAGGAGGCTCCTACTGTATGCATCATAAATTATCAAACACGATGTTAACAGTATTCTGATTCCAGTATCCAAACATGGGTTCCTCATATTGATTTCTATTAGAGTAATAATAATAATATTAATTGTTTTTGTAAAATTATTGATACAAAGTATGTGATTTATAATCTGTAAGTATTTAAAACAACATTTGTTTGTTATAAAAGAAATTTTAATCAACACACAATCGCTTATGAATATCAAGAAGTCAACCTAAGTGGTTTCTAATTTCTCTAGGTAGAGGCTTCTAATTCTTTCTCATCAACGAATCAGCTCCTGGAATCGATGACATGGATAGGAAAAATCCTCATTGCAACATCTCAAATCGATACAAGTTTCTAATATAAAGATCATTATAGAGTCACGATCTGAATCTTCCTTCCTGAGAGATCTAGGATATAAAACAGACATATTTTCTTTTAAATGATTTTTAAAACATACTCTCTTAGCTGTAAACATTCACCTTACACCTAGCACTAAAACAACTGGAAGAAATAAAGATGAATCTAAAATAAACTAAATTCATTGCCTGATGATCAATAATAATAAAGAATGGAGGTTGAATTTATATAGAATGAATTCGATAAATTCTCTGATACAAACCACCTTTTCCATATCCTTTAGTATTCCTAACAAGTTCTCTTTAAAAGACCTATTATCATGTAAGTTACTTAATAACTCTCCGAAGTCCCTGAAAGTTATCATTTTAATATATGTGTGTGTATATATATTAGGTTTGCTTAAAGTCCTGGATTCTATGATATTTCCTTATTGATTATAAGATCATAATTAATGCGAACTTAACCTATGTTATACAAAGTATGCAAATCATTTTCATTCTCCAAATAATCAAAGGAATTTTAAGATTTTGTTGCACACCCCAGAGACCTATCAAGAATGTAATCCAAGTTTAAAATAGAAATTTAGTTTGTTGCTATATATGAATTCTAGATACTTTTAATGGAGTATATTACATTACCAAAGTAATTAGAAATTTTTGAATTAATTTTTATTTAATGAATTGTGCTTTTCTTCCTCAGTTCAAACATTTAATAAAAAAACAAGATGAAAATATGGGCAATCAAAGAAATTTTTGCATTAATATATAAGAATGTTATATTGATGAATATAAAGTAGGGAGGTGGGATAAATGGTTCAATTAATGTGGACATAAAATAACCTAATTTGATTATCATTAAATCTTTTTAGTGATGGTCGATTGTTTGATGAAGCAGGTCTAGATATAGAGATTGGAAAACGAGTTGATTATTTTGAAAGATTTGAGAATGATTCCTAAGTAACATATTATGGTGCATATGTAAAATGAAACAACTAAGGATATGAGATATTTAATTTCATGTTTTGAGAGTTGCAGAGAATTTGATTTGCCTAGAAAATTAGACAAAATTGATTATATCTTCATCAATATTACCTAGATCTTTTTTCCAATAAATTAACCTTATCTGAAACTAATTCAATTAAATCTTCACGCAATTTCAAATTCCCTATAAGTAAATAAAGTCATCATCAATTATAGAATTCTCAGATACTTACAGTTGCTTATTTTAATTTAATCATCTCAACCTATCATAATGAAGTTGTTTGTAATAAAAATAAGAAATTTCTAATTTCTGAATTTATTTATATCAACATTAAAATTAATTAACATGATTCTAAGAAGAGACTATGGTGTTATCCCATGGTAAATATATGGATACAATAGTTACCTACTTTTTCTTCTTCAGAATACAGATTATTATTACATTATAAGAATCATACAATATACATTTTTCATCACTTCTTTATGCTGCGGAGGATTAACATTCAAGTATTTGTGTCACTTCTTAACAAATTATATTTTCCTTTAATTTGACAAAACTAGTCCTTTTGACCTTTTGGATTTTCTTCCTGAATTTTAACAATTAGATAGCTGAAGAAAATTTCAAAGGTACAAAAAATCTACAATTATGAAATTTATATCTGGCAAAATCATAGCTCGTGATAGAAACATGAAAATAATGTCTCATCCATTTTGATATTTTTTTGGATAATCATTTATTTATTTCTATAAAGTTAATAATTATAAATAAGTTTTTGAAGTTAAAATATTCAATAATTTTATATAAATTTACTAGTTTTACAACTTACTCATATCAATTACTTAATTTCAAGGTGTTAATAATAACAGAACTATGCTTCTACTCGCTAAGTAATGAATTTATAGTAGTTAATTATTAATACAGAAATAATTTAACTATCCTAAACGGTGAGTAACGGATGAAAATTTTTATAGCAAAGTTTTTAAATTTATAAGCAATTGTAGACATTATCACTCAAAATTTGCCTTTAAACTCGAAGAAATTAGAAATCAAATTAGTATTGGTGATGTAAACTGAATCTTAAGTATGTTTAGGAAATATTGAATTGATTCTTGAATTAATACAATATTATTTATAAATAACTTTGAATCGACATTGATGCTTATCAACTTTTTTGAATTGATGCTTTTCATCTTATTATTTTAGTAAGGAAAATACATATTTTATAGATGTGCACAAAATTATTGCAAATTTTCAACCTTTCACCCTCTCTTAGGTAAAAGCAATAGTTAGTTTTCTATCGATTAAGCCTTAACTTAAGATATCATTTAAGGAAAGACAAATACTGGGTCTGGGGTTTGGATGAATTATTAACCATTGACAAAGATGGGAGTGCTATGTAAAGACTGATTTTATCATATTCTAGCGAATAGAGTCTACTAAGATTTCAGTAAACTAAAGGATCAAAGTATTATAGAAGGAGGTCAATTTATTTATTCAATTGAGTAAAGCAATGATAAATTTACATGGTTGGTGGTTTCAGCTGATATAGATTCAAATAAATAAGTAATTAGTCACAAAGTATTTTATTCTTTTAAGACTTTAATCAACACTTTATCTTTCGAATTTGATATTTTTTAATATGAAGGTTAATGGATATTGTTTTATTGTTATTTTGACAATATTAAAAAATAAACTCTCATAGGATTTTACAATTCTAAAGAAGCTTTATCTATATAGGTTATAGATGATTTACCAAAATATGTATAAAAATTAAAACATAAAGTGGGAAATGTTTACTCCTATAAGAATTAGGATGGTAATTTGATATTATTAAGCCAATTCAAGGGATCTCTCACTAGCATGTTTTCAGCTAAGTCGTTAAATGTTTTCTTAGATATAAACTCTTGCGCATCAAGTTTGTACGGTTATATAACTTGTTATGAGAGAACTTATGCAATAGGTGAAAATAATCAAGAAATGGATGGAAGTTAATATATTAAAATTTCAACTCAAGAAATTTAAACGTCTTAATATATTTTTAAAGGTTGGATTATGTTAGCACAAACAACATAAGCTTTTTTGGAGACTACTATTTTTCGAGTAACTGTGAATTCAGATTATGGCGATGATGTTAAGATAGGAGATAGAGATCTACTATTAAAATATTACTAGAGTAATGTACCTAATGAGAATGGATTTGAAATATCAACTTATTCGTATGAGTTTCCCATAAAAAAGAGATACCAGACAAATGAAGATGATTAAATCAGATAATTTGGAGACGAATATTCAGTTTTGTTAGTCCAATGGCATTATTTTATCTATGAAATAGGAACAGCAAATAATAACGAATAGCCAGTGTTTTCGATATTTTTTCCTTCGATTGATTAGGTTCGCTCCTTTACTTGGAGTAAAACAATACGTCATTTTTCTGGAACTTAATTTTATATTTTTTTAGGTGGTGATGATTATACTACAAAGTACTTAAGAGGATATATTAGTGATGTTTCATTTGAACTCATATGTGAACCAAAAGGAGATGTCATTCAACCTACATGTCATTATTCCTGTTTAACATGCGATGGGCCAACAAAATATAACTGTATAACCTGTCCCGAGTTAAGTTTTAGACAACTTTCAAAAAAAGATAAAACTTGTGCGTGTTAATAAAGATATGTAGATAAATAAGATGTTTAAGAATGCTAATCTGTTACTCAAGCATTCCCTCAGATATGGAGATTGGAAGTAGAACTAAGTTGTTAGCAAATAGGCTACAGCAGTTGCAATTAGGATAGTATCGAATGTAACTTTGGCTATTTCTAATATTAAAATACTTGTGTATAATGGTATTTATAGAATTATTATAAAAGCCCTTTTTACTATGAGGTCAGTTAAGGTACATAAATGACTTGTTTAGATTGTTTGGTAGCACCGAATTAATTTCGAACAACATTAACTTGTAAAATGATGGCACAGACTTACGAATCAAATTAAGACTATTTATTTTAAGAATAATAAAGAGACCAAAATGATTATCTATTTTATATCATGGTAACTAATGTAGATGGAAATCATGAACTTAAATTGTGTGTAGGCTGCATTAATAAGGAAACATGCAGGGATGGTTATTATCTCAAAGATTTAGAATGTAAGCCTTGTATACATGGATGCATGAAATGTGAGAATTCATTTGTATGTGAAAGTTGCTTTTTAAATTATCACTTAAGTAAAGAAAAATTCTGTTTAGAATGCATCAATTGTTTAATTTGCACAACCTACAATGACGCATCATATATATGTAGTAGTTGTTTAGATGATTTAATTTTGATAAATAATCAATGTAGCAGTTGTGGGGATTTTTGTCAGGATTGTGATCATTATAAATTCTGTAATTATTGCTAAGGATCACCCTCTTAATATTATTTATCCATGGATGGGCAGAATTGCAGTTAATGTAATATTGAAAATTGCTTATACTGCTTTGATTACATCCTCAATGGTGGTCTATTACAAACAACCTTAGATATCAATTTTAAAGTGATAGATTAGAATTTAAATGAATTGAAGGTAGGTTGCGCTTTATGTAAAGAGAATTACCATTATAATTAAAACAATCAAAAATGTGAATTAAAAGAATTAGATGATGATTGTTAAAATGCTATTATCTAAAATGAGGATTTAAAGAAAACTTGTCTTATCAGTAAAACAAATCAAGATGCTATTTAGATATCAAATTGCTCAATGATCCCAAACTGCTTGTCTTGCATCTATAATTACTTTGAAGGTGAATCATTTTGCATAGTATGTGAAGATGGATATTATTCAGCAGTCCTTACTGGTTAATGCATTGAATGTGGTCAAAAATGCAAGACTTGCATTTAATAGAATAGCAAGTATCGAGATTATTGGAAATGGAGCATTAAGGCTTTTTATAAATTTGTTATTAATCATAATAATGATCACCCGTTTGAAAATTATGCATCAACAAATTCTGAACCAGATTTGAATTTAGTATGCAAATCATGTCACTATGGGTACATTTTACATGAATAATAATGTATAAAGGATTGTGATTCAACTTGCAATAAATGTGAAATTATTAATGGAAAAACTACGTGTATTTAATGCATGGAATCTATTTCTGGTTTTATGAAAAGTTAAGATGAAAATGGGATTTGTTTGCAATGTCCCGCTAATTGTAAAGCATGCATGGATAGAAGTTAATCGGATATATATCAACTTAACCCATACTTTCTTTTAAATGATCAGAATAAATATTAAACTAGAATCTGCTATGAAAAATCAAAAGCTAGCATTCCGCAAGAATAATATTACTAAGATTCATTGACATAAACAGTAGTAGTTTGTAACAAATATGAACAATGTTATAACGAAATTATAATTCGATAAAATATTCATTGTGATCCATTCTATTATTATGATTAATAGAATGAATCAGGTGATGAATATTTTGAAAGCATGAATGTTCTTATTTTCAAATTTTTTAATTTTGAATATTTAACAAGATTAGAGACATCATAACTTTTTGATTATCTAAACGATATTTCAGTGAGACACATTTTATTTGAATATACCATACTTTAAGTTGTTGATGAGCCATGCGAATTTGAAAATAATATAGAGATTTTATCCACATTAGCTTAATATGTTTTTTCAGTACAATAAATTGACATTAAATTTAGGGGAAAATAATTATTATCTACTAATCCAATAAATCTGTTGGTACCCTCTTAACTAAATATTAATAACTACACAACAATAACTTTTGAGAATATCAATTTTTAATTTGTTAACAAAGAAGCTTCAATAACAAGTAATTATAAAATTTCTATAAACAATTTAAAAAAAAAGATGTCTTTGAATCTTATAGACTGCAAATTTGAGAGTATAGGTGCTACAAAATCTGGATAGATTTTCAAATTTGAGTCAAATATTCCTTATTCCATTTACATCACAAACCTAGTGATTAGCAATATAAATCTGTAGTAGTCTGATGTTTTTACTTTAATTTCCTCAAACTATCTTTCTTAAAATCAGATTCAAATATCCAATATCACAATTATAAATTCCATATTAACTAATTTGTCATTGATTAGATTCTATGCAAATTCAAATCACCTTTTATACAAATCCATCTTGAGAAATATTAGTATTATTGAAACTATTTTCATTTTCTCTTCATTTTTTATGTGTAGCGGTGTATTGGACTATACTATAGGCAGTTTAGAAATTCATTAAATGTCTTTGCAAAATGTTGAGATTTTGAACAATTCAAACATTTTTCTAATTCCAATTATGGAATCCGTTATTATTTCTAAGTTAATCTTAATAAATTCTCAACTTAAAGGTAACTCATAATTATATTCGAGCAATGTGATCAATATATAGGATTGTCTTATAAATCAAACAGCAATAGAATCAAGTAACTTGATACAAAATAACATTGATTATACTAAATCTTATGTCGCTTTGAATTAATCCTCGAAAATCGTAATTCAGAACTTAAAAGTTTTGAACACTAATTATAATAATAAATAGTAAATAATAACTATTGTGAAGTACGATGAAATAGATAAATTAATGGTTAATTTAACCAATTTCATAATGGATAATTGTATCTCTAACACAAAATTGTAAAATACATAAGTTTCCTTTGATTAAGTAATGATATATATAGAATGTCAACTTTGTTATTTATAAGATATATAAATACATAGAGGATATGGATTCCCTGAAATGACCATCCTTAATTCAGAAACTCTAGAAATAACACATTTTTAATTCTCTTAGGATCCAAGATATTTTTCGAAAGTTTTACATTCATCCATAGATTGCGTATCACAATTCGCTATTATGGAACTGTATTTTTTTCTTTACGTGGGATAATATCAAACCATTTTTATAGATAATTTGAATGTTTCAAACAGTTTAAGTTTCAATACTCCTTTGATTATTTTAAAAGGGTATGATTTAATGTAGAAAATAGTGGAAGAAGCAATTTATGTGCAGAAGTCTTAATTCAGTTCAAATATATTAATAATCTCAACCCCTAATAAAAATACAGCCTTAATTTCCCTAGAATCAAAATAAAAAGGGCAAATAGCCTTTATCAATACAAGTTTTTTATTTAACCATCTAAATTAATATTACCAAGCCTTATCTTAGATTTCTTCCACTACATTATTACTATTTCTGAAATTTGGAAATGTTATCTTACAAGGTTGTTTATTTGAATAAAATGTGGTAACAAATTCAACCGATTCAATTCTATACATAGATTCAGAAAAGCTATATATTTAAGATTCTAGTTTTAAAAATAACAATATTATAAATTACATATTACTGAGTAGATATACTATATTATCAGGCACTTAAGACAAATCTGCTATTAATTTTTAATTGATATTTCCAATTAAATCAAGCAGTGGGAATGGTATGATAATATCAACTTCAATAGAGATTCAAAATATAAAGGTAGACTCCTCTTTTTCTATTTATGGAGGAGGCTTTTATATAATTACATCTGGAATGAGTATAATAAATATTACAAATTCAGAATTTTCAAATACTAAAACTACACTATCATCTTTATACTTTTCAAAAGGCGGCTGCTTTTATATTGATGCTGGTTAATCTGCATTAATTCTAAAGATTAAGAATGTGAAATTTGATACATCGTTCAGCAGATATGATGGTGGTGCAATTTATATAAATCCATCTGAAATATCTAATCTAATTGAGTTTGATTATTTAATTGTTAAGGATTGCTTTTCAGTTTCGAATTAATTTTTTTCATATGTTCTTTCCAAAAAAGATACTGTTTCATCATAGATAGTTTTTAAAAATATTGAATTCTATTCAACAAAAGAAGGACTAGAAAATTATTATTCATATTTAGATGGTATTACTGATGATGATGTTCTCAACATAATTCAATCAAATCCTTTGGTTTTTGTATAATTTGGAAACTTTAGTTTATATAATTGTAAGTTCTAATCCATTTATATGTAATTGTTACTTAAAATTGTATAAGCTTCGAACATTTTGTTATCAAATATAAAGATTATGAATTGTACGGTAGGATTATCACCACTATTCTAATTAAATTTAAGATAATGTAATAATATAATTAACATTTATAGAGTATGCTGGATAATTATAAATATTTAATCTTTAAATAACTTAAGTGGAGCAATTCTTAATGACTGAAAAAAGAGAATGCTAAAAAATGAATTCTATATTTTTCCTTTAATTGGATTGTCCTCTCAAGATGACTCAATTAAATTCTTAAATATCAGAACTTATTAATGATTAATACAACTTAAATCAATTAATTTGTAATTAAGCCAAGATTTTCAAAGATAATTCTTTTACATTTAGCTTAATTGAAATAGAACAGATTAACGTTTTACATAAATTAACTATTGAGAAAATGGAGATTAAAAGTGTAGAATGCACTAAATGTTAATTTGGTTTGGTTAGAATTATTGAAATTGAACAATAAGATTAAGCAAACATTAAGCTTTCATAAATTTTGATAAAAAATAGCCTTTGCGGAAGGACTGGTTGTCTTTCAATTGCTAAAAATTAAAATGATTTACTGATTTAAGACCATACATTAAATAATAGAATTCTGTAATAACACAATTACGAAAAACTTTTAAATAACATGAAATATTAGTTAATTATTAAATAAAGCTAATTTCTAAATAATTCTGCATCATATGGAGGTCCGCTGTTAATAGTTAGAATTAATGCTATAATAAAAGATTGCATTTTTTAAAATAATCTTGCAGATATTGGAGGTGCAATTTATTATTCATCAGAAAAAGAGGAATTATATATTTTGGAGACAAAAATAATTGAAAATAAAGCGTAAATTGCAGGAGGTATTTATCTAAGTTCTTAATCACTTCAATTAACTAACTAATTAGATTTATAATTGGATTCTAACAATTCTACATTATATGGATCTAATGCTTTGGAGAAACCAAGATCATTAACATTAGCAATTATTAAAGGAATATTACTTGATAAGAAAGAAATTAGTAATACTGATAAAGAGATTATTGAACAAATAATTATTAATCCATATAAGATTTTAGGTTCTTCATAAAAAACGTTCTAATTATTATTACCTTCTGGAATAGCAATAACCAGTTACAGGTATTTTGATCCCATAAAATCGGAGTTTATACCTTATAATCTTACATTCAGGATTATTGCTTTGGATAAATTTAAGGAGTAAATTATGGGTTTGCCAGGTTCTTATTGTACTTTATAACCAAAAGCATTTAATTTAAATTCATAAAGAGAATAATATGATGTCCAATATAGTCTATCCTAATACGATGTCTAATATAATGAGACTACTGGGGATTATAATTTAGATAATCTAATCATTTACTTCAATCCTAATTATGGTCAAGATATCGTTCTTCGATTATCGATTTAATGCAATAGTGTTTTAGTTCCCTAATATAAAGAAAGCCCGCCTTTTTAAATTTATAATTATGTCAAAAATTATAAATTATTAGTTGATATTCGAACATTTCCTTGTTAATTAGGTGAATTCTTAAATTAAACATCTGGTGGATGTGTTCTATGCGATAGCTTTTAGAATTAATACTAAGTATCTTGGGCAGCATAAAATTGCAGTTATAAGGATGACTAAAAAATTAAATCATTGGAGTCAAGTATGATAGAACTAAGAGATCATTATTGGAGAGCATACTATTATAGTCAAACTATAGAACATTGTTATCATTTGGTGGAGAATTGTAAAGGCGGTTGGAGACCTGGAGATGAATCATGTATGTTAGGACACATTGGAGCCTTATGCGAATAATGTGATTTATACGATTCTAGAGGAGGTGGATCTTATTCTGTAAGTTCAGCCTATTCATGTGGAAGTTGTGATTTAATAGCTTACAATGTAATAACAATCATTTTTGTGAGCCTTTGGACTTTAATTTCAACATTGATGTCAGTGAGTAGCACCATCGAAATGATTGAAGAATTTATAAAAGGCATAAGTTTGAAGGCTTTTGGAGTTAGAGTAGCAATAAAGGAAGCTTAAACAGCTATTTTGATCAAGGTGTTCACAAATTATCTTCAAATTATTTCAACCATTTCTACATTTTAATTGCAAGTTCCAATAGGGATAGCATCAGTTGTCAATACTGTTGGTAACCCTATTGAATCGCTGGCTTATTCACTCGATTGCTTTTTAGTTACGATCACAGATATTTTGATAATATACTTTAGAATAATTTGGAGCTTAACTATGACTTCTTCATATATAACAGTTATTTTTAGTTTATTTGGAATTGCAATAATTACTAAGCAAATTAAATTCAACTTTTCATTTATTTCTACATCCTTAATATATTTATTCATATTTTTACAGCCAAATTTAGTAGCAGGAATAATTTCACTATTATCTTACAGAAAGATATCAGATGAATATTGGATTTAAGGCAATGTAGCCTATAGATATGATACAATTTAACATGCTAAATGGTTGATTACTTTTTGCTTACCATTATTATTCACTTTCGGTTGCATTCTTCCTTGCATTTTGTGGTATGGAGTCTATAAGAATAAAGACCATCTAGATTTTTCATCAGTAAGAAAGATATGGGGATATTTATATAATGAATATAGGATCCATGCATATTTCTGGGAAACCATAAAGATAATGCAAAAGGAAATTATTATTATTGTTTTGGCTTATTATGATGATCATGTCCCTATAAAGGCATCGTTAGTATTTCTAGTTTTGTTTGGCTATACTTTTATAGCAATTAAACAAAAACCTTACATGACTGGATAATTAAATCTAATTGACACATAATCAACAGTAATTTGCGCGGTTTCAATTATTTTAGCTAGTTCAATTTATACAGCACAGTAATAATAGTTATTTGAAATTGTATGGCCTTTTTATCTTATAATTGGCTTTCTTAATGGTTTCTATATTCTCCGAATGCTATTATAGATTCTCTTTGCCTATTTTAATAAGCTTTATGACAAAATAGATATTTTAAAAGAAGTAATTTAAAATTACTTCCCCAATTTTGTGAAGTATCATCCATTCTTGAAAAATTTCTTCGAGACCCACAAAAACAAACAAACAAGAATTAATCAAAAGTTTACAAAATTGAGAGATTATCTAATACCATAAGCTCGTTTGATTTTAGAATTTAAAAAGTAAAATTAATTATCAATTTAGATCAAAGCGATTAGAGTTATCTTCCAAAAACACAGTTTAAAAAATTATTGATAAAGACAAACAGGAAACTGAACAATAATTTTCTGCAGATATCTTCAGTGTCAATAATCTTATACAGTTAAATCCTTTATAACAGAGTCAAATAAAAAAAAATGAATACTCATTTCCCAACACTAAATTAGAATAAAACTCATTTGCACTTCAATCTTAAAGAGAATATGTAAAATAAAACGAAAACCCAGAAAAGGCATAGTTAAATTTTGCACAAAAGAATACATGATGTAAAATAAATTCAAATTTATTTCAACTTCAAAATCATCGTTAATAAAATATAAATAAGTATTTAATTTATAAATCACAAAAATATCTTCTCAAAGGTGACTGATTGGTGAATTGCATCTCCAATTTGAAAGAATTATCAATTAGATTAGCATAGCAATTAAGGAAGTTACAATGCAGGACTTTAATTAATTAGAAAATTATTTTCTCTCTATCCTTTATAATAATTTCAAGCTTAATTGATCTGATCTAACATTCCAGATATATTGAGAATCATTATTCATTAAATATTCTTCAAAAGCATTAATTCACTTCAATAGAAATGAAATCATTTCATATCCTTTTACATCCGATGATTGATTATAATCACAATAACTTTAGTTGACTTTAGGCAAAGCTGGTGGATTAAACTTTAAGAAATTTTATGTTATTTTCAAGTGTAATTTGAGTTTATAATAATTAGGGAAATTTGCTTAATTTTTGTAAGTATGTATATAAAAATATTATCACAATAATTTTTGAACCAAATTCCTTCTAAATAAAGCCTTTAAAAAGTTAATAATCTAATTTTCTATTTTCTGATTTTTATGTTGATTTTATAGACAGTTCTTATTAAAATTTTGCAATACCATGTCTTTAATTAGAAGGAATTTGATGACAAGGAATGATACCATTTAGTTTATATTATCTTTTAGATTGTTACTAGGGTATTTGAAAATGGCTTATTATTATTGTTATTCTTTTGGAGATTTATCCACAATTTTATTGTGTATCATCAAACGCTTCTCTTATTTGAATGAATTCAATTCTCAATATATTTTTCATAAAATGTTCTACATTTTGCAATATTGATATCCTTGTAATAAATAATGAATTTGATGATAATAATAACATTGAATTATTCAGTGATTTTAAATAATAAATAATCTGATATTTTATTAATAAGGGAATTATATACTGCATAGAAACAATATTCATTTCAATTCCATGACTTATTCATAAATGCATAAGTAATATATAATGGTCTGTCTTTACTTTTCCAAATCGCTAATCTTTATTTTGGTAAGATATTTTTTGCAATTAAGAGTAATAGAGCAAGGCTTTAAGGATTTTGTAAGATTGTTAACTGAAATAAAATATTAATTATTTAACAGAAAATATATATAAAAATTATAATATATTTTTAAGTTAATATTAATTTATTGTCTTTTCATGTTTGAACCATAGAATTAGTTTTATCTATTAATTCATAATTATTATTGTTCAATGGTATGCTATCAATTAACTCTTTCAATTGATTATCCTGAGGTACAACTTTTTCAAATGTTCCTTCTAAATTGAATGTTAATTAATATGCAATTGAATTAGCTTGCTTCTGAAAATATACATTTAAAAAAAAATATACGTGTTCCACTTTAATAATAAGTTTCAGCCATATAATTATTCTTTGTTATACTATGATCTGCATCAATCAATGCATTTTCATATTGATTGATCCTATCAAATAATTAGCCTGTGTTTATATACCCAAATATAATTCTTAGATTGTAGGTTTCAGGAAATTTTTGGATTAAAGGCCAATTCAATTACTTGTAAGGCTTCTGTTAAGTTATTTTCAATTAACAGCTCCTTTAAATATTTAAAGAACTAATAGAACCTGGCTTTTATAGCTATGAGTAATGGCTTCAAGATTATTTTACTCTTTTAATAGTTGTTACATATGAGAGGATGTTGCAAATTTTTAAATAATTAATCAAATTTTAGAGGTTAAAATTGAGTGGAGAATGAAATTGAAATGGAAAATAATGGGGTTCAAATTATAAAGCCCTTGCATCTGGAATATTTATATTAAAAGTTCAATTTTAAAAGGCAATAAAATATATAGTTTACAACTAATTGAGATTTTAAGTACTATTTAAAGAAAGTTATATTGAACATAAACTGAATTTTTGTTTGCTTCTCAAGTCTCAAAGAATTGGCAATTTCTTTTTTTTGTTCCATCAATTTATAAATAAATTTGCACTTACTTAAGGACAAATATTGTGATAATCACAATGTTTTTCTAAATAAGATATGCTATGACATAGGAAATGTTAGTGTTTATTGTTTATGAAAATTCTTACTAATTTAAATAAACCTATCTTTATAGTATTAAAAAATAGGAAATAAAATACTTTTTTAGAGAAAGTTTTTATCCTCAAATTCAGCAAAAATAGGTTAGGTTTAAAAAATTTAATAACAAATAGTATTGTTCATCAAACAAGTGACAACTTAGAAAATAGTTCACATATCTGACAAAGTGATATCTCAGAAATTTAGTTTATACAAAACCTATATTAGACAATGCCCAATATACTTAAAATCATTATAGTTTACATCTACTCGAATTCCTTAAATATTGTGTTGTAATAGATGGTCATGAGTTTAGTATATTAATTTAGAAAAATGGAGGCATAGAACTAATTTTGAATATTCTAGAGTAATTATAATAATCAAGACATATAGATATTTGTTGTTGGAGTTAAACAACGTGAATTCACTGAGTATACTTGATATCAAAAAAGTTACGGTAGAAAGAATTTTCTTGCACTCTGTAATTAGATTAAATAACATTATGATGAATTATCTTTACTTGGATGCTTCAAAATATTAAAAGAGTCCCTTCCATTTACAAAGCAAACTTATAAAATTCTTATATAAAGCTAAGCAATCAATAATTTGTTAAAATTAATCTTAAGTTAAAATTAAAAAAATCAGCAACGCTTCTTTTGAATAGATAACTGGATTATTATATTCTAATGTAGAATTATTAGATTAGAGTTTATCAAAAGAGTGTCTTGACTTATTGGATAAACTTCTTCAATAAAAAAATCGCATATCGAAAAAGGAGATGTACACTCTATATTTTACTTAGGTTCTATATTGTATTTCATAGTTTTTTGGAGGCACTTTATTACACTGTTATTTGAAAACAAAACTATGATTTCTTAGATTATAAAATTTGTTAAAAACAATTAGAGTGATGAGGCTAAGGAAATGGTATAACTTTTAGGAAAAGTATATGAAATTATAACATATCTTTTTCATGAAGGAATAATAATAGAATTAATTTAGCGACTTGAATCATAAATGAAGACGATATTGAAGAAATTATAAATTCACTGTAGAATATAATTAACCGTACTTAAAAGTAGCTATATTTTATTTCAAAGTAATAATTAAAAGTAGAAATTACTAAATAAAACACAAGTTGAGGCTATCAAGAAACTATAAAGCCATAAAAGTAAAACCATAAAAACAATATTAAATAATTGATCCTTCTGTTGGAATGATTATGTTTGAATTAAATACAATTTTTGTGAAATTCATTCTAGTTGAATTTAAAGTCCAAATATTATTTTTCATATTTTTTCTAAAGATGTTTTAAGCAATATTTCTCTTCATCTATTAGAATATTTGAAAAATTACTTATTTTAGATTAATTTAATAAATTTATAAACAGCTAATCATTTCAAGAATTTGTGAATATNCTCAGAAATTTAGTTTATACAAAACCTATATTAGACAATGCCCAATATACTTAAAATCATTATAGTTTACATCTACTCGAATTCCTTAAATATTGTGTTGTAATAGATGGTCATGAGTTTAGTATATTAATTTAGAAAAATGGAGGCATAGAACTAATTTTGAATATTCTAGAGTAATTATAATAATCAAGACATATAGATATTTGTTGTTGGAGTTAAACAACGTGAATTCACTGAGTATACTTGATATCAAAAAAGTTACGGTAGAAAGAATTTTCTTGCACTCTGTAATTAGATTAAATAACATTATGATGAATTATCTTTACTTGGATGCTTCAAAATATTAAAAGAGTCCCTTCCATTTACAAAGCAAACTTATAAAATTCTTATATAAAGCTAAGCAATCAATAATTTGTTAAAATTAATCTTAAGTTAAAATTAAAAAAATCAGCAACGCTTCTTTTGAATAGATAACTGGATTATTATATTCTAATGTAGAATTATTAGATTAGAGTTTATCAAAAGAGTGTCTTGACTTATTGGATAAACTTCTTCAATAAAAAAATCGCATATCGAAAAAGGAGATGTACACTCTATATTTTACTTAGGTTCTATATTGTATTTCATAGTTTTTTGGAGGCACTTTATTACACTGTTATTTGAAAACAAAACTATGATTTCTTAGATTATAAAATTTGTTAAAAACAATTAGAGTGATGAGGCTAAGGAAATGGTATAACTTTTAGGAAAAGTATATGAAATTATAACATATCTTTTTCATGAAGGAATAATAATAGAATTAATTTAGCGACTTGAATCATAAATGAAGACGATATTGAAGAAATTATAAATTCACTGTAGAATATAATTAACCGTACTTAAAAGTAGCTATATTTTATTTCAAAGTAATAATTAAAAGTAGAAATTACTAAATAAAACACAAGTTGAGGCTATCAAGAAACTATAAAGCCATAAAAGTAAAACCATAAAAACAATATTAAATAATTGATCCTTCTGTTGGAATGATTATGTTTGAATTAAATACAATTTTTGTGAAATTCATTCTAGTTGAATTTAAAGTCCAAATATTATTTTTCATATTTTTTCTAAAGATGTTTTAAGCAATATTTCTCTTCATCTATTAGAATATTTGAAAAATTACTTATTTTAGATTAATTTAATAAATTTATAAACAGCTAATCATTTCAAGAATTTGTGAATATTCCATAAATTTCAAAATTTTTTTTAGAATACAAATTTTATATTCATAGAATAGATTCTTAAAAATTATCAAGTAAATCTTTCGAAAAAGAAAATTGTTAAATTGCAAGTCCTAGTTCATAAATTTTAAAAAGCGTTGACACGCTTGCACCTTATTTGTTCACTATAAATTGAAAATTCAAAATTAAATATAGTTAATTATTTTAATTCACATCTGCAAAACATGGAATTTATTTTACATTATTAAATATATCCTTAATAATATGTATATTTACACAAGTTATGAAAAAAATCAGCCTAACTAACCTCTAAACAGCATAAGTGATATTCGACAGACAATCCAAACAAATAATACCGAATAATTCGAATTCGAATAAATATAAAGTTGTTGATATAGAATTTATATATATATTAGGTAGCTAATAAATTGAAGATTCTTTAAAAAGAGCTGATTATATCAGCAGTGCGTATGCGGCAATGATCATAGAGAATTTTATTATACTTGCAGTAATTCTCCTTGGTCTTTATTCTGAATTACAATATTGGTTGATTACAAAAAGTTCTAATATTAAAGACTTTTGCTATTGTGAAATGATAGGTGTATCAGAGTGTAATTTAGGATGCGTTATTTCCCAAAAAAATGAATTTTATATTCAGCCAACCTATTTTTTTTATTGTTGTATTTTAATTGGAGTTATTCTATAAATTTGGTTGAATTTAGGAATAGTTTATTTTAGAAAGGTATAAAATAGCATAATTATTAAAATAGCTATTTTGGGCTTAACAGCTAATTTTGTTAATTGTAGTATTTTCTTGTTATGCATTTATGATCTCAACATTATGCACATTGATTGCTTATAATTTTGGCATTGGATTGATTTTTCTTGGTTGGTTGAATGCATTTGTGATAATTTTCTGCTTCGCCTTCTATACAATGAAAACAAAAAGTGAAATGAATTATGGAAGTAGAATTTATTTATTATATTTAAGTTGGAGCACTCTTTATAATGAGTCCAACTATTTTCTTTTTAATTACTTTTATCAAAATAACTCCCAATTCTGTTATGTTCTTATTGCTAAACAGCCTAATTTTAATGAGTTTTGGATTCTATTTGATTTGGGAATCAAAAAAAATGTTAAACTAATAGAGAGTATTAGACTATCTTAATTAATTTAGATTATTCAATTATCATTTATTGAAATACTAATAGGATCAGAATTACTTATTTCTTTTGTAAATTAGGGAGTCTTTAGAGGAGTTGAATTGTTAATCAAAAAATTAAAAAAATGATCTCATGATTACAAATGATATTTATTATTTATGAAAAGAGCAATGCTATTTTATCAAATTAAAAATTAATAATTTTTTAGAGTTTATTTATGAAATGATAATACTATTATTTTTTAACAATTTTATTTAGGTATTCATTTCAAAATGTAATCATTTTTTTTCTTGTAAATTTTCACATTTCTCTGAGAATAACAAAAATTGATAATTTTAGGAGAATTGGAGTCATTAGCCAATATTACTTGTTTCTCAAACGCCTAAAGGAATCATTTTAAAAATAAGAACTCTCAAATCAAAAAAATTTGCAATTTTGCAAAATCAATTAGCTTAAATATCCAAAAAATTCAACTATATCAGTCAATTTTACCTTATAAATACATTAAAAATCAAAGAGCTTCGAAGATACTTCACCTTAAAAAAGTATAATGAGTTATTATTATTCATTATTCTAACTCAGCAATTAATATTATAGTTTATAACTGTTCCATATAAAGTTTTACTTTGCGAATTATTTGTAGAAATTTATTCGTTTCCCTAAATTGCAAATTCAAAAAAAAGGCTGAAGAAACTATTGAATTTACAATTAATAACAAATAGTGATCGACAATTAATTTGGTTTTTGTGATAAAACTTACTTCATTAATTAGGCCTATATGATGTAGGGATTATCAATCGATATAAAAATATTTAGTACTCTCCAGGTTTAATTTTATTCACAATAAGAATTCAAGCTATTCGAATATATCTCAATTCAAAATTAATGATTACTTCAATAATCCTTAAAATATATCAAGAAAGATATTTCGCCTAAACTTGATACCTAAATAATTGATTAGATATATGATTATCATATATAATTTAATAAAATCTTTAACAAAAACTTGTCATTGGGTAGATCTGGAACGGGGCTTTTCAAAATACATAAACTCAATCATGATTGCGGCTGCTAAAATTAACGCTTTATCCTCTTTTGTTGCTTTTTAAGGGAACATAACACTTATATTGTCACAAATGGAAAATGAGTCTGTATTGCAACAAGTCTTAACCTACTTTAACATGGAAGCAACTATTAAATTCATTTATTTTTTGTACCCACTTCTCCTGTTGGCAGTTTGATATCAAAGTTAATCTAATTACATTCTATACTGCAAGGACACCTACACCAAAAATAGCTTTGGCAAGTACTGGCCTCAATCATGTATCTCAGTTAATTGTCAGAATCAAAAATATTACAACCGATTTGACAACAATAAATTGGATCAATAATGTATCCTAACTATTTGTTTTATCCATTTTCGACATAATAAACCTCAAGACGTGGCCTAAGATTAAACTCAATAGATATACTTACCTATTGCAACAGCAACATGTACATTAATACTCTCTTTTGAACTTGAAAATGGTTTGATCTGATGATTAGAATTATTAATTTTTATTAAACTAATAGTCACTGCATCCAAAATTATCGACAAACATCTCAAAAGGTCTTATCTTTGGTCTAAATATTTTATATTAAATACCCTAAACAGCATCTGTCACAGTCCGTGGATTTTTCTTTACATTTGAATAATTATTACATTTCTATTTAGTCTCCTAAATGATCAGCTGAGTATACTCGAAACACATTGGGAGTTGGAAATCCAAATGAAATAGGTTCAAATCTTTCTTAGATATGGATTCCTTATTAAGAGCCCAAAATATCCAGACAGGTTCGCGTTTTGGGATTGTCTGCATAATTGGACAGTTGGTAAGCATTTGTTTAGTCTAAACTGTCAAGAGTTTTAAGAGGGGATTGCATAAAAAGATATTAAAATAATGGATTCTTTATTTTCTATATTGATCTTTAGAAGTTTTGAGTGGATCTATATTATTTTGAAATTAGCTATATTTAGAATATAAGAAATTTATCATTCTAATTTTAGGATCCATTAGATGAAATTGGCAAATGACTATTATTTAAACTATATATAGAGGTTGAAATAAATATGACAAATTAATAGAGAATAGTTATTCCATAAATATTTTTATAAGTTTTTAATGTAATTTAATTTTATACTAATTATTATTTAATTATAGTAATTAACAAATACTGGTGAGTTACCAATTTTTGATATTAAAGACAAATATTACATAAATTTAATTAACACAAAATTCTTGAATAGTATCCTCTACATCAGATTAAATTTGATCAATATTATGTACATAATGAATGAGAAACAATCACATGGATAAGGATTTGTAATTTAGTTAAAAGTAGAGATTTAAATTTGATAACAGATCAAGAAGAAGCAAATGCACTTAGGATATGAATGATTTAACTTGATTATTTTTATTAATTATTTAATAATTGTTTGTACTATCAAATCATTTTAACAGATTCCTAGCGATAATGACTTTCATTATTTCATTGGTACCTTCAAGTATTTGATGCACTCTTAAGTCTCTTACAATTCTATTGATATAATAGAATGATTACCTTTCTATTTGATATTCACTCAAATATCCATAACCTCCATGAAGTTGCAATGCTTCATTTGCAACATTGAAACAACTGTCAGTAGCATATCTCTTTGCCATAGCAGAATACAAAGTCTTATCAGGATGACTGTTGTCAATCATTTGAGCAGCCTATCTCACAATCAATCTAGAAGTAACAAGATTGGTGGCCATATCAGCAAATTTAAATTGTAATCCTTAAAATGCAGCAAGTGGTTATCCAAATTATTTACGATCTTAATAATTAGTAGTAATTAATTGGTACCATGCAAGTAATCTTTGGCTAAATCAAAAGCAAATGATGCACCTCCAAGAGAACAAGATGCAATGTTAATTCTACCTCCATCCAATGCACTCATTGCCATTTTAAATCCATTACCTTCTTTTCCAAGAAGATTGGATTGAGGAACACGTACATTATCAAATAGTACCATGGCTGTAGGCGAAGCATTCCATCCCATTTTGTCTTCGAGTTTACCAAATGACAATCCTGGTGTTCCTTTTTCAACCAAGATGCATGATACATCCTTCTCTGATGTTTTACACATTAACAAATAAACATCACTTACAGATCCTCCAGAAATAAAACATTTAGATCCATTAATTACATAATCATTTCCATCCTATTTTTAGATATCAATAATACTTTCTTTGCAAATGTCTTCATGTTCTTGCTATCGCTGCCACTATTGGGTTCAGTTAAACAATATGAGGCAAATGCATCAAATGTACCAAAACGAGGAATCCATGTCTTTTTCTATTCTTCATTACCAAATTAATCCACCATGTATGCGCACATGTTTTGAATTGTTAAATATGCTGTTGTTGTTACATCTCCATATGACAAAGCCTCAAAGATTACACTTGCTGTTAAACGATCCAAGCCAACACCACCTTATCATCATTTCTAACACTTTACCTGATTCCTATTTTACATATATTGTTGAGAATCCCATCGCTGCTAACTCACGTAAGACATCCTTTGGAAAATGATGCTTCTTGTCCCATTCAGCAGAGTATGGTGCCATCTTCTCTTTTGCAAAATCTAATGCTGCCTTCTATATCTAGAGATGTTCTTCATTAAGAAATGTGCTGTCACTCAGGTATTTGAATCCAAATCTTGGAATAGAATTCACCATCACCCTATTACGTATTATTTGCATATTAAATATATTGAAAATATTATTATTTACACATTTCTTTTAATTTTTTTGTTAAACAATACGTATTAAGCTTTATCAAGGTTTCTAATAAGAAATATTTATAATTATGATTTTGATAGAAAATAATTTAACTAGAAATAGGGGTATGAACATAGTAATTTATAATTCATAAATGGAATGAAATTGTATAAATTTGTATTAATAATCTTGGATGAAAATTAAGTCGGGATTATCAAAAACTATTTTATATTATCTCGTGTTCAAGTTAGTTATAATATTAATATATTAAAATGAAAGTTAAATTAATTTTAGGAGAATACGCATATCTATATCATGGCAACTTGGATTTACAAGATATTAACAATTTCATTAAAACCCTGACTCAATATTCGGTCATTATAAAATGGAAGGATTTGGATGATGAAATGATAAGAATACTTAGACCACAAGATCTAAAATATTGTGTTGATATTGCTAGCAAACAAAAATAAACACTTCGTCTCTATCTCTAAGAATGTCTACCTAGTTTTTAGCAATTTAATCAAAAATAATTTCAATATCAATGGAATCAGCAATCCATGCTATAATCTAATTGCCAATAAATATAAGAAAGTAATTAATTTGAAATGGAAAATCTTATCCTCAGGAAAGAAGTTACTTTTGCTCAAAAATAAAGTAATGATCATGATAGCAGCCAAACCTTTCTTGATTCTTACGAAAAATAAAAATATTTTCAATAAATTGCACTCACAGTGATATAAGAAGTATATCCTGGTTTATAAATCGATTTTGATGACATCAATGAAAAAAAGAAAACAGTATAAACGAATCAGATTTCATAACAATATGAATAAATTGAGTAAAAACCCTTAAGAAAAATGGAATCCAGATAAAATACAGAAAAGATGACACCCTAATTTAATGAAAAAAGGTAAGATGAAAATTTTATTCCAGATAATTAAAGTTATTCAATGATTAACTAAAATAAATAGAGTCTCAATTTAAAACTTGAAGAAAATTCAAATTCTGATACAGTCCATTCATCAAGATAAAATGAGAATTTTGGAGATATTTATTTTTGCGATTATTGCTCAGAATAAATAGAAATTGAATTTGGGTACAAGTGTGAGAAACAAGAATGTTTAGATCTTCACTTTTGTTAGACTTGTGTAGATAAATTAAAAAAGGAAATTCATGAGCATGAATTGGTTAAGTTAGAAAAAGGTAATTGAATCAATATTAATAATTCTTTATCAATAATTTATTTCAATCGATTCTCATTATCTTAAAATCAAATAATATTATTCTTTCTGACTCTCACCTTTAACTTATTTATTTATACATTAGATAAATCATCTTTTAAAGTAAAATCGTTTTCGTTCTATCGCATGTAATTTTAAAAAGAGATTGAGCAATTTTATAAAAAAGTCTTCAGAAAACTACTATTTTAATGATATTTATGCCATAAATCTTAATGTTACATTGAATTATTTTCATATTTTTCATCTAATATATTTCTTACCTAAGGTCTTAGACTCGAATAAATATCTTAAAATATTATTTAATCTATTTATCACTTCTCTTGTAAATTTTTTAACTTTTTATACATATCTATATTTTAATTCATTTTTAAATCAATTTATTATTGATCTTTACTTATAATCATAAAAAATTAGGTTAAATTATTGGTTATTCACATTTTGATATTTTGTATTTATTTAATATATTATGATTTGTATGTATTTATAATCAAATCAGTAAATTAGCTTTACAGCTAATTCTCTTTTTCATCATCTTCTTCTGCATTTGCCTTTGCCTTTGCCTTTGCCTTTACCTCTATTTCTACTTCTAGAGGTTGATATCTCTGATATTAAATTATTCACTTATTCATGCAGTTCATCAGTTCTCCTTTACTACTAAACCAATTATTACTATTGTTCTTAGATAGTTCTTTCATATCTTTACTCTATTTCTCTTTATCTCATTTAAGCATTCATATTTTCTCTTTCCTGTTATTATTGAGCCAAAATTGTTCTAAATTCAGCTTCTCTTCTTTCTTATTCTTTTCTTACTTCTAAGATATTATTTTATAGCTATCTATTTTATTCTTATGAAGCTTCCACTCTATCTTCTAATCTTTGATTCAAAATCTATTAATAGTTAATTTATTATTATTAATTTTAGATACTCTGATTTTATCTTGCTATTTCTAATTAACTATTTTGATTTTATTATCTTTATTCTTTAAGATCTTATTGTAATTACATTCCATCTTCCTCAAGATCTGTGATTCTAGCTTACATTTCAATTTATTGTTGTTAACGTTCAATTTTTTAAATGAAATGTTTTTAAAGTGCTTAGAATTATTATTAAGCCCTTTGGATAGATAAAACAACTTCAGAGTAATTTTCTATTTAATTAGAAAATTGTGAACAATAATGTAAAATCTGCTTCAAATTATTCACATTTTTTTGAATTTTTTAATCTCCTGGGATTTTTTCACAAGTTTAAATAAAATTTGTATACCACTAAGAAATATCAGTTGTTTTTTCTTTGACAATATTTTCTATCAGAGATATTGCTTATTTAATTTGTCCATCATTTTTTGGATCACTATTTCCCTGGCATAATTAATCGACATTCCTAGTGATAATATCATCATATTCATCAACAGTCAATAATATTTATTATCGTAGATATTTTGAAAATATATCTGTTTTTGGAATTGTTTTAGGTTTCAATTGAATTGGTTTTATCTATTCTAATTTTTACCATTATTCATTTCTTTTTCCATTTGCAAAATAAATATTTAAATCTTCAGAATTCAATACTTTTCTGACTATAAGAATATTATCTATATAATTATTCTTATTAGCTTATTTCAATTCCATTCTAATATTTCTTATCAATTCTTCATCTGATAAATTTTCTAAATAGCAATTCAATAGTAGATTAAATTTATTAATGCTTAAATTACTATTCTTAAAAAGTTGATCAACAAATTCTATTATTTATATTCCTCTATTAGGTAGAGTGCTTTCATTGTTCTTCAAAACATATACAACTTTAATAGGCATTGATGTGACAACCTTTTAAAACAATAGCTCCATTAAAAGTTGATCTAATTCTCCATCAGTATCTTAAAAACCAGGGAAGTCAATTAAAAAATGGTTATATTCAGAATTAAAATGATATTTAGGTTCTTTTGTAACAGAGCTCATTCCACCTTTCATCTCTGAAAACTTATTTGAAGGGTTTTTTAATTTCAATTCTCTATCCTGAATTTTGAAATCAGCTCCACTAAGAAAGTTAAATAATGTGCTCTTCCCTGCTCCTGTTGTTCCTACCAATAGCACAATTTCTATGTTCTTTTTTGCATTAGTACTAAATGTAGAAAATAGCTCTTAACATTTATCTATTACTTTTAGTATTTCTATTTCAATCTATTAACAAAGTTGATTGCTTAGCTCAATTTCCATTTATTATTTTTTTTATATAATAATAGAAAAAAATCCTATATGCGCTTATTAATCTCAAAAAATTAGAATTAAAATTCTATTATTAGATATAGAAAACAATTCACTAAATTGATAACATAATTTAAAAATTCTATAAATTTAAAAAAAATACAATTAATAGAAATATAATTTTTAATAAACCTTTTAAATAAATAGAATTTGTGTTAATAAATATTATATAATTATGTCATGATTTTAAGTTGATATCTTGTTAAGTTATATCCCAATTTCTATTCATAAGTGAAACATTTTTAATTATAATTTAAAATAAATGAATTAGTTGAGTAATCAAAAAGAATTTACATTTTTTTATTCGAATTTTGGGTAGATTAAATATATTGCTTTACACCTTTAATTGAGATAATATTGAAAATTAGGGTCTTAGAACTTAAAATTGCTTTAATGATTACTATTAGTAAAATTACATGTCTAGTATTGTTAAATTTATGGGAAAATTATTTCTATTGAAAAATGTTTATTGTAATGAACCAAAATTAAATAAAATTGAATTAATTTTCAAAATATTCTAAAAGATTGAGTTTAATGAAAATCAGAGTAATAGAATTAAACCAGTTTTCAAATTTTTAAGAATTTAAATAAAACATAAATCAAAAAGAAAGTCATTAAAGTTTAAACTGGATAGACAATTTAAGAGGTAATTTATACTATTTGTTTTACTTTTGATCAACTAACTTAATTTTTTTTCATCTTTACTAATGATAAATATTAAATTATGTCAATCTGAAATATTTTGCTAAAAAGAACAACATTACTCTTATAATTTGTTAATTAAAATGACTTTTAGTAATTGAGGTGACATAATTAAGAAATTATTAGTTTTTTGAGGACTGAAATTGTTCATCATCAGTATCAAAATAAATTAATGTCTTATAGTGGAAGATATATTATTTATCAGACTTTTTAAAATTTTTAATTTTGGCATCAGTAAACTGCTTTTAGCAATGTTTTTCCTTCATTTTAGAAAATTGAAAAACAATTATTAAAATTTAGGTAATCATAAAATACTTCTATAATCATCCAATTATAGAAATTTATCGGATTAAACTCCTTGATCTATCTGAACCTATTTATATTATCTATTTTACCATAGATAGCGATTATATAATGATTATCTTGATCCAAGTTAAATAAGGCTATTTTTTTTTCTTTAATCTAACACTTTTAGTAGTTTTTTTATAGATCTATTGTTAGAAATAATAAATACCTTAGTATTTTAGTGTTATGGGTATCTTACATCTATTCACATCTTTCATTATATATTATTAATAAATAATAGATTTACAATAAATAATAGAATATATTTAGAATTTTGATTGAAAAACTATTGCTAAGGATTTGAAGTGTTGATGTATATATCAAATGGATATATTTAAATACTTTTGACAATAAATTTATTGATTAATAAAACTTTCCATTTTTCAATTCAATCCCATCTATTTTTACCCAAATTCAGTAAGAAAATAGAGTCTAATCTTCAGAATTACATCCCTTTTTCTCACAAATGCCATTAAAAAATGTGCATAATTAGAGGGTGATATTAATCACTTAGATAATTGAAAATTAATAAAAAATAATCAATTTTATTCGTGATTGCCTACTTGTGCTTCTAGATTAGAGATTCTTAATTGTAGTTCATTTAATTTAATGGCCAGAGCAGTCTTTTCACCTTTGAGATGTGTTAGTTGAGTTTGTATTCTAGAATTTTCTGCTAATTGATATCCAACTTCTCTCTTCATTTCATCATCTAAATGGCTTATAGATATAAATGATATTACATTAACTCATTCTAAAGTGTTTTGAGCATGTCTTCAGTTTTATTGGATAAAATAGCTTCAAATTCATCTTTAAGTTATTTTAATGATTGATATTCCTTTCTGTGAATTTCAACAGAATCAGCCACTTCATACATGAGTGATTCTAATGATGAGATCTTACCTTTTAAAGAGGCATTGTTTTATGAATTATCAATTGAATTAGAAGTAATGCTAAATGAACTATAATGTGTTTTTTGCATTTTTAATTTATAATGATAATAATCATCTTCTTTGCAATGATTTCATGTATCTCACAAATTACTTTTCTCGAATGGTTCCATTGCCGTCAGGATCACAACTTTAGATGATGCTTTACAATGATTCATCATTGAGATTTTCATTACACTCTGAAGCCAATTCTCTTAAGTCATCAATAGTGATGTAGCCTAAGTAAGATGAAAGTGAGATTACCCTTATAATCCTGATCAATCTAATAGAACACATTTGCATAATCTTCATCAGTATCTTTTTCTCCAGGATGCGTGGACATCATTCTTACAAATTCCCTAAATTCAATAATACCACTTTGATCAGAATCAAAATCTGCAATCATTTGATAAAGGATCTGTTTTTTTGGTTGATATTTGCCAACCATAGCAAAGGCCTTTCTGAGATCCATGGGTTATATGACACCATTGTTATTTGAATCTAGAAAATCAAAGATTTCTTTATATAAAATAATATCCCTCTTTGTAGTTGTGGCAGTAATATAATCGTTTGGATCAAATTTAGGCTCGGGTGGTATAAAGGATGAAGTTGAGTTTGTGGGACTTAATTATTAGGGAGGGGGAACTAATTAGGAAGCAACTAATTTATTTTAAGGTAAAGTAGGAGCTGAAATTGTATTTTTCTTTTTATTCATATTGCAATTATAAATATATTTTATTATTTATTAAATTATTCATCTTTCATTATTCTTCTTTCATATTCATTAATTTAGATTCATCTCCCAGATCAAAATCCTTCAAACTAAAATCACATTTGTTTTATCTTCCCATTTCTGAAGTCACACTCTTAGTTGAGGTTATGAACTTCATGAACTTATTTTGTCTATCTTTTCTAAGGGCTGGTTGCTTAGACTCTTCGATTTGTTTGATTAGTTCATATTTGAGGAAACGAGACTCTTTATTAAATTATGGCATATTACACTCTTTTTATCACAATTCATAATGGTTATACTCTTAATGTGAAGTCGATTATTGGATTCCTCAATGAAACTAACATCATCTCATAATATCTTACTCAATAACTGATCTGATGAGGACTTCGGAACTGAAGGATCTACTTTACTTAATAGGACAATCACAAATTAAGATGTCCTTGTACTGATCATCATTTAATTGTGTCAAACTATTAATACTAATATTGTAATACCACTCTTTGAATCCATTATAATATTAAAACAAATCTTTTTCTGACTAATCAAATACCATTATTTAATACCTCGAATGCTCTCACTCGATAATACGCTATGCATTTGTAGTTGCTCATTTCCAGGTTTTAAGTGTACACATTCTCGTAACCAACTATAAAGGTACTGTAATCATAGTACTTTTACATAAATTGTCATAAACTTGTTGTGTATAAGATGCTTGCAAAGGTATTTTCTCGGGATTCGTATATAAACAAACTCAAATAAGATATAAATTAATTACTTACACTCTCTCCCGATTCTTTCGATATATCGCCTAATTTTACAGTTATTTTGACATTCAAATATTCTCGAAATATAACTAATTCATTGTTCAGCACGTGATATTCCTTGTCTCTAGATAGACAACACATTCCTTCCTAATTGCCCATATGATATTATATAAATAATAAATAATAAAAACACATTATATACAAATTTTCATTAGATAAAATGAATTCTTCTACCCCATTCAAGACTGTCCATCAGATTTTAGAATTGTTGTTCTGTGATTTCAGTCCCAATTTAATTGGACATAGTTCTTTCTCCTATCATAATATCCTAGGCTAGAATCATGTCATCAGAACTAACATCGACATAATTCTCTTAATCAAACCATGGATGTAAGGGTATTTCTTATAAATAGTATTAATACCTTCGGCAGACAATCTCTAATGAGGATGTGGTTTGAGCAGTCTCTTAATTAGGTCTCTTTGTACTTGATTCAACTTTAAAAATTCTTTGGAGTATTGAAATTAGGGGTCTGGGGATGTAATTTACTCTATAGTTTCACTGATGGTCTCAGCATAAAAGGGCAAGGTTGAACATAACAACTGAAAGAGTATTATCCCTATGGACCAGATATCAACTGGATAAATCAATATTTGAGTTACCTTTTTCATCATAACCTCCTCCCAGAAACACTTCCGGAGCCTAATACAAGATTGTGCCAGTCGCAGTCCACATTTCAGTAAAGGTGTCTCTGTATTTGAATCGTTTAGACACTCCAAAATCGATTAATTTGATTTGGAGGTTTGGTTCAGTTTAAATCAAAATGTTTTCTGGCTTTAAATCTCTGTGTGAGATTCCTCTGGCATGAATTTAAGCGATAATCTAAGCCAACTATTTAATCGTGTCTTGTTTCTATCGGAGAGTGAGGTTGCGGTACACTTATTCCAAATTAGGACTATCACAATATTCTATCACTTGATAATGATGCTTTGTTTATTGATCAATGAATAAATCATATGTTCTGCATACCTGAGGGATGTCTTGTAATTATCTTTGTAGATTGAAGGTCTGTATTATAGTATTGACAATCTCTGGGTCATCAGTTCTGAAACATTTAACAGCAAAAACTTGTATGGATTTAGGCATTAATGATTTTGTACTTCTCTGTTTAGGTATTTTGTAGCATTTTCTAACAACCGAATGCGCACCCTCACCTATACTAATTTTTAGAAGTAATACCTATTTATTCCTGTAATACATAGGCATCCTTAAATCTCACAGCCGATTACACTTATTCCTATTAGACAATTACATTCTCAATGTCCACTGATCTTCTGATTCTTAGTCCTTGTTTGCCAAACAAATGAGTCCTTAATTCATTCCTAATATTTTCCTTATGCTTTCTAATACTATTGAGCATATATATAAAATCCAATTAAATTAATTATGAATCGTATTACCAATGGTGTGATCGGATTGGCATTTAAAAACTCCTTCTTCTTTAGTGCTGCCAAAAAGGCGAAAATGGAATTGACAGTCAGAACTCCATACAAAACTATCATTGACAAGTTTGATGGTTTCTCTAGAATTGTAGCTAAGACCAATGAAGTACTTTCTCTCTCACATTTAGGCTGCACTTATCATACAAAATCGTACTCCAGCTGCAGTATATATTTTACCACCTGGACCATTGAAAATTAAATTCACTTAGGATGTCAAGGGAGTAACGGGAGATTTCTTGCATTTGGGAGGATATGTGTTTGTCAACCCGTAAGATAATTATTCATTAATTATAGAGATAACACTTGCGAAATCAATTTGTTAGATGTTGTTGATAGAAAAGAAGCAAAAGTCGATCAATTTGATAAGGCTGATGTCAAAGATGCAGATACAGTTGCTGGAAGATATGCAGGAAAAATAAGGAGAGCTGCATAACGTACCTTCATCAAAAAAGCAACAGCATGATTTATAATACATAAATAATTATTTAATGTATTTGAATTGCATGTCTTCTAATATATATATAAAATATTAGCCAAACACTTTAAAATAATAAGATCTCATATGATGTCATATTCACATTTATAACCTCAGTAATTGTCTTACAATTTATTATCAAAATTAACAATTATATGAAGTTACTTGTGCTCATATTTTTAAGTCATCTCCTTATAGTTCACTCACAAGAGACTGAAGATATTAAGGGATATATGTATGTATTTGCATAAGAATGGCCTGGATCAATATGCAAATTTTAAAAGTGTACCAAAACCTACATGGGTAACTATGACAATGCAAGATGGAACACTCATGGTCTGTGGCCCAACACCATGCTAGCCACATCATGTGGATTTATCTCTAATTGCAGAGATGAAACATATGACGAATCTAAATTAACAGTAGCAACCAAGACATTGATAGATGTTACATGGAACGGAATGTATTCTGATACCTTCACATTCAGAAAGTATTCATTTCAATAATTCTAGACATGAATGGGAAAAGCATGGTACATGTCATCCAGATAATTTAACTTAGAATGGATATATGTCAAAAGTAGGCAATTTAAATAATCAATATAATTACTACAAAATATTGGCATCCGCTGGAATCTATCCAGACAATAGCAGAGAATTGACTGATGCTGAATTCAGAGCTCCCTTCACTAAAACCTTAGGTATTTCAACAGCTATGACTTATACTTGTCAAAAAGATTGTAATTATTCATTACTAGAATCAAGCAAACACTGGTAAATTTTACATTGCTGAAGTCAGAACATGCTTTACTTAAGCCATGAAAGCTAGAACTTGTGATTGCAGTAAACCTGTTAGTGCATTTGTCACTTGTGGCAAAACCTTCTATTATCCAACATTCCAACTTTCCAACGATTACGTATCTTATGTTGAGGAACTAGCTGATGAAGTTAGTGGAATATTTTAAAATTTTGCAAATGAGATTATGAATATTTTATTTTGAAAAACGAATATTAACGATATTTTCGAATAGATTAATGTCATGAATATCTACCATATTCTACTAGGCACCTCAATATTCATATATATAATATCTTTTTTGGTAATTACTAACTTGATAGTAAATAATTAATAACAAAATATTAAATAGTATAAATTTAACCAAATTTTAAGGGATTCAATATAGATATTAAACTTGATGATATTCACATCTCTTATCCTTCTAGGACTGGAGCAATTTGTCAAGTAATTTAAAGATAATATAATGAAGAATAAAGTGATGATGGGGATGAATTTAACAAAAAAGACAAAGAGGGATGATGAAAAAGACAAAGGTAAAGATAGAGATCAGTATTTAATTTTAAAAACAGAAAATGATTAAATTTTTGAGTGTTGTAAATATGTGGGTATAAATTTAGAAAATGATTATGAAGTTAAAAAAAATATTAAAATAAAAGAGGTAAAGAAACTAAGATAAATAAATTATTGTCATCTTTAAGTAAAAAATCCCAGATCTCTTTCCTGTTATTTTATCAAATTTGTAAGACTCTACTTTATTTCTAATCTTCTTGATGTCATTGGGGACTTGTCTATTGACATTTTTGACAGCGACTTCAATAAGAGTGAAGCAGAACATGTACTTATTCCTTTTCCTGGAAAATTAGAAGAACTTGGTACAGAATAAATTGATTATTATTATTTGTTCTATTAAAGGGTTAAAAATGACATACATATAATTGCCCTTTATTTGTTTATTAATTGTTACTTTTTTATTGTCTTTCAGTTTAACAATATCTCTATTGCAAAATTTGATCGTATTGGTTTATTAGCTATTGAAAATTGACTTTGTTATCGATGATTTAAGGGATTCTTAATTTAGGAACGATTACATTTGTATTTTTAGATTAATTAGTGCATTTTCCATTATTTTTAACATTCTTTTTATTAACCATCTGTTTAGGTGATATCTTCATTAGTTATCGATTAGTGAATTTGTTAATATCTCTAATTACCATAGAGATATCCTTATCATTTTATTAATAATATAACTAATGAATGGAATTGGATTTGTTAAGAATACTCTATAGTTTTTGTGTAATTGGTTTAATCTAATTATTAGACACGATAGAATTGGAGTAAATATTGTGTTCTGAAGTTTCCCAACTTATTAATCTATTTTCATATTCTTCAATTTCAGATGATTAACTATTAAAAATAACAGAAATACTCAATATTTTATGTGGTATTGAATAATATTTGATATTGCCAAAATATTAATGATATCAAAATTGAAATAAACTCACTATATTTATTGGTGGCTGCCATGTTGTGAACAGGTTATTTTTGTAATTTTTTCAGTTTATTGTTTCGCTTCTAAAGAATTTGATGTGCTGTCACGATTAACAAATTGGGTATTGGAATCTGAGACACAATTGATTGATTATACGCTATAGTACCTTGAATTAAAGTTTGCTCATTATTTATTTTTAGTCCAATTTATTGTAACATTTTGTTAAATAGTCGTTATCATCATTGAAGTACAACAAATCCTTAAATAAAACAACATGATCAATTTGCAAATTGGCTAATATTTCTGATATCGGTTTGGCAAAATAGAAATGAAAGGCATTATAATACCTATTTATTCTTAAATTCCATACTTCTTTTTTAAATAATCAATTTAGAATTACGATAAAGAACTCTAACATAATCTACATTCTTTATATTATTTATATTACATAAATTTAATTATTATTTTATTCTAAGACAATTAACAAAACTATATATATATAAACTTAATTCACTTTTTAATCACCTAGGAGTATTTCTAATACTGCTTGTCAAATCCATCTTTACCAAACAATTTAAATAATTCAACTAATTCTAATTTTTTATTTGTTTTTTTCATAATCTCTCTGATTTCCTTATCTTAAATTGGTTTTTTTAAGGCTTGTTTAATGATTTTCTCTGCACATTTTACTTTTTAATCTTGAAAATTAAAAAATATTGAAAGGTCTGCCTCATCTTTAGTCAACAATTCATCTTAAAAGATAGTAACCATTGCCAATATCAGATCTGTGTATCCCAGAACAGTGCCCTTGATAAAAATGTAATCCCACAACAAAACACAGTCCAATAAATCAAAAAGGTATACAAATCCACTCAACAAAATCTTACTGACCCAAATAGAAGGGGAAATATTACAAGCCATAAAATGGTTATAAACCTTAGGCAATTATTTTTACATTAATTTCATTATGATTTCTTCTATAATGAATAACAACGGAAGGTCCTCTTTAAATAATAAATTGAACATATAGAAAGAAGAATCAAGGAGTTCACCAAAAACACAAACTGTCTGTTATTCTTTAGCACCTGACACCATCAAAAATAAGGCTATATTATCTAATAATGAATCAAATACCTGCTATGTAGTTCATGCCCTAACAATATCCTACTTGAGGATATAAACGAGCTAAATTGGTTAGGACATAATCGAGTTTCTCTATTACAGTACCTTCTTTGAACAATTCACTAATTAAGGTTCTATTTATGTCTTTCTATATATGATATAATGCACTATTTATTTGATTATCCATCTTTTTGTGCATGATATCCTTTTGAAATGTGATAACTTTCCAATATGCCCATCTATACTTTTGTGGAATACCAATCAATCCATAGTTTTTAAATTCTTATTTCTCCTAAATGAAAAATACGAACATATAATATTCAAAATCCTGGGTCATTAATTGACATTCTGTAAAAAACTATTCAATATTCCTAGGTTTTGTAAGAGAATTTCTGTAATTGGATTAGGTTCTAGGAGGTTCATCATAAACTTTAAATGAATTAAGCTTCTCTTCCCATATTTCATCTAGTTTAGAATTATTTCCAACATTTAAATACATCCCAATAGCATGAACATAAGAAAAAGAATTAGATCTGTCATCTTACTTATTATTTACTTGTTTTTTATAATCCAATTCTAGTCTATTTATAATACTAGGCTGTTTTTCTTCTTGAGTGCATTACAACTATCCCATTATTTTAATTAATCATTTAATACAGATCTAATATAATTGAATAATAATTAAATACATTACTAAAATAAAAAAGATGGAATCAAAAAAGCTGAGTAAAATAATTGAACTGATTTTTCTGTCCATTGCTGTAAGAATAATAACCTTATATCATAAAGTGGTTATCAGTGATGGCCTGTTTAATAAGGACTGATTTTAATTTCCCATTTGCCTTTTTCTGCTATTATTTATGGATATCAAGAGATGACAAGGCCAATTCGTTAATGGTAAATCAATCCTTATATGCATAATTTAGTTAATGGTTTTGAATGGAATCCTCATCCTGGTGGACTTAATTTGGCTCCTATCAGTTGGATCCATTTGGACAGCAACAGAGAAAAACAATCCTGTCTGGGGACACTTGCATGGACTTCATGTATTTGTTATTTTCATCAGCATTGTAAACGTCTTATTGAAAGTATTTTAATCAATCCATCTTTAGGTTGGTGTTATTGTAGCAATTAATTCTTACAGAGGAAATTAATCTTAAGTTGGTAATCCTCTTATTAATTCTAGCTGGTTCATTATAAAATCCTCAATAGAGTGGTCTAAACGATGTTTCTTAAAATAGATAAGTCCCTTATGGATAATATTGATCTAATAAAATCAACCAAAATTATATTAACTTCTAATTTAACAGTAAAACAACATATCATATCTCTTATAAGAATAAAACTAAATGAATTGATACAAATCATCTGATAATCTGTAGGTAAAGGAAGCAATTTATAATTATAATTCAACAAAACCTTTAGATATTTTCAAATTTTACAAAACAATTTCAATTTCATTATATATTTAATCAAACTAGCTTATACTCTAATTCCGAATTGAACATTTTCTGATATTTTCAAAAATCCAGAAACTTCATTATTTTAAATCAACAATTAAATACTAAAAAATTAGAAATCTCAAAAAAATAATTAAATTCTCTTTAAAATAAATTCAAATTAGTCTAATGTAGTTTTTTCTTTTATTACTATATAAATAATTTCTTAACTTCTTAAAAAAGAGTCAGTTTTAAGTAATCTTTTATTTCTTGATCCATATTGAGAATAAATAAATAATTAATTATGAATGTAAAAAATTATATATTACGCAAACTTGTTGGTGATTCTTCAAATACATTGACAGTTGAATAGGTGCAGAGAATTCTGGAATCCCAAAAGGATGATGATAGAATATTTAGGTAAAATGACATATGCGAAATAGAGCAATTATTAATTCATCATTATCCAATTAAAAACTACAGAATACCAATTCAGATTTCCTCATCAATTCTTAAACCGAATTCGGCAATCTTTTGTTGAACTAACTGCAATCCAGCTTAGTAAATATAATAATCTATATAATCATTTTAGTAATCCATAAAATCAAAGAATTAACTTTTGTCAATAGACTAGTATCCTTTAGACATCAATTAGTTTAATGTTGACATTTCACAAACTGATTTAATCAAATAATAACTTTAGCATCTCTATCGATTATACAAAGCTACTATTCGTTAAAATGGTGATGGATTAAAGGAAACTTTAAACTACCTTGCCAACCTAAATTAAACAGAGTAAATTATTGAATCCCAATATGCGTAATAATGTATTCTAAAAGCTCCTCAGTTTATTCAAGGAATAGATTAAATTAATGTATGGTGTGATAAAAGTACAACTCTACATTAGACAGTAACCTCAACTAGATAGTTATTGTAATAAAGTAAAAGTTAATCATTAAAACAAAAATTGCAAATTGTAGAGAAATACAAATCCATTTAAAGAATTAAATATACATTAGAAAAATTAATGATTCTAAAATAGACCTTTGGATAATTGGCTTAAGCAATGAATAAATACGATGATAATGCATATGAAATCATACCAATTATGAAAGAGACACAAAATAATATCAATAAATATAAATTGAATGAATTGAAATTATCATGCATAAGCGATAATTTTTTTGAAAATAAAATAGAATCATTAAAAGAAAGAATTAAATAAGGCATTCTGGCTAATTTTATGAAGTTTGATGAAAAGAAATATTGTTCTCTTTTGAAAAGTTACTATTTCATTGAAAAACATTATCAAATGCAATCTTACTTAACTTAAATCTGGGGTTTGGCCAAAAAGAGTATTAGTGTAACTTTCAAAAATGCCATTAAGTTATTTGAATAATCGTATATTCCTAACAAGATCTATCAAAATTGTTAAGATGAGGATTTACTCTAATTCTACAAATTGCTATATAGTGAATTAGTAGAATAAATGCTAAATTTCCATTATTGCAATAGATTCCATTAAGAAAATGATTTTACAATTGAAGAAGAGGAAAGCAATAGTAAATTCGAAGAATATACAGAATAGATTAGACAATCATACTTAGAAATGAGGTAACTAATATGGCAATAAATTCAAAAGAAACTTGTTAAAATCATCACTGCTCATTTAATCAATATTAAATCTCTTGTTATTGAACAATTAATCTATTTCTTAGGATATAATTGCTTATTAATTAAAAGAGCCGAAGACTTTAGTCATTCTGATTCCCAAAAGTATACTTATAAATATATTTAGTTTGACTAAATGCATTATCGATATCTATATGAGTTTTGTTTAATAGTTTCATAAAGCAAATTTAAAATCTATAAGCACGTACTTACAGAATGAATTATACCAAAGATTGCCTTTAACAAAAGATTCAAAATTAAATACATAATTAGAATAGCTAACAATTTTGAATTAAGTAAATAAAAAGTTGTTTGAATATTTGATTGAAAAAAGGGAAGAAAACTATTAACAAGAAGCAAAGAAAACAGTTGATTTTTAAGATTTAATAAATAACGATAAAGAGATGCAGTTGTTTTATTTATTTGAATATCAAAATCCTTTTGTACTGTAATAAGAAGAGTTTGATCTAATTATAAAAGCAATCTGGATTAAGAAGTATGCAACATAATCCACAGGAGTTTTGAATTAAATTGAATCAGTTTTATCATCATCCAGCATTAGAATCTTGGAATTGCTACCGTAATATGCATAGCTCTCCTTCTATCACCCTTCTTGCCAATAGCAAATCGTAGGTAACTTCCTTCAATTGCTTGAACTCTACATGTTTGTTTCTTACAATTAATTGGTTGGGATGCATTAGTAAAAATAATTGTTAGAAAATTTTGCACAAATAATAAAATTTGATGAAAGCAAAGAAATTGAGTTCTTTGTGCAAACTTATGATTCATTTAGTGATTGTTTAGTTCTATAAGAGCGTTTTTGTTTTTTCAAACGATTTGTTTAAAGGTTTTGCAAAGAAGGAATTGATTTTAAGGAGATAGATATATTTTAATCCAAAGAAAAAAGATAATTTGTTGATATTGCAGAAAGAGCAATAGCTTCAGAATCCTTAGCATATCTGCTTTCTTAAACTAAAACTGTATTCTCTCTAATTGGAATAACATCTTAAAACTTTGATATTTTTAAAGAAGTCTATAATCAATATAAGGAGTTCATTTATAGAAATTTTGTGTAAACCTATATTAAGATCGATGGAATTGTACAATATGTACCATAATAAAGATGGGATCTTAAAGATCTACATAATGAAAATAATAATATTTACTTGGATAGATTGATATAATTTATTCTTGATTAAAAAGAAAGACTCAAAAGCATAGGAGGAGGTGTAATACCACCAAATGCTCAAAAGGATATTTTTTCGTTTTTAGCAGAACATTGTTTGAATATATTATTGGAAACTTATGGAAAAATTAAAAAAGTAATTTATTTTAATTAATTAATTAATTATAGTTGAATTCAATAGGTAGAGATTAAATGGTTTTCGAATATACTACATGTTGTTAATCAATAGAATCAAGTTAGAAGAATAGTAAAGAAGTCGTGCTTAATCCAAAGATCACTATAATGTAATTAGAATACTTAAAAGTCTTCAATTCCTAATAATATGAGGAGATCGATTAATATATCTAAAAATCGAAAGTAAATACAATTTAGTAATCACTTTTAGACTTTGATCCCATTAAGATTGTTGTATAATTTGATGAGTTCAAGTTCAAGTTATAATAAATTATCAAAATAATAGAAAAAAGATATTTCAGTAAAGTTTTTCAAAGATTATTATGATACATTTAAGTTATTTTGAAAATATTTATAAGACCAATACAATTTTATGAAATAAAATCATTATAAGTTATTAATATATTTTAGTTTTCTTAGATTAGACTTCGATTTAGTGAATTATTAATATATTGATTGTGGCGAAAACTTCTAAAAATATAAACATTTATCAATTATACAACATACTAATACAAATTTTAATTAAATTTTATTTATTAATTTAGAAAATAAAAAAGACTTTAATAACAAAGTTTTGTTATTGAGTTAAAATGGAAGTGAATATTGAGATGATTCCTTTAAATAATAATCATATCATAATATGATAAGTAATCTAAGAAGGATATTCTTTTTGAGTACCAATACTATTATTAAGGACAATAATTTTATTATTCAATTGATACATAAGTATTTGGATAATGAACTAATGAAATAATAATTATATATATATATATATTTGTATCAAATAAATAATGGATCAAGATCATTTCAAGCATATTCTATGCGAAACGCATAAGCTGCCAATTAATAGAATAATCAAAGAGAAAAAAGAAAAGTCTTCAAAAAGAGCTTTATGTTTTAAATGTGATGGTTAAGGAGAATCAATATTTAAAATTTATCAGATTTTGGATACCTTGTAAGTGATCTTTTTACCCGTTCATCAAACTTATAACAAATTTAGAAACAGATTATAAGCTCTTAAGTTAGAGATTAATAAAATAATTGAAAAAGTTTGCTCTTCTATTGAAGGAACAATTGATTAAAGTGAATTTGAGGTATCTAAACTAGAGAAATATCTTAATTATCAAAAAAACTGTCGAGAGTTTACATTAGATGATTTAGAGATAATATCAGATTTCATTTATAATGGTGAACCAGAGGAAAACCCTCTTGTTAAATCCACTAAATTAGCACGCGATTTCGAAAAAAACTGGAAAAATCAATTAGTTATACTTTTTGAAACGATAATTAAATTGATAAAAGGGCCTGACTATTCATACATCCCTTAGATAGTGAAACAAAATCCTTAAAGCGAAAAGAAAAATGACTAAATCATATCTTCTGTCTTACCATTGAATATACCTTTATAATAGCCATCAGAGTAAAGATCAACAATATTTGGAAACAGTAGTTTATCGTATGTAAAAAAAAAGGAATTTAAAACCAGTTTAGTGTCTGCAGCGATTTTCAATTCAAATGGGAATATGTTATTTTAAGGATAATATCCATACAACTGTTAGAATTTGGAAATCAAATCAGTTGAGTAAAATTTTGATATTAAAAATCAATAAGTTTAATAAGATTATGATGAAAATATGAATTAACAAGCTACTGCATTAACTTTCAATGAATCTAATAATTTACTATTTGTTGGATATGAAAATGGGAATATTTCGACTTATTAATATACCAATAACATTTGGAATAAAAAGGATCACTGTAACGCACATAATGATAGGATAAATTTTTTGATTGCAAATTAAAAGCACGCATAGTTAATTTCAGTAGTGGGATATGAAAGTATTAAATGCTTTCATTATTAAGACAGTATTAAGCCATCTCGTAAAGAAATAGATTCAATTTATAAAATTAGTGATGTATAAATAAATAAAGAATCTGATTATTTGTTTGCTATTGGAGATGGCGAGTTACATATTTTTAATAATTCCTAAGACTATTTTTCTTAATTTTAAAAGATATCTTTAGAAAATTAGAAGATAACTTGTATAACTACCACAAGAAAGTAAATTTATATCGGATCAGATTTTGGAAATATATATATCTATGAACAGAACAACAACAACCTGTTTGAGTAAGTTTGTACAAGTAATTTAATATAAAAAAATTTGTCATAAATAAAGTATAATGAAGAGAACAAATTATTAATAGTTCTTTTAGATAATTAGGTGAGTATTCATTAAAAAAGGTCAGACAATTAGTTTGTTCAAATACAAGAAATTACTGGAGAATATTCTCTTATTTGCTTCTAAAACAATTAGAAATCTTCTCAAATTATCTTGTATTGCTAAGATCAATATATGGCATTTCATTACATAATGCAAAGAAATTGAAATTGATTTTATTTGTTAAATATTTTATTTTTAATTTAATTTACAAATGTTAGACCTGTTAAAAAAAATATTTATTGGCAAAATTCTATAAATGGATAGAAAACCATATGTGTATTTTAAATTGGATTATGATCGACTACTAAAAAAATAAAGAACTTAATGAAATAAAGATTATCTTCAATCAAGCTATCAACATTTCTTGAAACTTTAAGACTAGAGAGTGTGGTCAAAAACAACAAAAGAATAGATATTTTGTTGTAGAAATCACCAAATTAAGTGTGTTTAAATCATTCAATAAAATAATTACTCTAATTGAACAGTCTGCTTCAGAGGACAGACCAATAGTAAATAACATAAGATTTCTTAATATTTCTTTATTAATTTTAGAGAACATTAGTATTTCATAAATGTGAAAGAAAATATAAAGAAAGACTAACTAATTTTTTGTTGATTTCATTTATTTATGGAAAGACTATAAGTAAAAAACATAGACAAAAAGTAATAAATTATTTAATAATGAATCAATACTCAATTTTAAGGGTGATTCATTAATTATTGCGATTTTTGAAAAGATTGAAACACTAATTTCTAGGAACATTAAGAATTAGAAAAAAAGAGAAGGTTTTAATGTTTAATATTAAGAAATAGTAGAAGCACCTATAAGAATATGAAAAATAGGTTAAAGTATACTTATTGTCTCAAAAAAAAATAAATAATTAAAGAAATTCAAGCAGAGTTTTGAATTATCTAAAAATGAAATTTTGAGATAAAATAAAACTATTTCAGGATTTTTTGAAAATATTAAGAGTAATCTTTTTTTCTTATAAACAGAGTGTCATTTTATCAATATAAGATATAAAACGAAAGGCCTTGCTAGTATTAAATGTTTATTTAAGTATTGAGATCAATGATTAAATTGTAGAAAATAAAAAATATTCATAAGATGAGAAACAACAATTTTTAAGTTAGTTGTATTTTTAAGTTATCGATAATATTGACTGATATATAATTTATAAACAAGTAAAATATTTATCATTTGAATGGTCTTTATCAAGTCATACCATAAAATCTTGGGGTCTCGATATCTAAATTCTTATTTTCTTTCTATAATTCTCTGATAAGTTTATTTGTTAGTTGAAGATTTTTTTCTTGTACTTGGCATTGATTATATAATTAGATTTTAGGGGATGGTTTTGCTGTAAGTTTTTACTATAACTATTAGTTATTAACAGACAACAAGTCAGTTAGATGGGTAGCATTATATTTTGGTGATGCCTTTTAAGATAATTGAGGGTCGATTTTGATTTCCTTTTTTGGTTTTCCGTTTGCATTTAGAATGTCTTTTAACTTAATAACATCAATGGGATTGACATTTTTTGAATTATTGGAATTCGAATTAGAATCACGAGTAGTGAACTATCTAAATGAGGAATTAGATCTAAGCTTTTCAACATTGACTTGTGGATACTCATAAGTTCTTTAACTTTATTGCTCGAATATTTAAACTAAACTTTAGTTCTTTTACAACAATTCTGTAAAAAATTGATTAAATTGTTATTTTTTCTGATGGATTGTTGGTTGAAATGCAGTTTTTGGTGATATTTAAGGAGGTTAAGGGTGTTGTTGATTTTTCATGCGATGATGTGATATATAATGATAATCTAATTAATGAATAAATGAAAGCTGAAAAATTTAATATATATTTTAAAAATTGAATGCAGGCTGAGATTAAAAATATCCCATTAAAATCTGGGTAGTACACCACTTAATAGAGACTGGGTAGTGGTTCTTTTGGTGAGATCTATTTGGTCATAAGTTAAACAAATGAAATATTGGCTGCTAAATTAGTAATTATATGATTTTGAAAATATTTAGGAAGAAGCCAAATCAAAGCATCCTCAATTAGTTTTTGAAGCAAAGGTGACCAAAGCATTAGCAGGAGGAAGTAGTTTTTATAACAAATAAAATTAGTTGGCATTCCAACATTGCATTATTTTGGATAAGAGGCAGGATTGAACGTAATGATAATTGATTTACTGGGTCCAAATTTGGAAGACCTTTTTAATTTGTGTCAAAGGAAATTTTCATTAAAAACAGTCATAATGTTGGCAGATCAAATGATTCAAAGGGTTGAGTATATGCATTCCAAGAGTTTCATACATAGAGATATTAAACCAGACAATTTTCTAATAGGATTGGGCAGGAAGTCCAATACAGTGGTACATAATCAAATTAGTAAATAGTACATTCTGGACTTTGGTTTGAGTAAGAAATATCGGGATGCCAAAACTCATTAACATATCCCATACAGAGAAAATAAAAATCTTACAGGAACAGCTAGATATGCTAGCATTAATGCCCATCTTGGTATAGAGTAATCTAGGAGAGACGATTTAGAGGCTATCGGTTACGTGATGGTATATTTACTAAGGAGTTATTTACCTTGGTAAGGAATCAAAGCAAATAACAAATAAGAAAAATATCATAAGATTATGGAAAAGAAAATGACGACTCCAGTTGAAGTCTTATGTAAGACCTTGCCAAGTAAATTCAAATATCATGTTTTTAGTTGAATTTTCAACGTATCTTAATTATTGTCGATCATTAAGATTTGAAGATAAACCAGATTATAGTTTTCTCAGAAAGATGTTTAAAGAACTTTTTTAGAAACATGGATATGATTGGGATTATTAATATGACTGGTGTTTGGCTATTAATGGATAAAAAACTAATACATATAATAATGGTAAAATCACTATCCAAGTTAATGCTAATTAATATGATGCTGATGAAAATCAACCTCCCATTACTATTTAAATTAGTATATTCTATAATTTATTTGCTTAGATGAAAAAGTGTAAGATAAATAGGTTGTTGAATCTAAGATTATAGAAAATAAATTTTAAAGAGTTTAAAATCCAGATAATGACATAGATTAAACTGAATAAATTGCAAGAAATCTAATGGGAAATGAATAATTTAATAAGCAACAAGAATAAATTAAAAAGAATCTCTTGGGGGATAGTGAAATTAAATTATCAATTCCTAATAATACAAGTTAAAAAAATCAGGCTCCCATTGAAACAGTATTCAATCCAAGGGTTGTTATTTAAGTATCTAATTTATTATATGATTAATTAGAAAAAAACTATTTATGAAAGATTGGGATAAAGTATGGCTATTGATTTTACAGTTGATAAACTCTTATAAAAGTTGTAGAATGATCCAAAATTGAAGAGCTTCTTTGTAAAAACAGATATGAAGAAGCTTAATTCTTAGATGTAGGCTTTCCTTACAATGCTTTTTGGAGGGTATAACTAATATATAAGATAGACCATCCAATTATACGGGAAGGGATATGTTAGAGGCACATAGAGGATTAGGAATCGATGATACTCATTTTAATCTTGTTGTGAAACACTTAAGCGATACTCTTGTTAATTTAGCTCTTCCAGAAGATATTGTAGCTGAAGTAGTAGAAGTTTGTGAATCTTTAAGAGATGATGTACTTGGGAAAGGATGAATAATATTAATTAAATAAATTATTATTATTATAAATGGCCAATTCATAAAAGTGTAGTAATTGTGGAGGTAAAGATCACATAGCCAAGTTTTGCTATGAGAGAACAAAAAAAGTACCTGCTACTGTTAAATTATCTACCCAATCTGATAAAATGAATTCAAAAGAAAAAAAAGAATTGAAATTGTAAAAAAAAGAATAAGAAATCGTGGTTTAAGTGACAAAATAGACACCTAAATCTAAATATGAAGAGGATAAATATATTGGCTAGCATACTTAAATTTGGGGTAGTTATTGGAATGAAGTCCTGGGGTGGGGATTTGCATGTTGTTATTCAAATCAGAAATCTTAAGAATGTTTGGGAGAAAAGGGAAAAAGACAATCCCTTACTAAAGAATATTCCATCAAAAGATAAATAGAAGAAACCCCAATTGCATAATAAGAGCTTAAGTCAGGACCATTAAATCTTGATGAATTGTACAGAAAATCTAATTTACGAGAAGGAGCTCCAGTTGATGTTATTTACAATCAAAGTAATACTACTAATTGATTTAACTGAGGGTATTTGTGTAACAGGATAAATAGTTTTAATTTAATATCTACTTAATAACATTAAATTTTATAATTCATTAGTTTCAATAGATATTTGAATTATAGTTTAATATAACTCTTCAATTCTGAAACTGTCTTTTAAATATAGGGATTTATGATATATTGCCATCATGGGTATAAAGGAATAGTTATACTTTAAACGATTAATACACTGATTCTGTTCATTTGATGTAGATTTACAGTTAAATATTAAAATATGCAGTCTCTCAATCACATATGAATGAGTAATTTAGTTTATAAATTATTCATTTAAATATTTTGCGATCAATATAATAATAATAATGATATATTAGTTTCAAAAGCACTTTCTATAAACAAATTTCTTAATTTCATATGGATATGATACTTCATTAACTCCCAATTTTATATGCAATGAATATAAACAATATATAGCCATTACACACTACGCTTTGCAAGGGTATGCTATGAATGTTTATTTATGAAGTAAATTAATATATATTATCAATTAATTTACTTAAACACAAATTTAATTCACTTAATTTTAGAGATTAATATCAAAATGATGTATTTTATAGTAACTACTGGAATACTAGGTTACTAAATTTTAGTATATATAATAAAGAATAAAATCTCAATCAATGGATCTGAACTTCTTTCCTCCCGTAGAGTGTGATTTCAAAAGTAAATTAAAATTATTTCAATAAATATATTTATAATTATATGGGATAGGTTTGTATTAAAGAAGCTAAACAATAATCAGAAGAGGCTGGAGAGGCTATGGAGAAAAATGAGATCAAGGATTCATAGTAACTGTTTCCTGAAGAGGATAATGACAAAGGGAGACAATAACTAAATGAATTCACAATTCTGAGGGTATTTATAGTGATGATGACTAGCACTTAGGGAGAGGAACAAACGGCAAGGTTATGCTAGTGTAACATAAGCCAACTTAGAAATAGTATGCAATGAAGGTAGTATGTAAAAATAAAGTGCAAAGTCTTACATAGAAGAAATATATTAAAACTGAAAGAAAGATTTTAGAGATATCTGATTGTAGTTTCATCACCAAGCTGCATTATGCTTTTCAAACTCAAACTAAATTATATTTTATAATAGATTATGTCTCAGGAGGGGAATTGTTTTACCATCTAAAGATGAATGGCAAGATGTCAGAGAAGAAAGTGAGATTTTATGCTGCAGAAATTTTGCTTGGGTTGGATTATTTGCATAAAGAAAACATTATATATAGAGATTTAAAACCTGAGAACATATTGTTAGATAATGAAGGCCACATAAAGATATGCGATTTTGGATTATGTAAATTATGTACATAAGGTGATAATTATGCAAAGAGTTTTTGTGGTACTTTAGAATACTTAGCTCCGGAAGTCATTTCTGGTGATATGTATTCTAAAGTATGCGATTGGTGGACTTACGGTGTTTTATTGTACGTAATGCTAACTGGCAGATTGCCATTTTAGAATGACAGCAAGAAGGAGATGATGAAATCAATATTAATGGAACAATTTGAAATTCCAAATGATCTCTCTGAGGAAGCCCATGATCTTCTTTAAAAATTACTTAAGAAGAATCCTAAGGAAAGACTGGGTGCGATTAGGGATGCAACAGAGATATAAGAACATGAGTTTTTCAAAGATATAGATTTTGTGAAATTGGAAAGGAGAGAAATCAAGCCCCCTTTTTATAATGATAAGCCTTTTCAATTTTTTGATCAAAATTTAGTTAGGAAAAGCACAATTCAGGATACTCCTGTTAATGAGTTTGGGAAGTATTAAAATTTTTCAAATTTCACATACAAGGAGGATAAGATGATAAATGAATATAATAAACTATTAATTATTCACTGAGAAATATGCGAAATTCTGCTTTGGGACCAAAATTAATACTTAGTAGAGCCCAGGTAGATGACACAGAAGACATACCTGAGGAACCTGAAGATTTTGATGCAATTATAGTTTAAAAGAAGAAGATCAAATATAAAGCAACGAGAGAAGATCGATTTGATGCAAAAGGACGCTAAATTAAATAAGGAACTGGATATGGAATTCATTTCGACAATTTTATTACAGTTTGTGTTTTTGATCCAAACGAGGAAGTAGTATAAATAAAGGACACGTTATCCAATTGCACTATGGCTATTGATCAATCAAAAATAAATCCAAGATTGGATATAAAATATATAGCTGAAAACGTAGGAGATGAAATCATTCTCTTTTCAATCCTTAAAAAATAAAAAAACAAATGATTCAATTTATTAAATATATTTTTTCATTACTTTCTTAAATTAGTCTAGCTTATTTCAATAAACTATCCTGATGACTTAGAATAAATCACTGGATCTGCAGCCTCAGCCATGCTCTCAATAGCAGACTCATCAGTACCTCTCTTCATTCTATTTATAATTCAATTTAATGATTACCTGAAATTTCCCTGTTCTCCCCATTATTCTCCCCAACTATTCTAAAGTAACCAAAATTTAACTCCATTCTCTTCTCCCCAACCATAACACAAAACAGAATGATCCACTTTTTCCTAATGATATCTATTATTATTATACCCATTCTGGACGATCAGAACTAGACCAATCATGTTAAGCAACTGAATGATATATACCACTTGAATAATACATAAAGTCTTATCCTGGTTCAAAATTCATAATAACAGGGCCATTGTTAAACAATTCCAACATGATATCTCTTTCATTACTCAATCCATAACCACCTCCTATATATTTATAATTCTTGGCTCCGTATACTTTAGATGATTAAGAGAAATCAATCTTTTTGCATGTTCCCACATCTCCCTTGTATGGATATTGATCTTCTGTCACTAAATATTATTCAGATGCGAATTTCTCAACCAAGAATGGATACCCACCATCACATCCTTAATTATAGTAATTGCAATCCACTGAATATTGAGGTGATAGGGTGACTTTCTCTCCTTTCATTTTCAATCTGGCTGATAACATTTCCATAGTTGAAATGGCATAACATGATCCACATTGCTTTTATTATCTGGGAGGATCTAGATATCTTTCTAAAGTATAGGTTTTTGGTAGATCTGACACATCACTAGTTTTTAATTAAGTAAATGAAGCTCTCTTTATAGTTTTGCCTTGATAATGTCTTCTCCTTCCAGCCATTTTATTCAATTCCAACAAACTCTTACCTTCAAAGTGATCGTATGCTTTAGCATTCCATAACTTTGGAATACTATTCAATTTATCTACTGCTTCTTTATGATTAGTAAAGTCTTTTGTCAATTTCACTCTATCTCCATGTCTTGTACTCGTTTAAATGAACTCTGGTTGAACAACACTAATAAGTTTATAAGAATCTGTTGCATCAACATTTCCATCAGCTTTCTTGGCTCTATAGCATCCCTTTTCACCTGTCTTTTAATTGTTATACCAACCAATCAAAGTTTCTCCACATAATGATTTATAATCAACACCATTTGGTTCATATTTAGAGAATGCAAAATATTTAACACCATTGTGTTCAACCTCAAATCCTTCATCATATACCATGGTCCATGATCCACTTTATTTTCTGTCTTTGTCTGTGACTGTATAATCATCTCCCAATGTTAGTTCAAATGAATCTGAAGCTCGAAAGTCTTCCCATCCAGCCTTATATGAAGAATGTTATGTGTCAGGCACATGATGTCCACAAGGGACTGCACCTACGCCTCTCAATTAGACATCGGAGACTTCCATATTCCATTTGCCTACAATCTAGTGTCTTAGGCAATGAACAGGAAGATCAGCTTATACTAGAGTTATAGCTAATACACTTATCAAAATAAGTTAATTCATCAAATTAATAAAAACGATTACTATTTACTTAATAAATAACTCATTAATTTTATGCTTCTTCTTATTATTATTATTATTCTTATTATTATTCTTCTTATGTTTATTCTTATTCGTCTTATTCTTATTCTTATTCTTCTTCATCATCTTCATCTGGTTAACCTTATCCATCAAATCCTTAGAAATTATTAGCATTCCAATCATCTAATCCTTTTCCTCCTTCTTCAGCTTCATCATCCTCATCGATATATTTGGTCCAGTCAACCTATTAGAATTAGTGGGATTGGGATACTTGTATATACTACAATTTATGAGTTTCTTTGATCAATCTAGTCCAATAGGAGGCAGCTTAGTCTTTTTTGCTCAAAATGAATCTCACATTGACTCCATAATTAGTCCATTTACTTTCCTTACTGTTATGTAATTTGATACTTCAACGATGACTTCGGCATAGAAATTGATTTCAAATGCATAATTCACGCCTTCAGCATTAGCACTAAATTTCAAGGATGTTGATGTCAATTCGACTTTCTCTTCTTTTAAGTCTCTGACTTCAACTGTCAAGAATATGTTGTCTTTTCTTTAAGCCCACTTAACAATTGGATTGCTATTATGCATAGATTTTAATACATTGTCTTTTACATCACAAATTAATTATTTTATTTTACTTTTTTTCATTAATTTCTCTAGATCGATTGATATGATCAGAGTAAGTATTAAACTCATTCAAAAGAAGTGAGCATTTATAAACTATTTTGAAAATTTCTAAATGATAATTTAAAATAAAAAATAATTCAAACATGTAGAATCCGATGTTAGAAGATCTAAAAAACATAATGAAAGAAGGTTGGTTGGAAAAGGAATCCAGAGTGTTTAAATCATGGAGAAGGTATGAATCCACCTCTATCTTAGACGATGGTTTGTATTAACAACTACAACCCTCTATTCATTTAAGGTAGAAAAGCAATATTCAAATCCCACAGAAATTATTTAGTTGTCAACAGTCAGTACAATTAAGAGTTGTTAGGAAGAAACGAATAAGGAAAATACATTTGTAAATATTGATCAAACTATATTTTTCAAGAAAATTGACACTCCCGATTAAACATTTTTCTTGTAAGCGAGCAACAATTAGGACAAGGAGGGTTGGATTGGAGCAGTTGGCAAAGCAATGGTTAAATTAAATTTGAAGAAAAATAGAAATGATGATGATGATTGATATTAGATAAATTTTTATAGATTTCATAAATATGAATCTATAATTTTTAAGTAATTTGTTTAAAATAGTTTCATGATTTTAATCTTCTTGCTCTATGGATCCTTCTATTTTTATAACCACAATTTGAATGTAAATTCTTTGTACATCAAGCAATCAAAGTATGGTACCACTGACATTTGATTTTTATATAATTCATTAAGAATATTTTGAGGGATGTATTACTAACAGATCTCATCTCCAAATACAACTTCAATAGATGCAGTAAAGTCTGTTAGTTTACATTTCAAATAACAAAATATCTTTGGGAGTGTAACAATATGTTTAATTCCATTCTATCCAGAACATTCATAAACATCATTGTTTTACACCAATTTAGTAAAAGTGCATTGTGGACATTATTAAGATAGTCTGGCTATCAGTATTTCTGATATCATTGCTCTACAATATTAATAAGGTAATTCTTCTGACATACTATATGATAATTTGATTATGTCTGTAATCATTTTAAGTTCTTGATTGTATGTAAAATTCTGATACTCAACCCCATCAATCACTAATTACTTTTAATTCTATTTTCTCTGTTTGCCAGGTAAATTCTTATTTGCAACATTTGTATTCACTTTGCTGTGAAAAGTAGTTTTGAATTCTTGCTTACTCGTGTCATAAATGACTTGATCAATCCTGATTGTTTGTCCAATTTTATAGTCACAAATCTGATTATTCCATAATGTTATTTTTCCTGAGTCTGACTCATCCGATATCCTAAGGTCCTATAGTTTGACATTTCCCTTTTAATATCTGACTTCAAACAATTCATCTATCTGAACTAATATATTGAATCTGCTCTTATGAGTCTTACCTTCCAATAAGGACACAATGTCATTCATCAATTCATTTCTATCTATTCCTTTTTTAAGACTGTCAGATGGTATTTATAATTAATTTTAATTAGCTGACTATTTTTAATTGATCTTAATTTTGATTGAATTCCTTTTCTAAGCATTAATCAATACATCTTGTTCTAATTCATTCTATGATAATTATAAGGGTTTAGAGAATGGTTATTTTAACAATGAGATTTATTCAGCAAAATCAATGTCATCATCTGGCAACACTCTGATTTAAGTGTTATGCTCATTGGCCACAATTTTATTATTTATTATTTGTAAATAGCTAATAAAGATGATAGCTTCCTCAGAAATATAAATCTTTTAACATAAACGATCTCCTACTAATTCAATTACTTGACTATTATTATTATCGCTAGTAACTATTAATTGTCGAACACACTTTTGTATTTTCATCTAAAATATGGCTGGCATATCCTTCAATATTTTAACTACGGTATTGAAATAAGCACAATTGATAGACTAATGAATGTCAATCAAAAATGCTGGCTATTGCACTACCTATTCAATTTGGATCTCTGGATTTTCCTTTTAGAGCCAATTGTGTTTTTTATCTATGATTTGCTTTATAATATCCTGATACTTCTCATCTCCTTCAGTATAAACCTTAAACCTAGTTCTCAATGATTTTAACTCAATAACATCAGTATATATTTTTAATAATACACCTTCAAAAACATANTAATTCATTAAGAATATTTTGAGGGATGTATTACTAACAGATCTCATCTCCAAATACAACTTCAATAGATGCAGTAAAGTCTGTTAGTTTACATTTCAAATAACAAAATATCTTTGGGAGTGTAACAATATGTTTAATTCCATTCTATCCAGAACATTCATAAACATCATTGTTTTACACCAATTTAGTAAAAGTGCATTGTGGACATTATTAAGATAGTCTGGCTATCAGTATTTCTGATATCATTGCTCTACAATATTAATAAGGTAATTCTTCTGACATACTATATGATAATTTGATTATGTCTGTAATCATTTTAAGTTCTTGATTGTATGTAAAATTCTGATACTCAACCCCATCAATCACTAATTACTTTTAATTCTATTTTCTCTGTTTGCCAGGTAAATTCTTATTTGCAACATTTGTATTCACTTTGCTGTGAAAAGTAGTTTTGAATTCTTGCTTACTCGTGTCATAAATGACTTGATCAATCCTGATTGTTTGTCCAATTTTATAGTCACAAATCTGATTATTCCATAATGTTATTTTTCCTGAGTCTGACTCATCCGATATCCTAAGGTCCTATAGTTTGACATTTCCCTTTTAATATCTGACTTCAAACAATTCATCTATCTGAACTAATATATTGAATCTGCTCTTATGAGTCTTACCTTCCAATAAGGACACAATGTCATTCATCAATTCATTTCTATCTATTCCTTTTTTAAGACTGTCAGATGGTATTTATAATTAATTTTAATTAGCTGACTATTTTTAATTGATCTTAATTTTGATTGAATTCCTTTTCTAAGCATTAATCAATACATCTTGTTCTAATTCATTCTATGATAATTATAAGGGTTTAGAGAATGGTTATTTTAACAATGAGATTTATTCAGCAAAATCAATGTCATCATCTGGCAACACTCTGATTTAAGTGTTATGCTCATTGGCCACAATTTTATTATTTATTATTTGTAAATAGCTAATAAAGATGATAGCTTCCTCAGAAATATAAATCTTTTAACATAAACGATCTCCTACTAATTCAATTACTTGACTATTATTATTATCGCTAGTAACTATTAATTGTCGAACACACTTTTGTATTTTCATCTAAAATATGGCTGGCATATCCTTCAATATTTTAACTACGGTATTGAAATAAGCACAATTGATAGACTAATGAATGTCAATCAAAAATGCTGGCTATTGCACTACCTATTCAATTTGGATCTCTGGATTTTCCTTTTAGAGCCAATTGTGTTTTTTATCTATGATTTGCTTTATAATATCCTGATACTTCTCATCTCCTTCAGTATAAACCTTAAACCTAGTTCTCAATGATTTTAACTCAATAACATCAGTATATATTTTTAATAATACACCTTCAAAAACATAAACATCGCCTACCTTAAAATTCAACAGTTTATATTGATCCCATAAGATTAAGGGTATCTTATAGTATTCTGTGTTGGTATCAATGGGCAAAGTGTATAGAGTTAACTTCTTATTTTATTATCTCAATTCACCTATTTCTGCAACCATACCGGCAACTATAATCTCCTCTCCATTCTTTAGATTATAACTTAATGCACTTGGCAATTGCTCTAAGACAGGTACCTTAGTGTATAATTTAAATTATGTATTTGAAGTGACTTTGATCTCATATGTCTATTTAAATTGATGGATTTCCATCTCACTAATGTCATAAACAGTTTAAACTTGGAGGTTTTCATAATACAGTTAAAACTTCTCCTTTATTCGATTCTTGGTGAAGAACACTTAGCACATTCCACTCTCATCTCTGAATTAGAGACAATAATCACCAATGATTTACAATTGTTCTTTTTCTATTATTGGTTTATTAAATAGTTTTGCTCTAATTGTGATTGAGGTTCTGCCTAATGGATATTATTTTAAATTTGCCAAAGGGACGATCAATTTTGCTTCTTTCATCTCATCAATAAATATTTGTTATTCATGCTTTTATTCACTCTACAATTCTAATTAGGTTATGAATTTCATCTCTTCTAATTGAGTCTGTTCTTTAATTCTATTGATGGATTGTCTTTGACATGATTCAATCACTTCTTCATCAAATTACTAGTCAGGAGTTTCTTGTATGGTGTTTAATAATTCATCAACCACATGCAAAGGTAAGAGTAATTGAACTGAAAACATCCGTATAAATTATTGGATTGTGTGTTCATTATTTTAGTTCATGTTTTACTTGATGAATTAGTCTAACTTTATTCAAAATCATATTCTTACCTATCTGACTAAATCCATATCCATAATGATGTTGCCTTCGCCTCCGTTCTACTAGAATTCAAAAGGCAAATAAATTGGTTGGACTTGAAATTCTTTGAACATCTTTTCTATATATCCTTTATACATAATTAAGTAAATGAATTTATATTTAAAAAAAAAGAGGGCATTTCTTATATTTCTGGGGATAGAATAAAAAGAACATAAAAACTCAATTAAAAGATATAAATGTTTATAAGGGTGTGAATGCGAGTGTCTTAGTTTGAATGAGAGTTGTTTATTTGTATTATGTGAATTTTAATTTCACTTTAATTGTCGTCAAAATTAAATTGAGCTTCTGAATTTGATATTCATATCCTTATTACATCTATTATTACTCTATTTATAAAGTGATTTATTACCACCATCAAATGATGTCATTAATTTGACTCTAATTATAGTAGTAATGGTGAATATAATAATTAATAAAGGAATAAACTGATGTGAAAAAACAAACTACTATGGTGATTATAAGTATTATTAAACAAATGAAGAAGATTTAAGTAATCAAATTCTATTGTACTCAACCCCACAAGTTTTGGGTTGATTGTTTTCTACTATGTATATTTTTTGGAGAATTGGAATATCCACTCAGTATTATATCTCTGACGTGTTTCAGTCTCTGTGCTCTCAGATTAATTTAAGAGGGAGTTTCGCCAATTAAATTTTCATTTTTCGGTGATTAGGATTGTATTAAGGTTTCCTAACCTCCCACTTATTGTTGTTTTATCTATTGACTTTAGTTTCCTTTTTCTTATTTCTAAATGGAACAACCCATTATTTAAGTAAAAATAATAATGATAACTTAAATATTAAGCAATCGAATTAACTGCACTAATTTATATTATTTATTTTGGACGTTTTTAATGAATTAATTTGAATTCATCTGATTCCTTTCAAATTCTGGTCATTTACTTTTTTAAATATCGATGAATAACCTTTATTATATAAGATCTCATTATAATTTTGTACTTTCGAATTTCCTTAATTCAATTTATTTCTGATACCTGCATCCCTCCACTAGAGTGACCTATGCAGATGATTAATTTTGATTTGTTAATCATTGAATAATTTAATAACTTAATCACTTAATCACTTTTATTAAGGTCTGTAAATAATAATTATATTTTCAAACAAAATTATGCATTATATGAATTCATTTATATAAGCAATTTAATTAAATCTGATAATACTATTGTAAATATATTCACTCAATTATAAGTTTCTTGGGGTATTTTTATAATATCTTTTCAATGGCTTAGACCACAACTGGATGATAAAAGCTCTTGTTCTCCTCGAACCAATCATATGCTTGTTTGCTTTTATATATATAATGATATTTACTTATAATTCTAACCCAACAAATCATACAATACTTTTAAATAACTTGATACTCCAACCTTAGATACAAAATCATGAACTCCTTCAAGAGCCTGATCGTACTTCACCAATAAGACAAGCCTATACCATTTATATCCAGTCTTCTAATCCTTATAAAAGGTGAGTTTGTATTATTCATCCATTTTAGTCATCACTGCAGCTTCAACATCCTTATAATTATCAATTAAATATTAGAGGAACACACTCTTTTGATTTGGTTTGTATTATTGAAAATCATTTGCCTTTTCTGGAGCTTATCCTTTTCCATCGATCCATGCCTTAGCTAGGTTATTTGCATCAGCTAACAATGGAGTTGATACATCAATAGTGATTGGTGCTAGACCTGGATTATAAACCCACTTTTTCCAGACTTTTTAAATTTCTTCGATGATCCTTTATGCTTCTTCTTATTTGTTTTTCCTGACCCAACTCAATAAAAATTGATATAGTTAATCTTCATCAATACTCTAAAATTTGAAATTCTCAATGTAATCTCTTAAGAATTATTAAAATGGTTCTTCTTTGATTAAACTTTCCAAATATGTTAACAATTAATAACCTTTCTCATATGGAACTCTACTAGTTGCTTCATCAGGATTTCTATTTGTAGTATTTGGATGCATACTAGAGAATGAGTTATCTAAACCAAAAGTTTGCATTGATGTAAATGCACTGGAATTACCATTAATTGCATCTAATTTAACAGAATCCAATCCATTCAATCTAGATAAGATCTTTCTTTCTAAAAATACACAAAATCCTTCGTTAATCCAAAAGTTTGCCCAATTTCTTCCTGTAACTGTATTTCCAACCCAAGAATGAGCAATTTCATGAATGGCAGTACCTACTCCACTCTTATCACCTACTATAATAGTTGGACTTGCGAAAGTTAATAAAGGATGTTCCATGCCTCCAAATGGGAATGAAGCTGGCAAGATCACTATTTTATAATCTCCCCAAATGTATGGTCCTATATATTCTTACATTTTATTCATGTACACTGGTAAATCAGACAACTCTTCAGCATATTCATCAATGAAATGAGGTTCTGCTATCACATATGTACCATTTCCTGTGGATTTTTCAACTACTTCGCCTGCTATTATTCCAATTAAATATGCGGGAATCTTGATATCCAATTCAAATTGATAGAGTGTTAGTGCCTACAAATTTTCATAATTATTGAGTAATTTGAATTTCATATTATACAATTTATTCCCTGTCATAAATACATTGATACGAGGGTCTTTCACCAAAACAGTTGCTGTAAAGAACACTTTGATACTTGGTGTATCTTATAAAGGAATTATTGACCTACAATTGTTATCTTCACATTGGGAAAATAGATATGGAACTGTTTTGCTATAGGTCTGTTCTTTAGTTAAAAATCCTAATGCTCGTGCTCCTTTTGAATCCAAATTATATTTTATGTTTAATTTAATATATTCTCCTCTAGTATAGACTCTATCTAATTGTATTGAAAGAACATCTCCTTATAAAAGGGATTGATCTCCTTTTTTGATTATTTCATGTTATAAAACATTTCCTGAAGATGACAAATACACAGCTATTATACTTAATTGATATATATCCAAATCAATCTTAATTATAATGAGAATTCATTACTTTCTTTAGTTTATTGGTATTAACCCTGAAAATTGATTAACTTGTAGCATTTATATATTGTTCATCCAAATCAAGTAACCATTCAATATGGACTTGCTCTTGGCTCACTTCTATGTAATTACTAAACGTATTAACATCTATTTCAGCCCCGAAAGCTAGGGCTATGCAAAGAAACAAATAAATCATGAATTAATTAATTACATCATTACTTTAGTATTATTAAACTTTTAGAATTTAAATTCTGTATAGAATCAAAAATAAAAGACTTTCATATTTTGAAGAATAATCAAAATTCATATCATTTATCTCCCTATTCATAGTTTAGAGTACATGAACTTGAGAATTCTACAAAGAAGATGTTAAAATTTTTAATTATTTATCATCGGATAACTAATTATTCTGATAAATCTTATATATTGTGTTAATAATTTAAGAATTTTCTCAATCTGAACAAGTAGGAATTTGATATAATTCAAAATTTCATTGGGTTATTTTAATATCGTTTATATCCATTCAGATTTTAACTATTAATATTAAATCAATTAGATAACCATGTTATCAATTTAATCATTTAGTGAATTAACCTGTTAAATTTTATTTTTAATTAATTTATGATTTATCAGTATGATATACTTAACTTCAATGAGTTTTCGATACTAATCATATTAGAATCTAAGTAAATCATCTTGAATCTGTATAAAGAAACTATGATTGTTTGCTGGAACCCCACTTTAAAGGAGTTCTCAAATATTTAAAGCATTAACTCTGCATCCTAAATAGAATCTTCATAATTCTCTTAATATTATTCTCATAGTAATTATGGGAAGACATAAATAATTGTATTGATAATCAATTATGCCTTTTATTGAATTAATTATGATTAAATAATGTAGTCATAAAATGAGTTAAATAGTTTAAGTTATTTCTATCTATTGATCTTAAATTTCAATTAAAATATTCTTGAGAGTTTGGGTAAAGAATAAAGAATATAAGAATGAACTGGGTTTTAACAAAGGCATAGTTAATTTATGGTAGCATGACTTTTTATTCGGAACTTGTTAAATGTAATACAAAATTAAATGGTAATATTATTAGTAATATATTGAGTTATGGTGATTCATTAATAAATCATAATTTATGGTGATTCATTAATTAAAAATATAAGAAATAGAAATGAACCAAAAATTAGATTCTTTGGATATCTAAACTCCTACAGAAAGGACATCGTAGATATCTACTTCAAAAAGCCATATATTTAATGATTAGAATAAGAACTTAATCTATACTCATATTTACAATGATCACAAATTCAAAAAAAATATACTCATATTCTTTACTTTAGTGATTGTGATTAACTTTTTTTGTAATTTGGCGTTGTTAGTAGCCAATTGTCACCCTTAGGATGTTATTGAAGAAAATTATTATTTACCTTTCCATATGTTGGATTTCTACGGATCTTTTTTCTTTGCTTTAAGTGAAGGATGTGTTTTGATCTTGACAGGAATAGTAACAATGGATTCGATAAAGATCTACTTAATCATAGTGAATATTGGAGGGACTTTAGTAGCATTAATTTTATTCACTTTTGATCCTGAGTTCTTTGAGGAAACATCTCATTGGATTGAATACAGTGTGCAATTATTACTTACGTTAACTGATTTCCTATTTATCTTTTAATAAGATAAACAATCGTTAATGTATAAATATAGATTTTATGAATCTTGCATAATTATCTTAGCATTCATAATGTCCTTTTTGAAATTACTTGTGTATGGTGGAGTGATACCAACTGATGACTAAAATGAGAGGATGGCCCACTTTCTGGAGTATAGTGGTGAGATGATAAACGATTGTTTTGCTATTTTCTTCATAGTTTTGCAATTGCACATAGAGAGACTATCTGTAATGGAGACGATGTAAAGTTCTTTGGAGAGTCTTTTGGATAAGAATGGAATTGAATTAGTTAAATGAATAATTCATTATTATAATTATTATTAATAAAATAATTATGAATTTTTTAATATATTGAATAGTTAAGATAGGAAGAGAAATAGGAACACTTATTATTTTTTTAATATAATTGTTTTATTAATATTTTAATTTAAGTATTATAATTCTCGATTACGTATTATGATTATGATATGCCAGCCTTCAAATTTCTCAAAATCTTGTCAAAGTTTTTAAAAATTTTTCTACAGAAAATTTATTAATGAGCCTCTAAGTGCAAACCCCTGAATTAATTTCTTATCTTAATAATCAATCAAGCATCTTGAATTACAGATAAAATGAATTAGTGAAAACTGAACATGTAACATTTTTGCCCACTGGAGAAGTTCTCATCGGGTCTTCTAAGTATAAAATCAATATATCATTAGTAACCCTTAAAAATAATTGACATTGAGATCATCACCAATATTTGGGAAATTAGGGGTAACATAATTTTATTATTATATTTCTAGATCTCCTCCATCCAGGATGATTTGAGACTTTAAAATGAATTATTGAAACATTAATAGGAAGTGATTCATATTTGCGAAGATTCAAAACTACTGGGTTCTGGATTCTATGTCAAGGGACACACAAATGGAAGAATATTCAACTAATTGACCATTCAAAGTTTGGCTATCAATGAAAGAAGACTTATTTTCAAAGAAATCGTCAGCTTCTTGTGTCGTGTCCACAACTTAGGCCATAATCAAAGTGTTTTCAATTATTAGGCTATAATTGAGAGTTCAAGAATCTAATACAAAACCCATGAAACAAGAATTTAAACTAATATTGAAGATTTGCTTTATTGGTTGCCAATGAATATCCCAGAATTGACCATCTAGGAATCTCTCTGTTTAAGCAATGTCGAACTAAATAATTTTATTTTCGATTAATAAGAAATTAAACTCGTAAATGTTTAACAATGGAATTCTGTTACTATCGGTAACCCTTTTTTGGAGTTGGCTAGATTCCTATCCAATTATGACATCCCATATGAGAAAAATGTGACCAACTATGGATTACAAAAGATTGATCATCTCTTGGGATTGCCAAGCAAAGCAGAACTCATTAATCAATATTGCATCGAGAGAAAACTAGACACAATCAAATATCTCAATTACAACACAATCATCGTATTATTACAAAAAGCTATCTTCAAATAACAATGCATCAAAACAAAGGTTGACCCAGAGAGAAGCAATGTCTTTTAATAGGAATTAGAAATCATCTCTAGATCTGCTTGGAATATGGTATTGGAATTAACAAATGATGACCCATTCTAAATTAAGTTGAGAGCTGAAACCGATTAATTATTATGGGCCAAGTATCCAGTCAGTCAAAGATGCAAGAGCTACTATTACAGAGTTAGGGATTTCTTAAGAGACGAAGTATTCCCAATGGAACAGTCTCAATTTGATATTATCTACTCTTTTAACAAGGACAATCATTGGAAGGGATTACCAGGCATTGAACATTTGCAAAGAAAAGCCAAATCCATGGGATTATGGAATTTATTCATTGGAGACCCAGTCTATGGAAAGGGATTAAATAATTTGGAGTACACATTCTTATCAGAATTGATGGGAACTTCATTCTTTGGTCATGAAATCTTCAATTGCTATGCCCCAGAAACTGGAAACATCAAATTGTTGATCATGGCAGCCACTGATTATCAAAAAGAAAAGTATCTCAAACCACTCTTGGAAGGAGAATGCAAAACATTCTTTGCTATGTCTGAACGAAATGTGGCTTCATCTGATCCAACCAACTTTGAGACTATAATCACAAAATAAGGAGATGGATATGTTATCAAAGGAAGTAAATGGATGGTCTCAGGAATTCAAGATGAAAGATGCAAGTTTGGAATTATCATGGGCAAAACAACAGTGAACCCTAAATCACCTTTCACTGAATAAACTATGTTCTTAGTTGATACTCCTCATCCAAACATTAAACTCAAGCATCCCTTGGCTGTTTTTGGTTATGATGAAGCACCTCACGGACTTATTGAAGTAGAATTTGATAATGTTTATGTTCCCAAAGAAAACATGTTAGGTAAAGAAGGAACTGCCTTTAGTATGTCTCAAGGAAGACTCTTGGGAGGTAGATTACATCACAGTGTCAGATTGTTAGGATTAGCGCGCAGAGCTATGGATGTGGTATTGGAAAGAGGGTAGAGAAGAATTCATAGAGGTAAAAAATAAAAGGAGGACTCAGCATTCTAAGAGAAAATTGGAAGAATGGAATGCGATTACTAAATTTGTAAGACTATGATTCTAAATGCTGCCATGGTCTTAGATTCTTTAGGTGGTAGACACATGCAATCACTTAAAACTGTCAGTGAAACCAAAGCATTTGTACCATATAAATGTTAATGCATTGCTGATGAATGCATTCAATTATTTGGAGCTCAAGCCATCACTACAGATTATATATTGTAAATTGCTTTTTAGGCATGCAGAGGACTTCGATTGATGGATGGTCCTTGTGAATTGCACAAGAAGCAAGTCGCCAGATTCACTTAAGGAAGTCATATGTTCAATGAGTTGCTTAATGCAGATGGATACATTGGCAATATTTGACTCAAATTGAACGATTTAAGTACATAACAAATATTATAAAATAATTTTAATTTTAATGGTTGTTTTTATGGTTTTCATTTCTTTGATTTTTTTTATGTTTATTTTGGATTGCTCATTGCTTAATCAATATCTTTTTAGATATCATCATCAATCTCTACATGTTTAGCCTTCTTAGTCTAAACTGGTATTTGCTTTTGTTATGGTTATTGCTTGGTCTATTTTGCTGGTTGCTATTTGACCTACTCATCATTATTGCTTTATTTTTGCTATTATTGCTTGATTTGTTATTGATGTTTAGCAGCTGGTTGAACAGATTCAGACTCAAAATCATCGATATTATGATCCACAGCTGATTTCATTGATTTATCATCAGCCTATCAATATAAGGATCTGCTTTACTTTCTCTGATTTCTTGCGCTTCTTATCATTTGTTTCAATTCCATTCTTCTCATTGTAATCTCTCAACTCTTACTCATACTTTTCCTTGGCTGCATTGTATTGGTCAGTGTATGGCTATGCAAATTTATTGAAAACTCATACCTTCTTTTCTTATTCAGACATAGATGACCATTTATTTCCCGCCATTTATGATATTTGAGTAAGCTTAATCTCTTATAGTATTTCACAAACCAATAAATACCTGGATTTCGTTCAACCACTTTCTCTCTGTACTTCTAATTAAATAAAAAGAACGGTGTCAAAGGCTTCTTTGGTGCATTTGGATCTCGTTCCTTCTTCTTCTCAGGAGCTTGAATCTCTGTCACATTCTAGTCTTTCAAAAATTGTTAACAAAACTTGTTCATATGAGCAAAGAATTGTTGGAATTTCTTGGCTATTTCAATACCCTATCATATATTGAATAAGTAGCATACAAATTGGTTAGGATCCATAATAATATTTTAATTAATTAAAATTAATTGATGTAGCAATTCAAAAGATTACTCTCACTCACGAACAGAGTTCTCATTAAGAAATATAGAAGTTTCAAATAAAACATAAAGTGCCAACCTTCTCAATACTGAACAAGCAAAGAATCCAGCAGGACTACTCAATGAAGTATTTAGATTAATACTAAAATATAAGGCTGGATATGGCTATTACGACCACAAAGGAGATTTTATCAAAATTTGTGTTAAAGTGGGTGACACAGTTTTACTGCCCAATTTCGGTGGACAAAAAGTTAATATAAATGGATAAGAACTTTTAGAAACACAAACTTATTTGGTATATTGTCCCGATGATCTGTATTGTAATAAAATTAAGTATTCTAAATTTCGGAATTTTAGTAAATTCCTATCATTAATGACAATAAGCATTGCTGTATTATAAAATGGAAAATCTAAATCAATTTATTAAACAATTAATATAAAAATAATCTAAAATGGGAATTTGCCATTCTAAATCAAAGCTCAAAAGAAGCGGAGCCTTTCAATGCATCCCTATTGATTTCGATAAATTGAAGAGATACAATGAGGAACGATAAAAAAATGATCCAAACTTAGGTTAACAACAGTCCTTCTGTTAACTCATTTGGTAGGAGGGTAACAAAATCTCGAATCACCAGACCCAGACTTACAATAATGTCTAAACCCAACAAATTGAATTAAGAAAACCATGACATCTTAAATTTTGTTTAATTATATACAAAACTATTTCATCAACAATTCCATAAATTTTAATAAACTTGAAATATAATAATACATTTCGTAAATAATTAATGACAACTTTTAATAATTCAAACTATCTTTTTGAATGTTCCAGTTTGAATTATTTCAATAGGTCTCTTAACATATTGACTAATAGGCTCCGAATATTATTTGAAAAAAGCCTTGCGAAATGAGCTTCTTTAATAAAGAAAACTCCCTATTTAAATTCTCATTAATTTCTTAATCCTTAAATATTCAAGTTAATCTAATCAATAATTATACTGAATATATACTCGTTATGAAAAATTAAATTATTATTATCCCAACAAGGTAAACCCAATGAAGATAATATAGAAATTAGTTTAATTGTATTGATTAATTTTTAATTTTTATTCCAATAAAAATGGTGATCGATTATTTTTGGGTTTATCACCTTCATGCATTTTTGAGATAATGACTATTTTTTGATTATTATCAAAATTACTTCATCCTAAAAAGTAAAACTATTTAAGTATTTAAAATACAATCTACAATGTATTATAAAATTAACCTATTTTGTTAAAATAATAAATTGTTGATTAAACTCTAATTAATAAGTTAATATTTTTTAGTTTTATTTTTTACTTTTCAAAATGCTCTAAAAAATTAAGAAAAATTGAACAAATATTAGCCTTTACTTATGTTTTAGATCATCAAAAATATAGAAAGAAACAGCAATTCGATCAACTTATTATATTTACCCCAAAAAATTAACAATAATAACACTTTTTATTTACTTATTTTTGTTCTTTTGAATTTAAATTTAACTATTAACAGCTAGGTAACACCAGGATATTATAATAGTCAAGTCTTTTATTATTATTATAGAATTCGTGATTATTATAAGTCCGAATTATATCTAACAAATTCTAAATTTAATATATTCAATGGGAGGTGTTTATTTATCTAGTCCTAATAGAAGTAAAAATACGACAATCGATGAAAACAAAACCTTTATTTATGCAGCTTCGGCAGTACAAGGTAAAATTTTAAAATATTATGAAATAGGCTGGAGAAGATCCATGGAGGATACTCATATTTTTGTATGTGATTTAGTACCAGATGTCTCTTTATTTGGTATTTTTGATGGTCATGGAGGTAATGATGTTGCCATTTTTGTGGAACGACACTTTACTGAAGAACTTTTAAAGAATAAGAATTTTAAAGATCAAAATTTTGAAGATGCCTTGTAAGAGACCTTTTTAAAGATGGATGAGCTAATGTTTGCTGAGGAAGGTTAATTGGAACTTTAATTAATAAAGAATTCGAACGAAAAAGGTATTAATTTATTAATAACAATTAAGGGGGCTTTGATGGAGGATGTACAGCTAATGTTGCTCTCTTTTATAAGAACACGCTCTATGTTGCTAATGTAGGTGATTCCAGATCTGTATTATGTCGAAATAATACTAATTATGATATGAGCTATGATCATAAGCCTGAGATTTATAAGGAAAAATAGAGGATTGAAAACGCTGGAGGAGTTATAATTCATGAAAGGGTTAATGGTTTATTTTACATTAATATCTCTAGGAAGTCTAAGTATATCTCGTGCTTTGGGGGATCTAAATTATAAGCTTGACACTAAATTAAATTAGACTGAACAATTAGTAATTGCTCTTCCAGATATCGAAAAAAGAGAACTAACAGAAAAAGACAAGTTTTTATACTTTTTATTATAGATTTTTATTAATGGGATGTGATGGCATTTTTGACTAATTGAGTCATTCAGAGCTGCTTTAATTTATCAATGGTAAACTTGGTAATCAACCAGTTACTCCTCGATTATTAGGGAGAGTTGCAGAGGATTTGCTGGATCATTTGATTGCTTCAGACATATCATGTATTCCAAAACATATAATTTATAGCTGGGATTGGTTGTGACAATATGACAATCATAATCATTTATCTAAAATGATACTGAATAATAAATGTACAAACAATATATATAAAATAATTATCAGGTTCTCTAGTATTAATTTACAAAAGGATCAGTATTGAGTATTTAGATAAATTGAAACTAATAAGGTCTAATTCCTATTTATTTTAATAATTTTTGGATTTGTTTGTTGTTTTCGTTTATTCATTTGATCAATAAAATTGATTAATGAGAAATCTAAATTTATTTTGTTAATTTATAATAATTAGAAAATGAAAAGTTAAATGTAATTATCTTATTAGTTGATGGCATCTATTTTGAGCTTTCAAGAACTAAAATAAAACATAATGCAGTTGCTAAATAATTAATTCAAATAATTTTTATGTAATTCTGTTAATAATAATCGAGCGTCATTTTTAATTTAATTAAAATTAGCCAAAATAAAATACATTTAGAAATATCTACCAAGAATTTTCAAACAAATAAATGATTAATATTGAAAGGATGTAGTTTCTAATTTTGTAATTTAAGAGAGTAAAGTTGAATAGATTAATTTGAATTCAGATAAAGAATTGCTAAAAGAAGATTAAATTGTTCTTCAAATGTTCAGTTAGAATTAAAAAATTAAGGGATATTAGGTGAACCCAATGCTAGAAGTCTATCAATTAGAATATCAGTGATGAAATAGAAAAAAATTTAAAATAACAAGTTACTTTGTAAATTCTTTAAAAATTATTTGAACATTACTTGTTTTAGTGAAGAGAATTCTTTAGAATAGATATATATTGAAAAATATCAAGCTTAGATTAATTGAAACTATGAATTAGAATAAGATACTAACGTTTTCTTTAGATTGCCGAACTTTAACCCATTTTCAAATGTCTACATAGCCATAAATCATTCTTAAATAGACTTCTGAAAAATAGCTTTGCTATCTCACTATCCTATGCACATAAAGCATACTTTTCTTTGTTAGAACGTACTTTTGATAATAAAATACATCATTTTAGAGTCCTTTGAAGTGGATAGAGATTAATCACATTTCTATATTATAAAGCTATGTATTTTACACAGAATAAAATAGATAGGATTTAAAATAAAGATAATAGGTTAAATAACTAGAAAATTGATTAGAATTTATGGTTGTTTATTGTTATTAATGTTAATAAATCCACTTCTTTACTATGCAGTGAATAAATGATCATATTATTTATTGTTATTTATTAATATTATTTTAATTATTTAAGATGAATGAGAAAGAAGACACTATTTATTAGTCTTTTATTAATTCAGAAGGGAGTTTACAAATTGAAAATTAGTTTGAATAGTGTCAATAATGTGTAGAATTATAAAAATATGTTTATTAATTGGAATAGGAAATCACAGATTTAAATAAATTGATGTAAAAATAAGTAAATATTGAAAGAGAAATAGTCAAAGAACTAAAAACCTCAAAACATACAAATACCCAAAAAACTCTCGTTCTGTAAATTGTAAAGTGTCAGTGTGAGACATTTCAGTCATCATCAATAAAGCAAGAGTCTTCATGAAGAGTAAATTCAAAATACTAAAAGCATGTTCACAAGTTCTGGGCATTAAAAGAGAAAGATTTTTGATGAGGTTGAGGAGAAGACAAGCACAAAAGCCCTATAATTTTATAAATTGTGAAATTTAATATTAAATAATCATATGAATGATTAGTTCAAAAATTCTTTAAATTATTAGAATGTGATCTTTATTGAGCTATTCTATAATTAATATATGAGACTGAAGGATGGTAGTGATTTACTGGTTACTCTATGACTCTATTGGGACTTATAGCAACTCTGGTTTTGCTTATCTCTTGACGAAAGGATGATAATTGCTAATTTAAAGATTCAATCATCTGATCCTTATTTAATATTTTGATTTTTGCATTTTCCATATCTATTTTTATTTATTATTGTTATTTAATTTGGTCTTAGAAACCCAATCTTGATTTTAGAAGTTAATCTTAAAAGGATTGATTTTCTTACTCTAAATTTTTGATCTAACTGAGCAATTATGAAACACTAGAGTGATATTTCTAGTTTAATTCTTTCAAAATTTATATTTAATCTAAATCATGTCAAACNATACTAACGTTTTCTTTAGATTGCCGAACTTTAACCCATTTTCAAATGTCTACATAGCCATAAATCATTCTTAAATAGACTTCTGAAAAATAGCTTTGCTATCTCACTATCCTATGCACATAAAGCATACTTTTCTTTGTTAGAACGTACTTTTGATAATAAAATACATCATTTTAGAGTCCTTTGAAGTGGATAGAGATTAATCACATTTCTATATTATAAAGCTATGTATTTTACACAGAATAAAATAGATAGGATTTAAAATAAAGATAATAGGTTAAATAACTAGAAAATTGATTAGAATTTATGGTTGTTTATTGTTATTAATGTTAATAAATCCACTTCTTTACTATGCAGTGAATAAATGATCATATTATTTATTGTTATTTATTAATATTATTTTAATTATTTAAGATGAATGAGAAAGAAGACACTATTTATTAGTCTTTTATTAATTCAGAAGGGAGTTTACAAATTGAAAATTAGTTTGAATAGTGTCAATAATGTGTAGAATTATAAAAATATGTTTATTAATTGGAATAGGAAATCACAGATTTAAATAAATTGATGTAAAAATAAGTAAATATTGAAAGAGAAATAGTCAAAGAACTAAAAACCTCAAAACATACAAATACCCAAAAAACTCTCGTTCTGTAAATTGTAAAGTGTCAGTGTGAGACATTTCAGTCATCATCAATAAAGCAAGAGTCTTCATGAAGAGTAAATTCAAAATACTAAAAGCATGTTCACAAGTTCTGGGCATTAAAAGAGAAAGATTTTTGATGAGGTTGAGGAGAAGACAAGCACAAAAGCCCTATAATTTTATAAATTGTGAAATTTAATATTAAATAATCATATGAATGATTAGTTCAAAAATTCTTTAAATTATTAGAATGTGATCTTTATTGAGCTATTCTATAATTAATATATGAGACTGAAGGATGGTAGTGATTTACTGGTTACTCTATGACTCTATTGGGACTTATAGCAACTCTGGTTTTGCTTATCTCTTGACGAAAGGATGATAATTGCTAATTTAAAGATTCAATCATCTGATCCTTATTTAATATTTTGATTTTTGCATTTTCCATATCTATTTTTATTTATTATTGTTATTTAATTTGGTCTTAGAAACCCAATCTTGATTTTAGAAGTTAATCTTAAAAGGATTGATTTTCTTACTCTAAATTTTTGATCTAACTGAGCAATTATGAAACACTAGAGTGATATTTCTAGTTTAATTCTTTCAAAATTTATATTTAATCTAAATCATGTCAAACTTTACTTTATAAACTTAAAATAATTTAAGATTATTGTTAGAGTTCCTATTACAATTTGAGAATTATTTCTCCGTCCCTACTTTTATTCTATTGTTCCTATAAATTCTTAAGGTATAATTCATTATTTGCTAAGCTATCAAATTTTAGGATTACTTAGTTTCAATTCTACTTTGGAATCGAAAATCGAATTCTAACTGATTTTTCTGTTTGAATAATTCTCAGTTGACTTATCATCTTTCTTTGAAGGACTTGTAACTACTTCTTGAAAGAAATATCTTTTCTAAAATATTGCATTGAAAATTGAATACCTCCTTTGATGGAGGAGTAGTTGGTTTAACAAATGAAGGTGAGACCAATGGCTAAGTAGAATCTACAAACATCTCATGTAATTAGTGTGTTGTCAGGTAAATATGAGAATTCATTAAAGTAAAAATAGTTAAATAATTAATCAGCTCTGAAAATTGGGTAATAATGTATAGCATTCTCAAATCTTTAATGATAATAAAAGAATAACATAAATAGTATTATATTTATTTTAAAATATTTTATTAAATGGATCTCTTTGATGACAATAATCCTTATTACAGATAGGCAGTGTCTATGCCTCCTTTCGAACCGGTGTTCAGTCGTCTTAGTTCATATAACTAATCATAAAACAGAATTATTAACTGGGCAAATTTGTAACCCATCTCCTGCATCCTTAAAAGAAATGAATAAGATTATATTACAACTGGGCGTGATAAATTTAATGACAGCATGCTTGCCGTCTATAATACACAGGATTCTCAAAGAGAATTCGATTTGTTAGCCGATGTCAAAAAATTTAAGTCAACTAAAATTTCAGACAGAAGCCATAGATAACTCAAATACCCCAAAGAATTTGATAAAGTATTTGAAGAATTAGATAAAGAATATTAATTAGAATTTCATCTACAACGAGGAATAAATCCTTTTTTGCATTAGCCTAATTATGTTTAACCAATTACAGTCTTTGGGTAGTTCAAAAATTTAAAGAATCTTAAGAGCATTTCTAATATTATCGAAACCTGTTATCTTCCAAATATGATTCGTGTTTGTTATAAACTCATAAATGATGACTCCAATTACGATTATAAGGGTAAGTTTAACAATGTTAAGGTAATCTAGAATTTGGGCGAAGCAGAGACTGTATAGATTCTTTATATGAAAGTGAATGAAAAATAAAATGCTGGCGAATAGTTGTGGCACTTTGTTACTATGATGTATAAAAGACTAGATGATGGAGGTTGCTTTGTTTTTGAAATGAAAAATTTAGCAGATCCTGCCTTCACATAATTTTTGTATTTGTTCCAGAAATTGTTTTTGATAATTTCATTGGATCATAGTGATATTCTGACTTTGAGCCCAAAAATCAGCTGTTATGGGTTTTAGAGATAAAGCTCTATTTAAATTTTAGATAAAGTAATCTTGAATTTAGAGGAGATTAAAAACAATAATTACAACATTTTTAGGATTAGACAATTAACTCAAGATCATAAATTTGAACATGATATAGTTTCCTTTTATAAATAATACTTGTAGAAAATCTCATAACAAATAAAATTAATTTAGTAATTTGAAAGAGGAGGAGAAATTAGCTATCAGGAATTTATTTAAGAGTGTGAAAAATTGAAGGAAAAGAAGAAGAAAAATCATTAATCATTTGATTAGGGCAATTTTAATACTCGTCAAGAACCTAGAAGTGATAATAATTATAAGGCAACATCGACTAAAGTAATCAACAAAAAGATTGATGTTGATACAGCAGTACTTGAGTTGGATTTCAAAAAAAGCTATAGACCTTAGTGGAAACCAAGTCAAACAAAATAAACCCAGCCCAAACAAAATGAGAAGGAAGAATAGGTTAAAAAGTAATTGGAAAAATTGCTGAGTTAAGGGTCATAGAAGAAACAAACGACAAAAGAAATTTAATAGAAAACATATGAAGAATAGCTAGGGCTGAATGTAAAAAAGAGAACTTATAACACTACCTCAGAAGACAGAAAAAGACGCCATTGAATATATATTATTATTAGAATAATTATTATTAAAACGGGTGAGTTCATAATTTTGATAAGAAATAAATATGCTCAATTAATATGAGCCTCTAGAATAACCAGGGGTTGCATTGAGCATGCCTGAATATCCTACTTCATCTGAAATCCACGAGGTCATTTCAAAGGAAAAGTACTCTCATTTGTCTGATATGTAAGCAGATTCAGCAATATAATTAGATTACTACTTCTCATTATTGTTTTTTATTTGATTGTAGTGATTGCATTTTTTATAGCATTGGGCACTTCGCAGCATTTCAGACAGTTCCTGTTTGATTTTTTTAGTGACAACTATGAGAATGGTAATTTTTATCTTGATTATCCTAAAGATGTTTATGGGTTGCTATATATCGGTGCTTTTGAGTTTGTCCTGATAATAACGGGTTTTGACATATTTTTGATGGACATTTTGTTTGGATTTTTCATTCGACCATATTTAACAGCCTTGTCTTTGCTATTTGCAACGAAAATGGCTGGAAAGTAAATATCATAAGAATTGTAGATTTTTGTGTTTTGCCCTTGTAAAATACTGTTTTAAAGAAGAAATTTATTAAGCATTTAAAGGAAATATTTTTTTCAAGACCTTCTATGTTGCGGCTCAGATAAATCCAATAAAGATTTTAGCAATTTTGCAATTGATTACACTCCCAACAGCATTTAAGACTTATGTGGTAGGAGTGTTTGCTGTGAGCACACCTTAATATTTGGTGGTGACATCAATAAGTAATTTCTTATGGACTGGATTTTGGGTTCATGTGGGAGTTTAGGCAAAGAATGTAAAGACCTTTATAGAGACGGGAAAGTCTTCTGACATAATGCCTTTGTAGGTATAACTGATCATTTTCTTTGGGGGAATTTGTGCATTAGGATATTTGTTAAAACTTACTAATTAAGTTTACTAAAGTATTGTACAAGAAGTTCAAGGATTGGAGAAGGATAGAAAGTGAATAAATTTAATTATATAGAAATTAATATAAATTATTAAAATTTATTAAACTTTATGAAATCGCCTGTTCGAAAAGAAAAGAAACATCAAACTCACAATCCTTCCTCTCAATAGGATAAATTTCAATAGAAATTGTTATATCCTGGATAGATTGTAGCAGGGAGATTCAAATTAATTGAGAAAGTCGGACAAGGTAGTTTTGGATCGATTTTTAAGACTGAAAACATAGAGACAGGTGAAATATGTGCATCTAAATTTGAAAGGAGAGAGTCAGCAAAAAATAGTGTAAGTTTGCTAGTTAGAGAAATAAAGATTTTATTAGTATTGAAAGGGATCCCAGGTATTTAAATCCATTATGCAAGGCTTTCCTTAGATTCTGCATTATGGGAGAGATGAAAATTACAATTTCTTTATGATAACGTATTTGGGTTAGAATTTGGAATTCTTGATTAGAAAAACCAAAAGGTTCTCACAAATCAATTGTCTCAGAATAGGATTACAATTACTGGAGAGACTGGAATAATTGCATCAGAAGAATTTGATTCACAGAGATTTGAAACCAGAAAATTTAGTAATAGGATGGTAGGATATCGATGTTATTTATTTGATTGATTTTGGATTATCCAAATGTTACAAGGATAATCAAGGAAATCACATTCCAATGATAGAGAAGAAGGGAATCATAGGAACTGCTAGATATGCCAGTATTGGAGCACATTTAGGTGATTAATTTGAATGTAATTTTAGGTAGAGAGTAATCAAGAAGAGATGACTTGGAATCCTTGGCTTATGTACTCATTTATCTAAATAAAGGGAAATTGCCATGGATGAATTTACCAATCCAAGATAAATCAATTAAATATAACAAAATACTTGAATATAAACAATAAATCTCTCATGAAAAACTCTGCGACAATCTACCTAAATGTTATTATTTATTATTGCAACATGCCAAATCTAGAGAATACACTGAATAACCTAATTATGCATACATTAAAGAGTAATTTTCTAAAGCATTGGGTGATTAAGAGTATATAGACAACATCTCCTTTGATTGGGAGAAACTACCTGAATTGAAATCTAAGAAATCAAGAAGATCTAATTCACAAAAAAAGCAGAGTGAAAAAAAACCTAAGATTTCCATTTCTAAATAATAATCAATCGTACAAGAACATAAACAATAGAATTAATAGCCTTCTTTATAACTAATTTAACAAACTCAACAAAAAAGTCAGGTTTCCTTTCTCCATGTGCCTGATCTAGACAGTTAATCTCCAGATAAACAATCAGGGCTTGAAAGAAAAAGCAGAGGGGTATTTTATAATTAATCATTCAGTACCTAAGTAGAGGTAGTGCAGGGACTACTAGGTTGATGAATTATGACCTTAGTTAAATTGAAGAGGACGAAAACGATGGAGACAATCAGAATCACACACCTTTTCTTAATATCAAGAAATAGAGAAAGGATCTTAAGAGTTTTTCTGTCATGACAGAAAATTAAGTCTTCAAACTCACTACGTTTTGTAAACAAGCTGGCAAAACTGTTAAAGACTAATAAATCGAAGAGATCAATTAATTCTATGGGTCATTTGATAATTTAGATCTTATTGCAAACGATGAAATTCATATCTAGTTTAAAAACATTGGGGCATTTTCCTTTAAAAAACATTGAATCCCACCATTTTCATTGTCTATTGATGAGATATTTATTTATACTATTTGAAATATTATTAATCAACTTTTGATTTACCTTAATCATACTTAATTTGTATTTATCAAGATCTTTTATGCCAAGCAAGAGGGTAATCGCCAGCATATATTTTGATTCTTAAATTACCAAAATTAAAACTAAAATAAATAAAACTCTTCAAGTATAGAATTTTTAAACTTCATTGCAGAGTAGACCTCCAAAAATATTTATTAGTTCCATTAAGAAATCATTGAGTTCATAATTAATAGTTGCCATCAGTTAAAGAATAACTAGAAGAACAAGAAAAGTCAGAATTCAAATTAATTGTTCAACAAATATTCATATTTTATGCTCAGATCAAATACCTAATGATAGACTAATTATTGAGACAATGCTTTTTTCGAAAACAGAAATTAAAAGATACCAATTATAAGATACCTATACTTTATATTCAATTATATTTAATTTTTTTCATTATAAAAAATACCATTGAATGATCTATTGCGTTTCAAGAACCTATGCAAAAAACAAAGAGATTCAGCATCAAAAAAATAAATCCGCTAGTATCATCACTGCAAAACCTCCAGAAGCTAATACTGCCTCAGTTCATGAACTTTACGTTTCTAACAATATGATGTTAAGTTTGCTAACTCTCTCAGAGCAAGAATACAAGGCTGAATCAAAAATCCCATCAAATACTCAGCAAGATGATAATCAATTTTATTAATATAGATAATCATTGCAAAAATAATTGTCTGAAAGAAAGATCAAAAAAAATTATGATTTAGAACCAATTACAAAAGAAAACAACTCAATTTAATCAATATAAATACCTGAGTAAGTACAACCAGATTAAAATCAAAGACAAAGCAGAAGAACGGTGCCTAATCTATTGCAGAAACCCTAATAGTGCTCTCAAATCAAAAGAAACTCATTAATGCTTAATACTTCTCCTAATGAAATTTCATTTGGATAGATTATTTTTAAAAAAAACGAAATTTTGTAAGATACTAATTCAATTTCAAATGTTACAGACTCAGAAACTGTGATTAATCTTCCTATGTAATTTTAACCATTCCAGTTCAAATAATGAAGAAATTTATCATTTGTATCAAATTCTCATTAGTCTATAACAGATTATTATAATAATCCTCTTATTTCTTTTCAGAATAACCTTTATTAAATATAACCGAATTTAAATATTAAAATATAAGACATATGATATCATGGTTTTTTCTTTAGGAAGCTTATCACTTTGCTAGATATACTATTATCATCTTATTGATTTTATTACTTTTCTGGTTAAGAATTTTCACTAATTAATTAATTTACAATTTTACTTAATCTAAGATTCAAAATAATCTTTCATTTCTGTCAAATTCATTAAGAGATCCTAATAGTTTGAACTATAATAGTGATTTAATAGTACTGATCTTTAAATGATTTCATGAACTTTAGGGTTTCTTCCAAAGTGCCAAACATCTCTTCAGCCTATTGAATAGGAATCTAAATAGAATTTTTCAATGGGGTTTAAGCTTTTTTTACTTGTTATGATTGCTCCTCTACTTAAAATTAGGTTTTGATGGTTTTAGTGTTTGTACTTGATAAACTAGAATCAAAAAAGTTTGTTGTAATTGATGATTAATTGCTGCTTTGAGTAACTTAAGAAGTCGACTATGACTATTGTATTTGTTATTAAGCTTAATACTATTATGGCTTTTATTATTGAGGTACTGATTTCGGTTGTAAGGGATTAATAAATTATTGCTAATTTTGATTTGATTTATCTGGAGAGGTTTCATCTTTGTAGACTAAATCTACATCACCTTTCATTCTAAACTAAGGTTTTTCAGAAGTAATCTTCACAACCTTAGCATCCATTCCTTCAATTTTGTCAGTAGGCTATGCAAAAAAAACAGGATTGAATTGTTTATCTGAATAAATGGCTGGTTGATTGGACTCATTTTATTCATCTAAAGTAGTGGCAGATTTTTAATTCAATAAAATGGCTCTGACATTGATAGCAGACTCAAGTAGAGCTGACAAATTAGAAACTGGTGGGTATTTGAGGAATCTTTGATAACATTAACTGGAATCTTCCATTTCCATTACTATCATTAAATAATAACAAATACTTGGCTATTTAACATACAATATCATTGCTATTGCTATGCAATCAACAAAAAATAATGTCTCTGTTTTTTATTCATAAAAATCATAGAAGATTGCATCCCATGCTTTAAAAGATTCCATTAAATGTAATTCTCTAGTAAACATACATCTATTTAATTTATTATATTTAATACCTTATCCACTTTAATAAAAATATTTGGAATTCCACTTGTAATAATTTGAGATGTCTAAACATTGGCATTTCCACTTGTTTTAAGAGGATATCTTAAATTTTAGAGACTCTTGTTAAGATTGCACTTGGCTTTTTACTTTATAATTTAATCTTTTATGCTTCTGTATAGTTTGGTCTGAACATTTCCATGTGTTAAGCATCATTCATCAATTTCTAAAAGAGTGTGTAGATGTCAGCCTCAGCATGCTCCCATGAATTAAATTGTAATAAGATTTGCTTGTCGTCCTCTGATGCCTTCATCATATAATAATGTATACTCCTTGTATTTTATCAATTTCATCTTAATAAAGAGCTTCTTGAAAGTATACATGAATTAAGGAGGCAGCTACCTCATTCATCCCTTGTCTATATGAAATTTCACTATTTTCTTTGCTCCATATAAACAATATACTAGTAAGTATCTGCAACACTTTTTTATTAGCAAAAAATTAAATCTCTTGATATGTCCTTTCAACATCCTTTCTTATTTCATTTCTTAGTTCAGCATCTTCCATTGGATTTTGAGTGGCTGTCTTTATTTTAGATCCTCCTCCTAATGGGCCACCTAAAGGACCCCCTAATGGACCTCCTAAAGGACCTTTTTTAGGTTAATCCTCAATCTTTGTAGTGGATGACACTTCTTAAGATCTTGAATACTTTTGCTCCAATTATTTATAGGTTTCTCTTGTTTTGGATAACTTACCTATTTTCTCAAATACTGTATCTTCTATGGTGTAAATGCTATGTAGAATCCACATATTACTTAAAAAACAATCTCCATAAATTAAATCTCTATCCTGTATTATCCAATTAACAAAATTTGATCAATGTTTCGATATCTGAGATGTCATTGTTAATCATATACCTATGAAAGCTCTTCACATTAAAATGATGACCACTTATATGTATAATAAGAAAGGACTTACATAAATTTTTTGAGTTGTGTAATTGCTTCCATAAAAAATAATATTTATTTATATTTAATCATCATTTTTTCAAACAAGAACTATATATTTCAAATTCCTTTTAGCATTACTTCTCTTTCACTTCATATCCTTTAGAGCTTGCACATATAGCATATTAAATAGCTTCAAACTTACATCTCTACAGATCCTAATTCATTCTTGCCAAACTTGGTCTTAAATTTACTGGCACATAAGTCACTGCTCTATAATTCATTATTTTAAATCAATTAATAAAATATTTTTTATCTTTATGCAATCTATATTTATAACAACTAAATGATTGATTTTACACTCTCTTTCATCGTAAATTGATGTCACAAATATCATAAGATTCCTTGATGAAAGTTTTGTCTTCAAAACGTGATATAGCCAAAGTTATAAATAATTTTGAGTTACCCTTTTAAAATAATAAACAATAATAATAACAAAAATTATAATTATTCTCAAACTTACTTTTTTATATTATAATTCGTTTTCTTCTTGAATTCTCCAGCTTAATCTTCTAAAAGGTTCACAATTGATTCTAATTTATTCCTTCGCATTTTTACTTTTGCTTACCCGTCCCTAACTTGTTTAACTGGTTACACCTATGTTCGTCGATGATATGTTTAAAGCTCATTTTCTCATTATGAACTAAACACTACCTAAGAGGCAATAGAGTAAATTATTTGGCACATTCTTAAGTCCCTAATTTTTCTACTTGAAAAATTATTGAACTATAAGTCATGCTTAAATTTTATATAAATTTTGAATGATTTTATTTTTCAATTCAAAACCCAAATGAGGATAATTAAATTATTTTATGATCTGATCTCTGATTTACTTATTTTTCTCTCATATTTAATTTATATTTCATTAATGTATAATATTAAGATGGTAAATTCCAATTAATTAATCGTATTGCTTACCATAACTTCTTTATTGTTAAGTTTATTTCCATTAAATATAAGAAATCTTTTTCTATAATTTTCCCATAATAATACTCTATTATTTTTTCATTCTCCAATTTTAGGAGAGTTTCATTTCCTAATCGGTTTTTTCAATATTCAGCGCTTTATGGACAGTTTCTTTCACTTCCTCTATAGTAATTTTCAGGTGTTGGGAGATCAAGTCTTACATTTTAGAATAAGCCTCTTAATATTCTTTGAAATATATTAGTTATATTAATGAAGGGATAATAATAACTAATATTAAGATCTTTAACTCATTCTTCAAGTTCTCCAATCAGTTTAAGTAACATTTGAAATTGTTCCTTTATGCATTAATTAAAGAAACAGTATGATTGGTTGTGTTCATTAACTCTGTTTTGATATTATCGTCTTAAATTTATTGTGTTAAACCCAACAATTAGTTGTATTTGATGAGTATCTTGAATTTCATCTTCTTAGATCTTTATTAAGACAAAGTAAAATTGTAATTTCAATGGTAATTAAAGACAATAAAATGGGCTTGTTGTATTTCATTTTAAATTAAAATTTCTACTTTATTATTGAAGCCAATATCAAATTCCTTTTGATTTCCTGTATAATCAATAAATTATTTTTTTCAAAACACCAAATGGGCTTGGGAATTAATGATATAAAAAATAAATCAGTAGTTGATGAAGGGTATTTATAATTTACTACTGTTATAAAGGATTTGATATTAATTAGGAGTAATTTTAGGATAATTGTTAAGATTAAAATATATTCAAACTCAGTTTAAAAATAAAACCATATGCTTGAAAACTTCTTGCAATTTTGAATTGGCCTTTAATGAAAAAAATCAAACCTAAAGTTTAATTAACAGTTTTCATCTGCTTTAACCTGAAAGAAAGGGATACAATTTTTGAAAAAAAAAACGAACTAGAGGGATTAATTTGCATTAGTTTCAACCTTTTTCTAGAAATTGCTTAAAATGGAAAATTATTTTATCAAATTATTGAATTTGTATATTCAAGCATTTCTCTATATAATTTCTAATAATTTAATTTGAACTGCCTGATTGTCAATTTAGGCTACTTAATAGATTGAACATTCAGTATTAGATGTATTGATTATCCATTCTTATTCTGACACTTGAAATCTGGCAGTATAAACTATAGTATTGATAGTCGGATAACAATAATGGAAAAATTCTTACTCGTTTTAAGACTAGCATTGGAGGCACTTTATCAAATAACTTTACATTTTTATATTTGTAAAGCATTTCGCATAGACTTGGATAGTCAGTATTTATAAACTATTATTAATTGAATACGTGAATGTTCCTTAGGTCGCTATTTTTTAGTTAACTTCTAATAGATTAATCTCCATAGGAATCCTTTCATCTGACTTTGGATCTTATATTTGATTAATTAAAATTTTTGATAAAAGAAAAAAAGGGGCTTATAATAAGATTTATGAATACAATTAGTGCATAAACTTTTGTAAAGGACTAATCCACCAGAACAAACAGTGCAATCTGTTCTATAAGGGCCAACGCACAAGTTGCAACTATTATAACATTTTGAAAGATATATATTAAGTGCCCTTATTCCCCAATATGAATTAGTAGTTCCCGAAACTTTAGAGGTTGTCATAGTTAATTGAAATTTTGATGACGAATGGGATAAAGTAACTCCAATATTATAAATTTATTCTAATCCATTGGATCCACAAATAGAATAAGCACCTCCAGATCCTAAAACAGCTTAAGCTACAACTGAATTATCTACAAATAAATAAAAGTTTTCATTAATCCATGAATCAATTTTCCAAAGTTATAAATTTACTTAAATTTTATAGTGAGGACTTAGATTTTCTATATTTTTTTTCACATAATCACCTGGAGCTAAATTAAGTTACCCTCCAACAAGATCAAAACTCTCACATCTATAGGTTGCAGGTTAAATGATATCATTTTTCATCCATCCATCAAGTAATATTGATTCATGCCATAATGATAAAACACCAACCCAATAATTACAAGTAGATTAATCGCTATCTGAACAATATAAACAACCCTAAGGACATCTTACAATTGATAATTAAAAATCTCTGAATCCAAAACTTTCCTTTAATATTAATTATATTTTACACCATCAGCATATTCGTCAAGATTTGTAGTCATTATGAAAATTAATGATTCTGAAGTATGATTCATTGTAATCGTAATAGGTTCTTTTACCTCATACCATGAAGCAATCGTCCTTTAATCTCCACATAATTAGATCCCCTCATTCCAGTAATAATGTTTTTTCCATAATGCATCATCTACAAAAATATAGACAAATTCATTATCCCAACTATCAATTCTACACTTTATATGAGATATACTTCCAAAATTCAAAAGTAATTTTGAGTTAATAATGAGTAGGTAAGGAAAAGTGCTTAGATACTATTGTAGTGTTTCCAAATAAGTTAAATCCTCCAAACAAACTAAAACCATTGCAAATTGAAGTTAGATTTCCATTTTAATTATTACTTACAATCCACCCTAAATAATTTAATATGAAAATAACCTTATGAATCCATTGAGTTAATGTCTTGAAAGCTTTGGTAAATAGTTTCCCACTGTACTTATGTCTTACCTAAACATAATAAAATGAAAATAAAAATATTAAGTTTCGTCATATTTAATATATTAATATTAAATTGTTAAGTCCCTTATTTTTATTAGTTTAATCAATTATACCCCTTGTATTCATAATTTTAATGGTATGAAAAATAATATCATAAGATATTTTATCTTTTAATTTGATTAATAAGTAGATCGTTAGATATTCAATGGTTATTCTCAATTAAAATTTCAAAAATTAATTTCTATTAAATCAACGAATTGAGAAAATTATATTTTTATAATATTCATCATGCTGCATTGATAGATCAGAATTAAAAAATGGATGAATTAATGGAATATAACCTAGTTTTAAGATCATTTCAAATCTTATTATTGATTAAACTTAATGAGAAGAAATGATTCTGGTGATATTTTAAGTAAGTGTAAATGTAATTGTAAAAAGAATTTAACTATTATCAATCAGTAATTTTCAGATTAATTCTCCTATAATCTAAAGGACTCACAATGAAGATTCTTATAATTTATTGAATTAAGTCTAGTTCTTTTCTTATTTTGATCTGGAGAGAAGCATTTTTCTTCAGCAAATGATTGTGCTCGTATTCTTTTATTAGTTATAATATTAAAACACTACTAATTTAGAGTTACTTATTATTTATTCTAACAATTTTTATCCACTTAACATCTTCTTATTTTTATTAAGGGTTATAAATCATGAGCTAAAAAGTGTTGATTGTAGCAAAACTTTAAAGTTTCAGGTTAAAAAGCTGTATTTTCTATGTTCTATTTGGAATTGTTGGATTCTTTAATTTATTTTGAGGGTGATTTGGTTTCCAATCTTGTACCGTATACTCCTTATTCTAATGAGAAACAATATTGCTAAGTAAGTTATTTTGGTAATTAGATTTTTCTAAGATTCTCATTTGCAAATAACTTATTATTAAAACACTCTTCCCCTCTTTTTGAATTCGTCTGTTTAGAATTTCGTTTGATTGCAGTTCCAAAGAAGCCTTGATGATTCATATGCTTTTTTGGATATTTATTTATTAATAAATAATTGAATTGATAATTTTTGTAATAACATTAATTTATTATCGATGGATTAATAATTAAAAAAAAAGTTAAAGAAGCAATAGGTCCAGAAGATTTAATTTCATTAATTACACGAATTCGCTGGGTTTTAGGTTGCAAAGGATATCACTGAAATAGAGCCAGAACCTCAAAGAAGAAAACCTTAGTAATTGACATCATAGCAAGTACAACATCGACAACAATTATACATGAAATCCAAATTTTAATTCGTCTTACTATCACAACCTATCAGTAAAAAGAGACATTCTATATTATCAAAGAAGAAGTTAGGTGGGATGAAGTGTATTAAGTAATTTACACGACAACTCAAGATATCACATGTCCTATTTGCATAAGCGATCATGACATCATAATCCCTTACATTACACCATGTGGCCATATTTATTGTCTTCCCTGTTACCAAAGACACAAGCTTCAATGTAAAATCATAATTCTTTAATAAATTAGCAAAATTTAATTAAAAGTGCCCTCTTTGTGGAGAATTGGCAGTTATGAGTGAATTGAAATCAGTTAAAATCATCAAACACAAAATCAAGAGCTCTGGAGACACTGTACTTTTAAATCAAATTTAAAGATATAAAAATGAAACAGAATTATATGTTAATGGAAAGGAATCAGTTGTCTATGCAAGAACTTTAATTGCAAATGAATCTTATGTTCTGAAGATCTTTGAGGAGGAGATTATATAGCTATAGAAGTAAATCATAATATCTATTTCAGTTATTTAGAGATTTGTGAAACTGAAATTTAAGAACCAGTTCAACAATCTATATAATTTCTCTTAGAAAGACAAGATAAATTGCCAAAAAGCAACCTTAACCTTAAACCTGATATTGCCCTCAAACCATTTGTTCCAAAACAAAATCAAATAGCATATAAGTTTTTCTAAGACTCAAATGGACTTCTAGGTTTTCTTCATCCATTATGTCATAAGTATCTCAATCTGTAATATGGTAATGATCAACTTCCATAGTAAATTGAATCCTTTTTAATATAAAAAGATTAATTTACATAGAATAACCACACACTGGCTAGATACAAGTATGAGTATAATTATATCATCAGGTTTCTTTCTCATATTCCATTACATACTGAAATATATTTCTACGAGATCGATTTAAAAAATATTTTAAATCAGGACCATTTAAAGGATTATTTACTTGAAGTAGAAAATTGTTTAATATTTAGATTTAAGATTATAGAGAAAGATAAAGGAAAGAAAGACAAAAATAAGAGGAAAAATATAATTAATTATAGGCTTAGTAAATTTAAAAATAATAATATCCAATTGAAAATGGAATTGATTACTATTATTCAAATTCATAAATAGATGAATTTTAATTTGATGAACAAGACTTCCCAGAGTTACCAGGTGTTAGAAATATAAGCTAATAATAAGATGAGTTAGAAGATAAAAGGGAAATAGATTAAAACTAACCTTAATAATAATAATAATAATAATAATAATAATAATAATAATAACAATAACAATAATAATAATAGTAATAATAACAACAATAAAATCTACAAGATGAGATTAATTTTGATTTAGAATCTTAATTTCCTAGTATAAATTAAGAATGCTCTGTAATTAAAGTGAATCCATTTTAAAAAACATGGGGTTAGTAATAACCAAAAGTAGAATAAAAGGTTGAAGATGAGCAGTTGATTAAGAAAGAAACTAACAATCAAGAAACAGTAAAATTAAGCGATTTAGACTTTCCGGTTATTGTGAAATAAAAAAATAAAAAAAAGAAACAAAATTAGAGAGAGTGAAATATATACATATATATTTAATTAAAAAATAATGTAATAAGGACTTGCTTAAAAGAGATTATTGATGGATTTTAAGAAAATTTAACAAGAAAATTAGGAAGACTTTATGGCCTCTCCATAAGAAAATGATATTTTCCATTGGGAAGCAGTGATTTTTGGGTACTAGAATGAAAATAATTATTTAAGACCAGAATAAACTCCATGGGAAGGAGGATGTTTTGAATTAAAATTGGCTTTCTCGAATGATTATCCAACTAAGCCACCTGAGGTTCGATTTGCCCCACCAATTTATCATCCAAATGTTTATCCAGATGGAAGAATATGCTTAGATATTTTAAAGGAACAATGGACCCCAATTTTAGATGTTTGGGCTATTTTAACTTCTATCAGATCGCTATTGTGTGATCCAAACCCAAACTCACCTGCAAATCCAGAAGCTGCAAAAGTAAAACAAATTCTGTAAAATAGTTATACATGTCTGACAGAGCGGAATATTATAGAAGAGTAAAAGAATAGGTTGAGAAAACACTAAATGGAATTGAGGAAGAAAAATGATTAAATAATTTTATTATCACCTAAATCAGATTGTAAACCAACAATTTCCCAGGAGCTATTATAAAGATCAGAGATTCCTTTGATTAATGTCTTATCATTAATTTCCTTTATGTCCAATAGTTCAACCTCCCTTTTCAGATTTAATGGTGTCCTTGTCTTCGTTTCCAAATGATCTAAAGCTTTCTTCACTAACAAAGAGGATCATCAGTAGTTACCAAACTCCATTTTCCATTAAATATTGGATTTCAGTTTCAGATTAAAATTTAGTTGGATGCCAATTTTGAAATTTTTATCTTCATATCCATTAAACCCAAAATCATATTCTTATGCGTGAGTTTTCATAGCAAAATCGTTGAAGTGAATTCTCCTTGTACATTAATGGAGAAACTGTGAGAATACATTTATAACATTTTGCTCTTATTTTTGAAGGGCAGCAATATTATACTATTTAAGAGTTGAGTTATCTAAAGTTTCTGATGTTTCTTTAAGTAATCCAACACCTAAATACCTCAATATGCAATTTCTTATTTATATCTTTCAGCCAGAAAGACTGATCAACAATATGCCTGAAATCTTCAGGTGACACAGTCCTCTACGTTTATCCAATAGCAGGGGAGCACGATAATTTAAACCATTTTATTATCTTTCGCAACTTGTATCAGATTTAGGGCGGAAATATTATAAGTCCCAGCCCAAGCCATAAGTAATTAATCTAAATTTTTGAGACCAGTGGGTGCTAATACTTTCAATCAGATTTGGCTATTTTAATAAATCCAGCTATCTAAAATCTTACCTATACTTTTGACAGTATTAATTCTAGGAAATGCCAACTCTATAATATTAATTCTGTGATTCATTCGAATCTATTCTTTTAAAAATCTAGTATCTTCAACATATTATGCAAGACTAACATCAATCTATATTCATCATATCAATTATAATAATCTTGGTCTACACTTCAAATTAGAGAACTTTAGGAAGTCAAAAGTTCTACTACAAGTCATCCACCTAAATTGAACTAATTGCTCTTCACTTCTCCTGATCAGATATCTGTTTATATATTAGACGAGACAAATGCCATCTTCAAATATAGTAAAATGATTCTTGTAAATTTATATATTTATATTTATACATAGTATGGCATAATTGGATGAAAATTATAATCCTTGGGATTTGGAAAGTGATGACTATCGTATGCCAGGCTAGGTTATCAGAAATTACAATTCTCTTCACAATGAGCCATAACCAGTATTATTATATTTTTATCCTATGCTAAAAAACCAGATTGTTCAGTTGAGAATTAGAGTAGATCCTCTGACACTGGCAATTATTACAGTCATGCACCACTTGTAACAAATAACCTTAAAATATATTATTCAGTTTACTGAAAAACCCAAGTGCACACCCCTTGTTAAGAAAGAAATAATTGAATTAGAGGATGAAGAAGCCAGAAAAATGAGAAGTCCTTCAAGTCATGAAGCCATCTCTTTGCAAACACCTAAAAGCGTGCGAAGTCAATAACCACATAAAACTAAGGCAGTTGAAAAAATTAGAGCACGTCTATCCAAACCCTAAATTTTTACAAAAAACCAATTAAGATAAAGATAATTGTAACAATTTATCGATGGATGGGGTTTTTCTCTATTGATGGGATTTGTGACACTCTATGCATTATTTGGAGATGATATTAGAATATTGTCTGTCAATAAAGATGGTGATGACATCTTCTTTATTTTAACTACAATTTGCATAGTATGTTTTGCAGTCGAGATTGTATTAACTTGCATTGCCAATCCAAATTATCTTTTTAATGTATTCAGCTTTGATAACCATAGTTTTATTTTTGGCTTGATTTAATTTCTACTGCAACAATGATTCTAGACATAGGTTGGATTACAGATCATTGGTATGGAGATGAGGGAGATGTTTAAAATGCTGCTACTCTCAAAGCTTTGGGCAAAGCATCAAGAACAGCAAGAAAAGCAGCAAGGGNTATCAGATTTAGGGCGGAAATATTATAAGTCCCAGCCCAAGCCATAAGTAATTAATCTAAATTTTTGAGACCAGTGGGTGCTAATACTTTCAATCAGATTTGGCTATTTTAATAAATCCAGCTATCTAAAATCTTACCTATACTTTTGACAGTATTAATTCTAGGAAATGCCAACTCTATAATATTAATTCTGTGATTCATTCGAATCTATTCTTTTAAAAATCTAGTATCTTCAACATATTATGCAAGACTAACATCAATCTATATTCATCATATCAATTATAATAATCTTGGTCTACACTTCAAATTAGAGAACTTTAGGAAGTCAAAAGTTCTACTACAAGTCATCCACCTAAATTGAACTAATTGCTCTTCACTTCTCCTGATCAGATATCTGTTTATATATTAGACGAGACAAATGCCATCTTCAAATATAGTAAAATGATTCTTGTAAATTTATATATTTATATTTATACATAGTATGGCATAATTGGATGAAAATTATAATCCTTGGGATTTGGAAAGTGATGACTATCGTATGCCAGGCTAGGTTATCAGAAATTACAATTCTCTTCACAATGAGCCATAACCAGTATTATTATATTTTTATCCTATGCTAAAAAACCAGATTGTTCAGTTGAGAATTAGAGTAGATCCTCTGACACTGGCAATTATTACAGTCATGCACCACTTGTAACAAATAACCTTAAAATATATTATTCAGTTTACTGAAAAACCCAAGTGCACACCCCTTGTTAAGAAAGAAATAATTGAATTAGAGGATGAAGAAGCCAGAAAAATGAGAAGTCCTTCAAGTCATGAAGCCATCTCTTTGCAAACACCTAAAAGCGTGCGAAGTCAATAACCACATAAAACTAAGGCAGTTGAAAAAATTAGAGCACGTCTATCCAAACCCTAAATTTTTACAAAAAACCAATTAAGATAAAGATAATTGTAACAATTTATCGATGGATGGGGTTTTTCTCTATTGATGGGATTTGTGACACTCTATGCATTATTTGGAGATGATATTAGAATATTGTCTGTCAATAAAGATGGTGATGACATCTTCTTTATTTTAACTACAATTTGCATAGTATGTTTTGCAGTCGAGATTGTATTAACTTGCATTGCCAATCCAAATTATCTTTTTAATGTATTCAGCTTTGATAACCATAGTTTTATTTTTGGCTTGATTTAATTTCTACTGCAACAATGATTCTAGACATAGGTTGGATTACAGATCATTGGTATGGAGATGAGGGAGATGTTTAAAATGCTGCTACTCTCAAAGCTTTGGGCAAAGCATCAAGAACAGCAAGAAAAGCAGCAAGGGTCATACGAATTATAAGACTAGTTAGATTAATAAAATTGTATAAACATGCAAGATTACAATTGGAAAAAGAAAAGGAAAAAAAAATATTATAAGATTTGTTATTGAAAGATGATTAAAAACAAAATTCCTCATAATAGTAATAACTACAGAACAAATAAAAATAACATTATTTAATTAGAATCTCTATTTTATAATAGAATCGATAAAAGAAGGTTAAATCTGAAGAATAACTACCTTATATTAATAAAAGTTAGCATTCTAGATCACAATCACAACATGATCAAAACAGTTCTAATAATGAATAACAATAATTAAAATACTCTAATCTTTCATAAGGTGATTAAATTAAGGAATCTCATGTTGGATCTTAATTATAAGATCTAGTGATGAGAAGAGTCATAACGATTATTATTGCTATTTTAATAAGTATACCAATTCTTACTTTGGATACTTATTCTGAAATTATTAATAGTTATGACTCTGGAATATTTAGAATTAGTTAATTTAGAATGAATTATCCAATTACTGATATGTTAATCTAACAGTATGTCTAATTTCATAATAGTGAAATCTACCCTATCCAATCTGTCTTAGTACTCCAAGATGATTTAAATAAGAAATATACTGAATATAACTACACTACAAACCCTGATTGGTTTTAATAAACAGAATTGCTCAAAAGCCAATATAGATTTTCAGATTAATAATACTTTGTAACTACTGATACTAATAATTAATTGATCACATATTCTGTTTCAGATTTGGTTGATTATAATAAAATTAATGCTATATTGTCAATTTTTCAAACAGTTTTTGTTTGTATAGTATTGGCATTAAGTGCTGTTTTATTTAATAAGGATGTTACAGAATTAATAATAGAGCCTATTGAAATTATGATTCAGAAGATAGAATTGATTGCCAGCAATCCACTAGAGGCTGTAAATATTGAAGAATAAGAAGATCTAATCACTTAAGAGTTGGAAAAGAATAATGACTTTAAAAAAATCAGATAGAGATAAATTGAGTAGATGTCTGAAACATATTTTTTACAAAAGCTCATAATGAAAATAGGAGCATTATTAGCTGTTGGTTTTGGAGAAGCAGGCTCTGAAATCATAGCAGAAAATATCAAAAAGGGTGGAAGTGTAGATCCTATGGTACCTGGAAAGAAAGTGCTTGCCATTTTTGGTTTTTGTGACATTCGTAATTTCACAGATGCCACTGAAGTATTACAAGAAGATGTTATGGTTTTTGTAAATGAAATTGCAGAAATTGTTCATTTTACAGTTGATAGTTATGGTGGATCAGCAAATAAAAATATTGGGGATGCCTTTCTCTTAGTTTGGAAGTATCCCGATATGAAATTTCATGCTGATCCATAAACAAAAAAGTTAATTTTACATGATGATAATAATGTAAAACAAATAGGAGATATGGCAGTTTTATCATTCTTAAAAATCATAATTTCAGTCTCTCTATCAAAAAAATTGGAAAAATATAAGAAGCATGAAGGACTCAATGCAAGAATTAAAGATTATTCTGTTCGAATGGGATTTGGTTTACATTTGGGCTGGGGTATAGAAGGAGCAATAGGATCTTCTTTTAAAATTGATGCTTCATACTTAAGTCCAAATGTTAATATGGCTTCCAGATTAGAAGCCGCAACTAAATAATTTGGTACGAATATCTTAATTAGTGGAATATTAAAAAGAAACTTGACATAAGCTTGTTAGAATCACATTAGATTAATTGATATTGTAACAGTTAAAGGAAGTATTGAGCCTGTAGAACTATATACTGTGGACTTATCTATCAAAAGTCTCTTAAATAAATATAAGGAACCCAGAGATATCTTTGATATTAGTAGAATGAATCCGAGGGAATAAAAGCAATTTAGAGTTATCAATCGATATAAAAGGAACCTTTTAATTAAGAGTGTGGAAGATGATAAAATACAAATTGCAGAACTTTTTGAAAAAGATGAGGACTTGATTACTGCAAGAGAACCATATCATTAAGTATCATTATCATTTTTAATAGGAATTTTATGACACTTGGATTTCAGGGTTTAATTCTTATATCCGTGGAGAATGGGATGAAGCTCAAAAGATTTTCATGAAAACATTAGTAAAAATATAAAATAATTTAGACTATGATACCAGAACACAAGGATGGTCCATCTAATACATTGTTAGAAGTTATACATTCATCTGGAGGCAGAGCCCCTTATGATTGGAAAGGATTTAGAGAACTTACAGAAAAATGATTTGATTTATTAATCATTACTCATATTAAGGTTATGTTTATAACAATTAATTTCAATGAATCTTAGTATCAATCAATTTCAATATCAATGGACTTTAGCAAGTCTTAACATAAGTCCTTTTTCAATTATAATGTTGCCAAAAAACTTGAAATGCCATCCTCTCCAACATCAGTTTCATCAAAATTTCCTAAAATTATTTTTGTCTTTCATACCGTTAATAGTGTTAATAGCAGGATCTGTAAAATAAATGTCAACACCTTAAATATCATTAACAATGTAGTTGAATGAACTCCTCAAATATGTAAAGTATGAGAAAGCCTAAGAAATGGAGTTCAGTTAGGATTTAGAATCATTTATGAAACCATCATTGTTATTATATTTTTCAAAAGTACCTTTAAAGAATCTTTCAGCAATCCAGTATTTATCTAAATTATAATTAAATATACTTTAATTTTCTTCCAACAACAAAAAGTCTGTGTATTACACTTCTCTAATGCCATTATTTTTACTTCTGACTTAATCCATAAATTCTTTCATTAAATTTTTAGCAATTAAATGTGATCGGCAATCATCAACAGCTAATGCTTTTGACTTATAAATCCCATTTATAATTGGGGTTTTTACAACATAAATTTCTTCTGAATTGTTTTTTTTTTTCATTAAATACACAGCCTTCATCATTCCATAGGCAAAAGGATTTTAAGTTCTTATACAATCCCATTCATTTTCTTAAATTAACTCAAAATCGTTTTAGTCATATTTAATTGATTCAATATTTTCTATTTTCTTTTTAAATGATTCCTATTTAAGATCAACTTTATAAACTTTGCAACGAAAACTTTCACATTTAACTTTTTCTTCGAATTTAGAAATATCTCCTTTATTACATAGAGCTTACAAAGCACCATCTTACTTTTGTTTTGCTTATTAAATAAGTTCTTCATAGTTTTTTTAATCTTCGATTGCCTCTTTGACTGAAACTTATTAACTATCTTTTTGTTTTCCCTCTCCTTGTTTTTAAATTTCTTTTTGAATTTCATTATTTATCTCAACAACTTCAACTTTCAAATTTTTCATGTCATTTTAACCTGCTTCAAAATTTTACAACCTTAGTTATTAATTGATTTTAGTTTTTGTCATTTTATTATCTGTTCCTATTATAAAGGCAGCCATTTTCTAAATTTACATTACAAGTTCATGATCTGAATTTTTTTAATCAAGGCCTTTAACTGAAAGCGTATGAAATAGTTAAGGATAACTAAGTTTGGCATATACTTTTTCTAATTCGCTGCACATTACTTTCGTATCATCATTAAACCTAATTACTAACACAACAATGTCCCTTTTAACTACTTCTTTTATAACTTCTTCAATATCGTCATTTGGCTTTGTATCATACTCAACAGACCATAAACCTAAAAATTTATAATATTTTTTTGGATTATGGTATTTTTTTCCATGGCAAGGAGAATTAGCAATTATAATGGCTAGTTTATATTTTTCCTACCAGTCAAGTTTTAGCACTTCTGTCAAAGCAGACTTTAAATCTTCTGGCTAATCTTTTGGATTATTTATATATTTTTATCTTTTTAAAAACCCTGATAACACATCAGCAGATTATGTAAATTTTTGAGTAGAAATTTCTAACTTATTCTTTAAATAGCCATATAAAACTGCACCCCAAGACGAATCTCTGTTTGTTGTACTTTTAATTAAGGAGCAACATGTTTCTGTGGCTTTTATGATAGCATTTCCTACTCTTTCATTTGATCTATATATATCAATAAAAATTACTTAAATAAATCTATTACAAAGCAACATTAAATTTAACCAGCTTTTCTTACAAGCTCATACATTTTTTTTTTTCCTTGCTGATTTAGTTATTTCTATTTTTATAACTCTTATTGTTGCCTTTATAGTATTCTTTCTTTTTCAATGCTGAACTTTTCCTATTCGCTTTTATTTTTCATTTCTCTATTTTCTTTAATCTCCTTCAATTAATTTTCATATTCTTTTGCATTATCAATTTAATTTTTTTTGCATAGTTCATTAATTGTTCTACCCTAATCTTCTATTTATTGTTATAGAAATTATTCTATACTTTTATACTTTTTAATTTCTATTTGAATAATTTCTAATTCTGTTAATAGGTTTTTATTTTCATTTTCAATATCATTTTTTTAACTGTTTAAATGCTTATTCTCTTAGCTTAATTGATTTATAGTCTCAGCACATTCAGATATCTCTTTTTACAACTTTGTAATTTTAGCCGATTACTCTTGATTTTAGTCATTCTGTTTGAGTTATTTTAAATTTTAGATCAATTGATTTAGCTATGCAATCTCTAAATCTTTTTATTTGATTTGAGCTAAGTTGTCTTAATTTAATTTTTTTTATTTTTGCAATTCATCATTTGACTAGTTATATTAAATTGCTTATTTTTAATTATTATTACTGGCTTCTTATAATTGCTGGATTTAGCTTTTTAAGTTTTCAACTTCTGTCTTATATCTTTTTATCTCTGCTTAGTTTTGTTTCTCAATATCTTTATGGTCTATTTCCTATTAACTAATCTTTTATTATAAAATTCTGATATTTTCTTTGTATTATTTTTCTAAACTCTCTTTTTCTTCCTCTTTTTTTTTAAATTAATTTTGTAGTTCGAATTTCTACTCATCAAAATCTCTTGTTAATTTATTATTCAGTTCATTTAATTGTTGGATTTTCTTTTTGAACTCATTTTCCATTTTTTACTTTTCATCTTCATTAGTAGTTATTTCATTTTTTAATTTGTCTATTTCTTTCTTTAATTACATCTGGCTGTCATCAGAAAATTTAGGTTGATTAAATGATTGTGGAGGATATTACAGCGTATTGTTTTAATGAATAAAGTTATTACCCATATTTGGAGGATTAATTCCTGGTGGCATGGCTGGCATTTAATTTGGCATCCCAGACATTCCTGGTGGCATCATAGGCATTCCAATTATTCCAGGCATTCCAGGAGGCATTCCAGGAGGCATTCCAAGCATCCCAGATTGCATTCCAGATTGCATTCCTATTGTCATAGCCCGAGGCTACATTCCTTATGACATTGGTGGCATTCCTTATGGTATTCCCTACGGCATTCCTTGCGGCATTCCTTATGGCATTCCTGGTGGCATTCCTGGTGGCATTCCTTATGGCATTCCTGGTGGCATTCCTTATGGCATTCCTGGTGGCATTCCTTATGGCATTCCTGGTGGCATTCCAGGTGGCATTCCTTGTCCGAACTGAAATTAATCCAATTTCTACCATAAATTGAGGCTGCTTAAATTGGTTGTTTTACGGTTAAAAGTTTGCTATTGGTACTTAAGATTGACTTTATTCCTCAGTTTTTATATTTTGATTTAAGAATTAATTTTAGGCCTTATGTAGTGCATCTTAATCAGTCTGCTATAAATAATTGAAGCCTTACAATAGTGTCCAATATCTAAGGAGTCTGGTTCATATATAAAAATAATTAATTTCTATTAAAAAAAATACATAAATAGTGATTTTTTTCTATTATCATTAGAATGATCTCAACAATAATACATTAAAATTATTTATTAGTAATTGAGATGATAATATATAAATTAAGATGATTAATTCTTTAAGTTAAAGGGGATCTAGTCTATAAGAATATCAATTGTATTGGGGAATTTACAAAAAGGGAGCTTTATAAAAATGAAGTAAAAAAAATAACAATAATGATTAAAATAATAAATTTAGAATAATACTTATTGAACTAGAATTTTGATTAAAAGCAAGTCATGTTAAATAAATAAAAAGGTGACATATAGGAAAGTAGATATATAT